CGTTGCGACCTTCCATGGGTGGATTGTGAGGAACACGGCCTTCGCATTCGTCGTTTGTCTGGAGATGTGGGTGCCGGTTAAGGCAACCTTGACCTCCCTGCTTTGCTATCGTTGTAACCGGCTGGGACTATGACGTCGACCGGTTCTCCGTGTTTAAAATATCAAAGGGCGATGAGGGCTGGATATAACTTATAAGTGTGGACTCCGATCGCTCGTTCCTGGAAGATCGAGCTGTCATTTCTTTCGAATGCCACTTTTGATTGACATACTTGGACAGTCTGGAATTTTCCTTTTGCTATCGGAATTGATTTCCTTCTCTTTTATTTTTCAAACCAGTGGCCCTCCTTACTCATCCCTTTGATATCGATCCGTCTCCATTCACGTGGTCTCCGCGAGACCTACCTGCGTCATGGCGGTCGAAGACGATATCTCGAATCCCCTTCACATGGGAGTGGATTCAGAGAAGAAAACCCAGAAGCAGGAGCAACAACAACATCGAAGGAATGAGTCGGCTAGTCAACCGAACGATACCCAGGCCGAACGGGCCTCGCTATCTTCCGAAAGCGACCCTCGGGCTAAAACCAGAGAGGACGGGAAGCGAGAACTGACGGAGGATGATGCCTACGATAAGCTTGGTTTCTGTTTTCCCGGATGGAAGAAGTGGACCATCCTCACTGTCATCTTTACGGTGCAGATGTCCATGAACTTCAATAGTAGCACTTATTCCAACGCGGTATCCGGGTTGACGGAGCAATTCAATATCAGTGAGCAGGCAGCCCGAGTTGGTCAAATGATCTTCTTGGTTGCCTACGCATTTGGCTGTGAGCTGTGGGCGCCATGGAGTGAAGAGTTTGGCCGTTGGCCTATAATGCAGCTCAGCTTGACCTTCATGAACATTTGGCAAATTCCCTGTGCCTTGGCCCCCAACTTCGGGACTATGGTTGTTGGTCGTTTCCTAGGTGGTATCAGCTTGGCCGGAGGCTCTGTCACACTGGGTATGACGGCTGATATGTGGGAGGCTGATGACCAAGGCTTCGCAGTGGCGTATGTAGTGCTGTCGTCTGTTGGAGGTACTACGATCGGGCCGTTCTTCGGTGGAATGATGGAGCAGTGGCTGCATTGGCGATGGAACTTCTGGATCCAGCTCATCTTTGGTGGTGTGACCCAAATCATGCATCTGCTCCTTGTCCCGGAAACCCGGGCGACTATTCTCCTTGATCGGGAAGCGAAGCGCCGTCGTAAATCTGGGGAGGACCCTAATATCTACGGGCCCAACGAATTGAAGAAGCCCAGGATCGACTTCCAGGACTTCTTGCGTATCTGGCGCCGGCCGTTTGAGATGTTCCTGCGCGAGCCGATCGTGCTTTTCCTCTCGTTGCTTTCCGGTTTCTCCGATGCCCTGATCTTCACCTGCATCGAGTCCTTTGCTCTCGTCTTTGAACAGTGGGGGTTTGACCCGTTAAGGATCGGCTTCTGCTTCGGCGCCATTATCATTGGTTATGTCGTGGCGTATGCTATTTTCCTTCCGGATATCTGGCGCCAGCGTCAGATACGCCAGCGAGATGGTAACGCTGCCCGCCTGCCAGAGCGTCGCCTTCTACTTCTTCTCTTTATCGCGCCGTTGGAGACCATCGGGCTCTTTGGGTTTGCCTGGACTACCATGGGCCCGGATTACAACCCTTGGATCGCGCCGCTTATCTTCGTGTTCCTGATCGCAATTGCAAACTACGGCATTTATATGGCGACCATCGACTATATGGTCGCAGCGTATGGGCCTTATTCGGCCTCAGCAACTGGCGGGAATGGCTTCGCGCGTGACTTCCTCGCTGGGCTGTCTGCCATGTATGCAACACCCATGTACACGAATATCGGTGGCAGACTACATTTGCAGTGGGCCAGTACCATTCTGGGTGTTCTGGCCATCTTCGTCACGATTCCGATTTACGTGTTCTACTGGAAGGGCCCACAGATTCGGGAGAAGAGCAAGTTCGCTCAGACTCTGGCGGCCGACAGGGCTCTCCATGCGGGCAGAAGGGCGAGCCATATCAGTGCAGCAGAGAAACCGTACGCAGCATGATTAATTGCTTATGACACTTATGATAGCATTTCTTTGTATTAGACCTAGATGATATACCGGACTGTATATATGAATCTATATTTTTCACTTCCAGTTAATCTATATCCGACATAGAATTCTCATACTCCATATGCAAGAGACTATCCACTCCGTCGTCTGCATAATAACATGACAATATGCGCTCCACCATTGGGTCGACGGGACGTTGCCCGCTCGTTCCGCAGTGGACCAGCCGGCACTAACCGCGCTCACTAACCGCGCTGTTCTGTTGGCCACCGCGAGCTTCCTGCCGTCAACTGCGGAGCGCGGAAGAAGCCCCGAAATCCCGCGCTGTAGCGGCTTTGCTATCGCCGCCTCCTCCCTTACCGGTACGACATACGGCTTGCCTTGCAGAATAATTAGCACTCTCTGTTTCCCATGCGGGGATGACGCGGACAGCGCATGCGGACGCCGGAAATGTACCGTGCACCCCAACAGGCTTTGTAACTGCAGCGATATAAAGAGATGCCTTGCGTCCTTCGGCGGCCATACAGATGATCGATGCTAGGCACTTTGGTCTCTAACCCCTCTCTTTCTTCCATCCCCCCATGTCTCTCCAAACAGCCGCCATCGCCGCTATCGCGGTGGTGTATTTCCTCATCCGCTACTTCAACCGCACAGACGTCCCCAAGATCAAGGGTCTTCCAGAAATCCCGGGCGTGCCTATCTTCGGTAACCTTATCCAACTCGGCGACCAGCATGCGACAGTAGCTGCAAAGTGGGCGAAGAAGTTCGGTCCTGTCTTCCAGGTCCGCATGGGCAACAGGGTGAGTTTGTTATATATATAGCCAATGGGAATGCAAGGTATTAACTGCCCCAGCGCGTTGTTTTCGCCAATACCTTCGACTCTGTTCGCCAGCTCTGGATCAAGGATCAGTCCGCCCTTGTCTCCCGACCCACATTTCACACTTTCCACAGCGTTGTTTCTAGCTCTCAGGGATTTACAATCGGAACCTCGCCCTGGGATGAATCCTGCAAGCGTCGTCGCAAGGCTGCCGCTACGGCTCTGAACCGCCCCGCCACGCAGTCATACATGCCCATTATTGATCTCGAGTCGATGTCAAGTATCCGCGAGCTCTTCAAGGACAGCAAGGACGGAACAGTGGATGTCAACCCGACGGCATATTTCCAGCGATTTGCGCTGAACACGAGTTTGACACTGAACTATGGAATCCGGATCGAGGGCAACGTCGACGATGAGTTGCTGCGCGAGATTGTCGATGTTGAACGTGGCGTGTCGAACTTCCGCAGCACGAGTAACCAGTGGCAGGATTACATTCCCCTCCTGAGAATCGTTCCCAAGATGAACCGCGAGGCTCAGGAGTTCCGCGAGCGAAGGGACAAGTACCTTACTTATCTCCTGGATGTTCTGAAGGACCGCATTGCAAAGGGAACAGACAAGCCTTGCATTACTGGAAACATTCTCAAGGACCCCGAGGCTAAGCTCAACGAGGGTATGTTGTTTACCCGTCTTTGAAATTTGGATTCACTGACGTTATCCGCAGCTGAGATCAAGTCGATCTGTCTGACCATGGTCTCCGCTGGTCTCGACACCGTCCCTGGTAACCTGATCATGGGCATTGCCTACCTCGCCTCCGAGGGCGGCCAGGAGATCCAGAAGCGCGCACACGAGGAAATCATGAAAGTCTATCCGGACGGCGACGCATGGGAGAAATGTCTCGTTGAAGAAAAGGTCCCCTACGTCACAGCTCTCGTCAAGGAAACCCTCCGCTTCTGGACCGTCATCCCTATCTGTCTACCCCGCGAAAGCACCAAGGATATCACATGGAATGGAGCAGTTATCCCCAAGGGCACAACGTTCTTCATGGTACTACCGCTCCCTACCTTCCCACGCTTAGATCAACCAATACTAACACCGCGATAGAACGCCTACGCAGCAGACTACGACGAAACCCACTTCAAAGATCCCTACAGCTTCGAACCAGAGCGCTACCTCACCAACACCAGCGACGGCTCAGGAACCCCACACTACGGCTACGGTGCTGGATCGCGAATGTGCGCCGGCTCGCACCTTGCAAACCGCGAGCTCTTCACTGCATACGTGCGCCTCATTACGGCGTTCACGATGCACCCGGCCAAGAAGCAGGGCGACCGCGCGATCCTCGATGCGATCGAGTGCAATGCGATCCCGACGGCGCTGACGACGGAGCCGAAGCCGTTCAAGGTTGGATTTAAGCCGCGGAATCCGGAGGTGTTGAAGACGTGGATTGCGGATAGTGAGGAGAGGACGAAGGATTTGAATTAGTTTATATATATACATATGCTTTTTTTTTTCTTTCTTTGCTTGTGTGGAAAAATTATACGAGGTGCATATTTGGGAGGATGTATAGTTAAATCACGACCGTTATACTACTAGGCCGGAGTAGTACAACTAGCTTACCCAGCAAGAATATAAAAAGGCCCAATAGAAATGAAGAAATAGCAAAACCATTAATTTCGGCAGCCCCCTTGCTTCTCCATACCAAGGTAGCCACCAGATCTTAGCCCGAATTGCAACTTAGTAGGGACACCGTAAGTACACGCGACTGGATCGACCTTCAACAGCGGAACAATTCCACCGCGACCGACTCCGCTCCCCGCATTTCGTCCCCGGGTCGAGCAGCAGAGCAGTTCCAACTTCCAACTTCGCAGTCCAACCAGTCTCGCCCAATTAATATCCAGTCCACTTTGTCCCGCCCTTTCCAGCCACTCACCTGCCCCGGCCTGATCTTGCGGTGGCCAAGTGCGGGTGACCTCAACCTTACCCTTCGCGCCCCTGCACTCCTCCGTTGCACTTTAGCTCTTAAATCGATCTTGTTCTTACAACAACGCGAACATGGACGCGTCTATTCCTGCGCACTCGGGCCATTCGGCACGCAATTCGATGAATATCTGGGCGCGGAGTCCTGATGATTCGATTGTTGTGAATGGGGATGAAACCGGGGCAGGGGCCGAGGTTGTGCCGCGGAAGAGGCGGAGGAAGTATATTGCAAAGGCTTGGTGAGTCGGATTATGTTGAAATTGTTTTTCGAGCTACTGCTGATGATTTAGTAATGAGTGCAAGCGACGCAAGATTAAATGTAATGGGGAGCGGCCGTGTGGTCGGTGTGGGAGGCAGCGGATCTCGTGTGTCTACGATAATGCCCCTGAAGTCGGGGGCAGCGAGACGCTGTGAGTGAGCAAACTATTTACTTAGTAGGATAATGGCTAATTTGATAGTGGAATTGAGCGTCTCTATGAGCAGATGAATGCCATGCAGGCACAGATTACTGCTCTCACGGCTTCTGTTCACTCGCTCGCCCAGAGTAATATCTCTGGGCAGGTTGCGCGACCCGAGGCTGGATCGCGAACAAATCGACGAATTTCTATGGCCCCCAAGGAATCGGCCTTTCAGGGGCCAACTACGTCGGCCTTCAGCTTCGATCTGGCCAAGTCAAGTCTCAAGGAACGCGGTATTGAAGTTGAGCGCAACGAGGACGACATGACGCGGGAACCGTCGCCGCTGCCGACTCCGCCCTCTGCGCCTACACTAGGATCCTGCCACGTAGGAGACCCGTTGTGGAGTATCGGAAAGACCGAAGCCCTCCGGCTGTGTCGCGTGTATGAAGAGGAAATGGGAGCCATGTATCCGGTGGTGGAGCTCGAACTGCTCCTGCAAAACGTGGATCTGCTGTATGGACCGACCGAGGGGGGTCCGTGGCCACGAGCACCGGGACAAGCGCAATATGATGGAGGATTAGACAGTGACGACGTGAATATTTTACGTCTTGTGTTTGCATGTGCTTTGACCGCCGAAGCGAGTGGCCCTAGTGAGTTAGCAATGAGCTTGTTCGACTCGGTGCGAGATGCTGCGGATCATTACGTCTGGGCGCCTCCAGAGATAAAAAGCATTACACTACTAGCACTTGTGGTAAGTTTTTACCTTAGATACGCCAACACTACTAACAAGTGTAGGCGATTCTGTACTTTCAAATCGATGAGGAGACTTTGGCCTGGCGAACGATCGGAATTGTCGAGCGCCTGTGCCTGGAAAAGGGGCTACATCGCCGGGAAACGCTCCAGCATCCTTCGGTTGTAGAGGCTGGAAAGAACCGTGTACTGAAGTTATTCTGGTCGGTGCGCGTGCTCGATCTGAGATGGAGTTTTGGGACAGGCATGCCGTTCGGTGTGGACGACTCCGATATCGACCCTTGGCTCCCAGAGCCAGAAGAGAGCACATCCTATCTGCGCGCGATGATTCGGTACAGCAGGATTGCGTCCAAAGCCTGGAGATTCATAACGTCTTTTAACAACACCAACGAGATCAAGAAGGATGAAATGAATTACCTCGATTGGCAGGTCCTGCAGTGGGTGGCCGGGCTCCCGGATTCGCTCCGGTTGCGAGACCCATCAGGGTATGCAGAAGGTGAGACGAGAAGCCTTCGTCGATTGCGTTCCTTGGTCTACCTCCGCGCAAGCCAACTGCGGATGCTTATCCATCGCCCCGTCCTACACTCGGCAGCACAAATGATGCGATTCCCAACCGAGGCACAGACCGTAGTAGACATGGCCAAGGATACTATCCGGTTTATCACCCAGCTCCACGCATCATCCGACATATATCAGTTGCAGCAGGTAGTCTTTAACTGGTTTCTGGTGTCGGCGTTGATGGCTTTGTTCCTTGCCGTCGCGCAGATACCTAGCCAGTTCAGCCCCTCCTGCCGTGAGGAATTTTATATGGCGTTGGAGCTGGTCAAGGGTGTGTCGACGAAGTCATACATTTCACGGAGGCTGTGGAAGTCCATCAAGGGCCTCCGTCGACTCGGGCCGCAATTAATGCATCGAAATGCCGAGGGCGACGGCACCGCCGAAGGCCTTATTGAACAAACAGTAACATCGAGCGTCCAGAGCCATACGCCGGATGGGGCGCAGATGACGCAGGAGCTGAAGGAGTGGTTCGAGGCTGTTGGAAACATGGAAGACCAGATACTGGGGGTGGGATCGCTGGATGCCTTCAATGAAGGGTATATGCTTGATAACAACAGTGAACTGTCGAGCATGATGAAGGATTGTTTTTGATCCAGGCTGTCTGTATACTGAACTAAGCCTTGGGACCTCAGGCTCCAGGGCTACTAGGAGGCTGCCCGAACAGGAAGGGACCCAGGTCGCGGTTTCCCTCGTCGTCTCGACGGGGATACAGCCGGCTTCGGGCCCGGAGATAGGGTTTACATGGCGCGAGGGCGGCGACATACCGGCAGTATCAGCATATAAATACCTGGTTTCGCTCTTTCTTTTTTTCCCCTCCTACATCTCTCTGCCATCCTCTTGTGCATCTGGTCCATCTGGCTCATCTGGTTTATCTAACCCGATTTAGACCATATACAACATCCACGTTTGTTCTTTACGTGTCAGCTGCTTTTATATCATCTAGTCTATTCTCATCTTACCGTGTTTTGAGATATCAACATCTGTTGTCATCTACTTACCATTTGTCTGTTTCAGCTACTTCGCATCGGCTTATCTGTTCGGAGTTGGGTTCTATTCTCGAGGATCTAGTCGCATCATTCTCGCCTTATATTTCTATATACTGTACAACTATCTATATGAATTGTTAACACCATCTATGGACCATCTATTTGCTATTTGCCAAGCTTGATTTAATGCATCTTCTTTCTTGATCTAATATATGTTTCCTATGACGACACTGTGTGTACATTTACGGAATATCATACATAATATATATCCGATAAATACAGCTTTGAATATACAACGATTTTGGACATATTGAATCAGATTATATTTCATTTACTATATCTATTCTACCATCTACTGTCCGATCTGCTGGTATATTCTGCCATATTCTGCCACATACACAATGTCAATCGCCGTGCTCCGCCTGGTGAGGCCATTCTCCCCTCCGATGGCGGGACTCTCCGGTCGCCGAGGCCCAACCCGCAAGGTCGCAACCCCGCAGTCATCAACACTCACTCAACACTTCAACAGCTCAACAGCTCAACATCAGACTCCAACTCTTTCAATCTCATTTCTCACACAGCTTCCACACCAATCGAAAATGGCTCCCCTCAAGGCCGGCGACTCTTTCCCCAGCGGCGTTTCGTTCCAGTACATCCCGTGGGCGGAAGACAAGAGCGACGTCACTGCTTGCGGTATCCCGATCAAATACGATGCTTCCAAGGAGTGGGCGGACAAGAAGGTCGTTCTCTTCTCGGTGCCTGGTGCGTCCGACCGTGTTCATGGCTACATTGCAGACTAAGCTAACTGGGTCCCAGGCGCGTTCACTCCCACCTGCTCCGTGAACCACCTCCCCGGCTACATCCAGAACCTCCCGCAATTGAAGGAAAAGGGCGCCCAGATTGTCGCTGTCGTCGCCTCGAATGACCCCTTTGTGATGAGCGCTTGGGGCAAGGCGAACCAAGTGACCGGTGATGACATTGTATATCCGTCTCTTGACCTTCTACAGTTCAGTGCTGACCTTTGCAGCTGTTCCTATCGGACCCCGACGCGAAGTTCTCCGAGTCCATTGGCTGGGCGAGTGGTGGCCGTACTGGGCGATATGCGGTTATTATTGACCACGGAAAGGTTACATACGCGGATATTGAGACCAAGAAGGGAGCTGTTGAGGTATTTATCCCCTTTGTAGCTTTAATATAGTATGATGCTAACATTGGTAGGTTTCCGGTGCGGATGCGGTTTTGGCTCACCTGTGAAGCACATAACAATGTATTTCCCTTAGATATAGATAGTCGGCAACCTCAAATCGACGATCTGTTGACCTTATACACTATGCGATGTGTGCTTAGTGCTTTGTATCGGATGACACAACACTTTTCCTCAAAATCCATTTCAACAAACTAATCATACAGGACAGGGGAATCGCTTCTCAAAACTAAATCATCAGAACAGCCACCAGCCCAACCAAACCCACCAATAAACCAACATTCATCCTAGCAATCTCCCCAATTCCAACCGGCACCCCATCCACACTATCGTCATCTTCCGCCTCCTCAATACCACGATACGGATCAGAAGAATACTTATCCACATCATCAGCACTAACATTCTGAACCGTCCACTCCTTAAGCGGAAACCGGACTCCATCCCCATCAGCCTCCCAAATCGGTGCACAGACCCGAACGAACGTCCCATTTTCACCATGACCATTACCACCATCACTCGCACAGCCCTCCACCGTCCCAGTAAAACACTGCCTCTTGATTGTCACATTCAGATACCCCGACTGCCCCGCGCGCATTGGGTAGGTATTCTCAACAGACCCCCTAACGCTGTGATTAAACCCATCGCCCCGAATCATGTCCCTGGGCACGGTCTCCGCCACGGCGTCCACGACAGTGCTTGTCGCCAGACCCGAGGCGTTGACGTTTGCGAGGTATGTTTCATGGCCTGGGGAGACCAGCGAGCAGCCCTCGTTGGCTGGACATGTCTTGGCTGGGGTGACGCGGAAGGGGGCGGAATTTTGTTCTGAAGGTGGTTGTTTGTTCCAGGTGAATTTGCAGTTGGAGGATTCATTGTCTTGGTTCCCTCCTTTGTTTCTTTTGGCGGCGGTGAGGGGGCTTGAGAGGAGGATGAGGAGGATGATAAGGGGGAGGAGGGTTGTTGGCGCTGCTGGTTGTTTGGGCATGTTTGCGTATGGATATGGTATTATAATGCTCGATTCTTTTGTATAGATGTAGTTTTTATATCTGGATATGGAGACAAAGTTTACAGAGGTAGGCCAACAAGTGGGGACTCGCGGTTTATATGCACAAACCCATACCAACACCAACACCGACACAAAGACCCTGATGCAGATGAATGGTGGGTGAATCTCAGGATGAGGCTGTGTCTTTCATCAGCCCTGCCCATCCTTGCCCTGCCCTGCCCAGTGACCAACCCTGTCGAGCCGTTCATTCGGGGCCAAGCCGCCAAAGCCAGCGCTGTTTCCAATGGCAAGGCCCGATACTTGTACAGGTAGGGAGCGTCAGCCACACGCTCACCTTACACTCAACAGAACGCCATCGGTGGGAGCATAGACAGCTCCTGACTGAGTTAGACATTCCGAGGACCATATAGTATTGTCCGTGCGGTGGCTCGGATTGCCTCCCCCAGATAATGCAGACCTGCTAACAGTTAGTTAACAAGTGTTTTGTCGATTTCCGTCTGGACTTGAAAGCACCGTAGTTCCAGCCTTTCCCTTGCTTCAGACTTCTGTATTCTCAAATAGACAAAGCCGGAAGATCGTGATGATGCAGACGGGAGCGAGTTCGGATGCTGGTTATTGGGCGTCGTCTGAATATGTCTGGTGGGTATAACCAAGCCGGATAAGTAGAGCCTGAGATGGATGTTTTCAAGACAAAACAGAATGTTATAGACCCCATCCCTGATGATGCTCAGATTTTGCAAACTCTATGAAGTGCTCATACTCCAAGTCTGGCTTCATTTTGAGCTGTGGTCTGGTACGCAGTAACAGTGTTTGACTCCGACGAATTCATTACCGCGGCCATCTGGAGAAATTCTCTGGCTTGCGCGGGAATATCAGCTCGGCGCCTGAGATCGGTGTGAACGAGACGCAGATAAATAAATTGCAAGCAATCCACACCAAGAACAAGATCGCTTGGCGGGTGTTCGTACCATTGAAGGTTCTCGCACGTTGCCGCGTATCTTGACGATCATTCGACGGAGCTCCAATCTATTATGGACCGGACTTCATCTAATCACAACAAATGAGAACGCAAGATAAGCCGATGCAGAAACCAACACCGCCCTGCAGAGAGTCAGAAACAGCCTGTGCCTGTCTAGAAGACCGCTAGAAGGCAGTCTCCTGAGCCATCGGCGTCGCAGATTTGAAGCCCCAAGAGCTGACGATGTAACCACTCGCGACGATCGCAGACCACAGGGCAAATCAGCTGCGTTGGCCTGCCGCGTGTGCGACTCAACCACTGCAGATGGCAGGCATCTCGTTATCACGCAGTGTCGCGGTGGGTGTGACTCGTGATAACTTATAAGCCCCTTGCGTCCCTTGTTTACCTCCAGAAACAAAACCAACTCTTCCAAAAATCATCAATCCATCCTCTTACCCAGCAAAATGACCCGGTCCATCCTCCCCGTCCTGCTCGCTGCCTCTGCTTCCCTCGTGGTCGCAACCCCCCCAGGCATCCCCTCCACCTCCGTCGCAGAGACCCAGCTCGAAGCCCTAACCGTCGCCGAAGCGGGCGCAGGGTCCGACTACGACCGCGACCTGTTCCCCCACTGGAGCAGCCAGGGAGAGTGAGTTATTCATTCTTATTCCTGCCCTATTCTGCTATGCCACGACCCACAATAACATAACAAATGCTAATCTAATTGTTCAGCGGATGCGACACCCGCGACAAGGTCCTTGTCCGCGACGGCACTGGCGTCGAAACGGGCTCCAGCTGCAGTATCGAAAGTGGCTCTTGGTTCTCTGAGTACGACGGCGAGACCTGGACTCAGGCCAGCGACGTGGATATTGACCATATGGTGCCTTTGAAGAATGCTTGGGAGGTGAGTTACTCCACCACCAAACCACCACCACCACCACCATCAGCACTAGGAGTTGTACTACTTGAAGAAAAAACTAACTGCAATCAGTCCGGTGCCTCGGAATGGACCACCGAGGAGCGCGAGGCATTCGCCAACGACCTGGAAATTCCCCAGCTCTTGGCCGTCACGGACAATGTGAACCAGGAAAAGAGCGACTCCGGGCCTGAGGAGTGGCTGCCTCCTTTGGGTATGTCTCTAAACCATTCGAAATTCGTTGAAGTGTACCTATGCTGACTGTATAGAATCGTACCACTGCACGTACGGCAAAATGTGGACGACTGTCAAGTACACGTATGGTCTGACCGTGACCTCGGCGGAGAAGAGTGCTCTGGCGGACTTGCTGGCGACCTGCTAGTTTGGTAGATAGGGTCATAGACTGGATGGATATAAGCGGATGAATGGTTTCATGGTCCAAAGGACTAGTCTGTTCCTAATGCTATATAAAACTGAAACGACATGATTGAGTTCTATTCTGAGAAGTGCAAGTGCCGCAACGGCAGACACAATTAACTAGGGCCGGCGGCCTGATCTCAGCCAAAAGGACCGCCGCCTTTTGCGCAGTCTCGGCTTGGGTCTTTTCAAGTGCAGCTTGAATGCAAGTGCGCTTGTTCTGTATTTCACCTTCTCCCAGGCGTATTCCAACCCTTTAAGAGGCTCATCGAGCTTTGGGTCGAGCGTTGCAGCGCATTCACATGGAAGCCTCACCGCACTGATCGAGGCTATACTAATCATAAAGGACCCTTCCTGTTTTCCGTCCATACTAGCCACACAGCCTGTTAGTGTGTATGCAGGCCACAGAGACAAGAGCGTCGCACCTTGGAAAGGAGAGTTCGAATTTCCTGATATTGCCCATATCCGGGGGTGCCACTGCATCTGCATTGTAGCCCCTTGGCTTCAAGTTACGGAACCGGATGACCTTATTAACGGCTGTTGTGAGCCCCTTGATATTTTCATGTCGGAACTTGGCCTCCCAGGTAACTCCACTTTGATCGTCCAGCGCGATGGTGTATACTTTTCCGTCGGACTTGCACAGCTCGAGTTCGAAGGCATCGAACCCATCCAAGTTCCAATGGTTGTTGGCGCCGGTTGTAGAGATACTTGCAGAAGGCCGGTCGTTGATGTTTTTGCGGTCGAGCCACCCGTGAAGTTCGGTCTGTCCGAGCTCGGCGTAGGAGGTGAACTCAACATAGGCAATGCTTTTGTTGCTACGGATGATGTCTGATCGCCAGTTTCCTCTCCAAGGACTGCCTGACTCAGTAAGTGCGCAAGCAGAGCGAGGGAGAGAGCACGCTACCTGCCGCCTGGGAAGAGGACCATGCGGTCCGCGGTGTGTTGGGCACAGTCAGTCATGGTGGATGGAGTGGTTAAGAATGAGGAGATAAAGCAGATGCGTATTTAAGATGAAGAGTTATGGAGAGGAAGAGAGAGAGGTTATGGAGAAGAGAGAGAGAGGGGGTGAAGTGAGGCCATTGTTTACTTTGTTTACTTTACAGCTTCGCTCTTTCCTTCTCGTCGCGCACCACCAGCCGCTGCTCGCCCTCGCGCTTGTTCTTCTCGCGGTCTCTCAGCACGCGTCGCAGGATCTTTCCACTTGCGCTCTTGGGAATTTCCTCCAGGAACTCGACCTCGAGAACCCATTTGTGGCGCACCTTTTTCGCCTTGACGTACTCAATGAGCTGGCGGCCCGCAGCCACCACGCCCTCACCGGTGCTCAACTGCCCTCGAGCTGCAGACTTCAACACGACATAGGCCTTTGGCTTCTCGCCTGCATAGTCGTCCGGCACAGAGGTCACTCCGACGTCCTCGACTGCCGGATGGCCGAGCAGGAGGTCTTCAATTTCCGCCGGGGACACTGCAATTCCTTTAACCTTGATCATCTCCTTGATTCTATCGGTGATGACAATGAATCCCTCTCGATCCATATACCCGACGTCTCCAGTATGCAGCCAGCCCTCCTCGTCGAATGTCTCTTTCGTGGCCTTTTCATTGTTCAGATATCCCATGACAATCTGCGGGCCGCGTGCCAGAATCTCGCCCTCTTCCTCGTAGCCGACCTCTTTTCCGGTCTCGGTATGGATGACCTTCACTTCTGTGTTGGCGACAATCATTCCTCCGCGCTGAGCATACTTGTATGACTGCTTCTCGGGCGGATGCGCAGTAATGCAGCTGCATGACTCGGTCATGCCGTACCCTTGCTTGAATCCTGTCCAGGGGAAGCGGTCTTGCAGTTTCTGCAGGATTTCACCTGATATGGGGGCTGCTCCGGAAGAGAAGCGCTTTACGTGCGAAAGATCGTACTTGGATACAGTCGGGTCTTGTAGGAGACGGATGATAATTGGTGGCACGGAGAGAATCTCACTAATTTGGTATTCGACGATGGTGCTGAGCATGGAATCCATCGTGAACGATGGGAGCATGTACACCGAGCTGTTACGGATAACAGGAAGGTGCATCTGATGGACGAGCCCGGTGACTTTTCACTGTCAGCGTTTGGCAAGATGGGTAGTACGTCAGACTTACTGTGGAAAAGTGGTAGGACGGCGAGTGACTTTTTGGTATCGTCGTGGGTGAGCTGGATTATTTGCATGCATTGTGCAATTACATTATGATGAGCAATCATCACCTTCCCAACATTAGCTCTGCGTAGTGAGTAGTATTTGATAACTTACAGCCTTCGGAAGCCCGGTCGTGCCAGAACTGAAGCTTAGGAAACCACACACGTCCCTGTTTGTCTTGCCCTCTGGAAGCTTGTATGGAACAGCCTGACCCCCAGGACCATATCGCTTGCCCTTCTGCACGAGTTGCTGTACGGAGACGTACTCTCCCTTGGAACCTTCGAGAAGAAAGATGCGCTCTGGAGGAATTCCCGCATTCTTCGCAGCGGGTATCGCAACATCCATTGATGAGGGGACGGTCATTAGGAACTTTGCGTTGCCGGTCTTGAGGGCATAGGTCATCTCCTCGACGTTATATGCCGGAGATGCTCCGGAGATCACACCACCTGTCAATGGTCAGCATCCATTATCTCATCATCAAAGCCAGACATACCAGCACGGACAGTCGCAAGCATTGCGACCGGATACCATATCGTATTCGGGCTGAACAGCGCCACCGTATCACCAGGCTTCAACCCATAATTGACAACCAAAGAAGTCGAGACGTATGTCGTCAGATCCTTAAGGGCATCGTACCGGATCGCTTCTTTTGTGATGGCATTTACGAACGAGCCAAGTTCCTCGGGCTTGTTCGTCCGCAAGGGCGAATACTCCGAGTCGAAGAGCCACTCCCAGATGGGGATGTTGGCCGGGACTGGAGGCGTGTGTTAGCCCTGCATTCGACATGGTTGTTCAGGGGGATTGGGGAAGGTACTGTTGATGCGCGGTCTTTCGGAGGCGAAAACCATCTTTTCGAATTAGTGTCTTAACAGTTGTCAATTTGGAGGAATTCGAGGGCCAATTCCATATTTAACTGCGGAATGCGGGGAGGCGGGGAAGCTGGGGAAGCTGGATAGACCGAGGTTGCGACCCCGCAATTACATCGGTTATAAGAAGCGTATAGTAATCATATACAACATATTGATTAATTGGAATTCGGTATACATCATTGCTGGCTGTCGATGGAAGCCGGTTTGGAAGGCATTATTTACGTCACTTAGGTTTTGGAACCTTTCTCTCTTCAATGGTCTGTGTGATGTCGATATGTACCAATCGCCAATCTAGCCAGTTTATCTACGCTTCCATAGCCTAGAGCAGGTGGACGAGGGTGTGGATATTGATAGGTAAGTACTGGAGAATAGATTGCACTTATATGTTGATGAATAACATGACTTTTTTACTAAAAAAAGCCAAAGAGTGGTACCAAGAGTTCTTTTATTAATGACAGCGTTTTGAACCAAAGAAAGGAAACAGCTCTGCTCCAAAATATTGACATATAAATGGCAGCAAAGTGTTAAGTTCTGGGACCCCAAGGCAAATAAAGACTCTCGAACCGACTGACTCTGCCTTTGGAGACCGTGCTTGCTTGAAGTGGAAGTACTCGATCCACCAGGTCCTTGGGCGTATTCTGATAACTTTCCGCTCCTCCGCGCGGAAAAAGCCTTTCTTATCACCAACAGGGTGCCAAATGAGCCCTACTTTGTCTTTGCTCCATAGCGCGACGATGCGGAATGTACCAACCTCGTCGCGCACAGGTGCGCCGGGACGCTTCCTGGGCCTGCCCTTACTGGTTTGATTACTATAGTCAAAGTGAGTAGCCACATATGAGAATAACACGATGGGTCTGCCTCTAGGGCTTGTCGGGGTTCCGTTAGGGGGGCAGATTGACTTTTCTTCCTCCAGGAACAAGTTTTCGGTGTCCCAATGTGCATGGGGCCGACGGCCCCATCTCTCATGGTGGGTGGGAAAAGGCGCCCGGTCGACCAAATATTGAGCGACATACCCTGGGGACTCGGCGTTGCCACTATGGCTCTTTGGAGTGCTTGTCGTCCGCCGAGGTAGGAGGTATACCTTTTGGTAAGAGTTGGTTAGCATATCTATCTGGAAGGCTGGAAGACATGGGCTGTACCTTATCCTCATAGGACTCAAAACAACAATAGTAGATAAGCCAATCCATAATTAGATATATCGATCACTCGATGCCCGTCAGCTGTACGGAACCGGAACGCCGATTTCGGGCGTCCAGATATAGCCATCTAAATAGTGGCATGGAGTGGGCATAGTTCATTATACCCTGACGAAGTCAAAGACAGAGTAAACAAAGGCTGCATTATATCAAATTGCGTGTATGAGGTCCACAGCGTTACAGCAGCACTTATGAAAGCCAAGGGGCCATGTCATGCGGTTATCTCTTTGTGAGTTAGGGTTCGTGAGTCTTTTCATTGTTGTGCTTTTAGTGTATATAAACCACTAGTCTCACTTCTAAACAGCAATTCACTATTCCAACCTACTCATTCGTTCTTGCAGTTTTAGTATTCCTTTGTTTCCACTAGTGACTATGTCTACACCCTTGAATTTACAACTCGACAACCCCGACCTTGAGGTCATCGACCAATACGGGACCGTGAAGGCATTCCAAGTGCTTAAGCAGTACCTGGAGACTGAAGAACTGTCGCTACGGGAAGCGGCCTCCCAGCTGTACCAGATGATGCCCGATTACAAGACCCAAATCGGGGCTGCAGAGATTGACCTAGGCAGTGCTATAATAGACATCGCAGAGCAAATTCCGTATAACCACAAAATGCAGATAAAGCTCGTTGACCTTATGAAAGAGCTTGCGGAGGCCGATCGGTTCAACAAAATCAGCGGTGACAAAGATCAGTTCGCTGGTTACAGAGCCATGGAAGAACTTGACAGAGAGTTGCATGATCGATGCTTTTGTACCCTCCCTCCCTTAGTTACTGCTGCGTTTAAACATAAATTGACTGCTAACTAACTACGGTTTGCCTTCACAGTCGCATGGGATAACAGCCTCGAGGCATCCCGGGTGATAAATACCTGCGCATTCTCCGCCCGTCTCGCCGGTGCTGGGATCATCTCGCGGCCCCTGACCTTGATGATATGGACTTTCAGGGCTGCTTTAGAGAGCCCACCAAATAAAGCCCGAGATTCCGATGTGGCCAGAGTATTTACCATCATCTGCTCTGTGTGGATCCTAGCCGGTGCTGGATACTACGCTTATCAGAATCTCGTCCTTAACCCGCCTCCCGTTGATGCATATGAGCAGCAGATTTTCCAACCGCACGAGCTCTATGATGGCCCGATTTTTGGGATCCAGCGGTGGAACTTTTGGCAGCGGACCTTGGTTGAGAGGGGTGAGGATGAGCGTATTACTGAGGAGGCGAGGTTGTTGGCGCGCAAGGCGGCGGACTATATGAAAGCTCTTGCGCGTGATATTCAGTGGTAATAGGCTGTGAAAGGTCATGGTGGATATGCTTCTTTGTTTTACTGCGTGATTTATGTTTATTAAGTTATTATGTTTGCTAATTCAGCTATATACTCGAAACATAGGACGCTGCCCCTCATCGGCTTCGAGCGTCAGAGAGGATGAAGTCTGCCTAAGCTCAAGCAACAAACTCGTAGCGTATATTGCTGTTGTAATTAGTTGAAGGGGGGGACCGTATCAAAAATCAGTCATCTTGCCTTTTTAATTCTACTAAGAGCTTTAGAACATACTTCACCAGACACAAGGCTTATGCGCACCTAGAGAGAACCCCATTATAACGAAGACAAACAACGAAGGGCTTATATACCTGTCCATAATACAGCTGGAGTTACCCAAAAGTAACCGAACGGCCATTTAATAAGTAGCAATGATATGGGTGCTCCTAAAATGCCGTCCGGGACATTCCGTCAACGGATTGTATACATGTATATCACCGAGGGCCCTCCATGCACCTATACAGATTTTCGCGACAAAACCCGGTATCAAAGTTCTGTTGGTCAATATAATGACCATGGCAGACGCTCGTCCGTTAGATATTGTTGTCATCGGCGCTGGTATATCTGGGTTGACCGCGGCGGGGGCTCTTGGGAGACAGGGTCATCGGGTTGTGGTAGGTTTTCTCCTTCTTGTTCATAGTGTATCAATAAAGGTCGAGTGTTAATCTTGATTCCCGTATAAATAGGTACTTGAAAAGTCCAAATTCAACAGGGAAACTGGGGCAGCCATTAATGCGCCCCCGAACTGTACGGCGCTTCTGGAGTGGTTGGACATTGATCTGCGTGACTTTGGGGGGACTCTGCTAGAAGAGGTACGCCTTCTGGACTAGATATTGTCAGCTAGAGCTTGGCTGATGATGTCAGGTTAACCGGCATGATCACCGTGGAACGGTGAAGTTCCATACAGACTTTGATGCTGTTCGGAAGATGTGGCAGGCTGTAGGTTCGCTCCCCGTAGTCATACACTGCTAACAGAACTAGGAGTACTGTCTAGTACATAGATGTGACTTGCACGGCGCCTTGAAGCATCAAGCACTAAAGGGTGCAGAGATCCACACGGGGTGCGAGATCGTGGGCATAGATACCTCCACCAGCCGTCCATCAGTAACGCTGGACGACGGCCGCGTCTTCGCAGGCGACCTGCTGATCGGCGCAGATGGACTTCATGTATGATCACTTATCCGTAATTCCAGTGTGTGATATGTTATTGACAAGACCAGTCGGTGATTCGCAAGAAAATCGCACCAAATGCCCCCGACCCAACACCTGCAGACAAGTCCTGTTTCCGCTGGCTGCTACCAGCAGACGAATTGCGAGAGCTGTCCATAACGGCTGATATAGTACGACGAGGAGCTCTCATGGAATGGGCTGCACCGGGAACAGCGCGACTTGTAATGTATCCCTGCTCGAACAACGAGGTGTTGAACCTCGTCGCGTTTATGCCGACAGCTCAAGTCGGAAACCTGGGAGAAGGTGCGTATAACACCCTGTGAGTAAGCAAGACACTGATCATAAAAAGGCTGGGAGGCAACGGGAAATAAGAAGATTCTTGTCAATGGATTCGCAGACTTCTGTCCTGCAGTGCGCGAGCTGGTTGGGCGCGCTGGCGATGATCTCAAGATGTGGCAGCTGTATGATATGGAGGCGCTGCCGCACTATGTCGACGAAAGAGTAGCTTTAATTGGAGATGCAGCGCATCCATTCCAACCGTGTGCGTTTCTCTCTGTTCTTAGCTTGGTGGGGACTGACAATGATTAATTGTAGATCTGGGCCAAGGAGGCGCGATGGCGATTGAGGATGCCGTCTCGCTTGCGATCCTCTTGCCGATGGGAACAACAGTAAAGGAGATTCCGCACAGATTGGGGCTGTATGAAACTTCAAGACGGCCACGGGTTGAGTTGACGTTGTATTACACGGCGCTGAATGCGCGGAACGAGGACGAGCAGTCCACCGACACAGAAACCGGTAAGTACAGCGGCGCCAACAACAAAGTGCAAGCTGACAGTACAGCGGCGGAAATGGCGAAGATTATGGGGACGATTAGCTCACATAACGAAGTGGCACATTCCACGGCGGTTCTGCAGGAGGCGCAGTCGGCAGTCGGAGCTGGGACGAGCGACTTTCCCGATTCGGACAAGGGTGAAGCCATCGCAGGGTAGCATTAATAATACATTTCCATCACTCCATAACTAGCTGATTAATGGGGTTAAGGTTTTAGAGTTGTATTCTCCGTAATATCTCCTATCTCCACAGCGTGCTTGATTCGTAGGGCCCTGAAGATGACGAACTAGGCAGCGTAGGGCAAGGCGCGAATCCATCGCCGAATCGCGGCGAGGACGGCGCACCCTGAGGGATCGTGTTCCGATAATTTTAACCAGCTTTTTCAGTCGGCCCCGTTAAGGCCGGTCGCCGATGTCAGCTGAAGATGAGCTGAAGATGTGATTCATACGAGTAAATTGCCCAAATTGGGGATCCACCTCGTATAAAAAGCTAGAACTGCCCCCATCCAGGCTGCCCTTCACCTAAGCAGCCATTGATTCCACAATGTCGACTACGAGCAACGTCGATAGTGAGAAGAATCCCAAGGAGGAGGGTGCTGCTGCTGCTGCTGCTGCTGAGCCGGAGTATCCAGCATTCGCCAAAGTGGTTGTTATCATTCTAGGGCTTTATCTGTCCGTCTTCCTCGTCGCTCTCGACCAAACCATCATCTCGGTTGCCATTCCGGAGATCACAAACCAGTTCAAGAGTATCGAGGATATCGCGTGGTATGGAAGCGCATATTTCCTGACGTCGACGGCCCTACAACCGTCCTATGGCCGCCTTTACAAGATTTTTAGTGTTCGGCCCCTGCTGGTGCACTATGGCGTCCCTTGCTGACACTTCTTAGGCCAAATGGGCGTTCCTTTTCGCTGTCTTCGTTTTTGAATTGGGCTCCCTGATTTGTGCTGTTGCACCCTCAAGCACTGTACTCATTGTCGGGCGTGCCATCGCTGGCATTGGGGTTGCAGGTATCTTCTCTGGGGCACTGGTCATCGTTGCGCTGTGTGGTATGTTCTTCTCAGTGTTCTCTCTGATTAATCTAACTTTGTAGTCCCACTGGCCAAACGTCCGCTTGTCTTTGGCATGTTCGGCATGGTGTGGGGCATTGCTTCCATTGCTGGGCCTCTACTAGGTGGCGCATTCACAGACTCAGTGTCGTGGAGATGGTGCTTCTATATCAAGTACGTAGCCCTACAGCATTACATATCTCCCACTCACATCTCTAGTCTTCCCATCGGCGGCGTATCCATGGCAATAATCATCTTCATCCTCCAATTGCCCGAGCAGAAAGAATTCAAAGGAACTCCCCTCCTCGACCGCATCAAGCAGCTCGACTTCATCGGCGCCACCCTCCTCATTCCCTGCATCATCTGCCTCCTCCTCGCTCTCCAATGGGGAGGAAACAAATACCCCTGGAGCAACTCGCGCATAATCGGCCTCTTCATCGGCTTCGGCCTCCTCGCCATCCTCACCGTCTTCTCCCAGATCAAACTCGGCGACCGCGCAACCCTCCCACCACGCATCATGAAGCAGCGCTCCGTCATCGCCTCCACTTCCTACGCCCTCCTCTTCGGCGGCTCCTTCTTCGTCCTCGTCTACTACCTCCCCATCTTCTTCCAGAGCGTCCGCGGCTCCTCAGCCATGACATCGGGCATCCAGCTCCTCCCCCTCATGCTCGCAACCGTCGTCTCCTCCGTCCTCTCCGGTATCCTGGTGACAGTCTTCGGCTACTACACCGCCTTCCTCATCGGCAGCACCGCCCTCGCCTCTATCGGCGGAGGCCTGATAACACTCTACTCAATCGACATCCCCAACGGCAAATGGATCGGATACCAGATCCTGCTGGGCGCAGGTGTCGGCGCAGGGTTCCAGATCCCGCTTACAGCCGTGCAGACCATCCTCAGCCCGCAGGATATCCCGCAGGGTACAGCGGCGGTGATGTTCTTCCAGACACTGGGCGGGGCGCTATTCATTGCGGTTGCGCAGTCGCTGTTCCAGAATGGTCTTATTGATGGGGTGAGGATGTATGCGCCGTCTGTGGACCCGGCGAGGATTGTTGAGGCCGGTGCGACGGAGATGAGGCATGTGCTGGAGGATTTGGGGCAGTTGGATCAACTCCGGAATGTTATTTTGGCGTTTTTGGATGGGTTGGTAGATACTTATAGACTGAGTCTGGCGTTGTTTTGTGTGGCGTTTGTGGCGAGTTGTTGCTTTGAGTGGAAGAGTGTGAAGAACGGGGGTGGGAATGCGGAGGCAGTGCCTGCTTTGTAGGGTTTGTTTTATTTCTAAGAGGGTTAGAGTAGATGCTGTCTGGATGGTTTATTCTGATAGTATGATAGATAGATAATTAATATAATCTCCTCTTCCTAGTCTGCTTTAACCAGTATGTCCCTCCAGGCTCTGCGGTCTAACTATCCATATTCGATAACAAAAGACAACCATCGAATATGTAGCAAGTATATATTGCTGCCGTCAGTCCTGCGCCTCTGGTGTGTTACAGTTAAATGTACTCCATGTCTACACCATGTAAGTCGGCTTCTGCAGCTCTGTAGCATCTTCAGACCTCCACAGCGACGTAACCGTCTTCCACTGCGTGTAAAACCGCAGACCATCTTTACCGTAGAAATTAAGCAGCCCGGTCCCACCCACACTACGCTTGTTCCCGGTAAAAGAGAACATAGGAAGCGGAACAGGAATAGGCACGTTGATGCCAACCTGGCCAGCCTCGATCGTCTTTGTAAAGTGTGATGCAGCAGAACCGGATTGCGTGAAGATCACTGCTCCATTGCCCCAGTCATTCGCATTTATGACGTCTATTGCTGTGTTCAGAGTATCGGTTTCCATGCAAAGCAGCACAGGTCCGAAGATTTCTTCTTTGTAGCACTTCATATCTGGGCGTACGCCTGTAATTACGGTGGGACCGACCTACAGAATATTAGTTATAGTTTGGTTTATGAATAGTTGTCTTACCCAGTTCCCCCTGGGGAAACTATGTGCCTTGAAGTCCCGTCCATCCACCAACACCGTGGCACCCTCTTGTTCAGCACTGGTGATCAGCTCAATACAGCGGTCCCGACTCTGGGGAGTAATCAAGGGCCCGAGATCTGAATTGCTATCAAATCCACTGCCCGCTTTATACTGCTTTGCTTTCTCCACAAGATCCGGGATCCAGTCGCGAGCAGAACCAACAGTCATTAGCACACTAAGAGCCATACATCTTTGCCCCGCCGCACCAAAAGCAGCGCCAGCAATCGCGTTCAGGGCATGCTCTTTATTACTATCCGGTAAGATAGCAGCATGGTTCTTAGCGCCCAGATTCGCCTGCACGCGTTTCCCATTCGCCGTGCCACGGTTGTAAATATACTCGCCGGCGCGATTCGAGCCTACGAACGAGATTGCGTGGATCTCAGGGGCGTCGAGGATAAACTCGACAGCGGGCTTTGAGCCGTGAATGACGTTCACCACGCCAGGAGGAAATCCGGCCTCTTTACACAGTTCCGCGAGGAGCATTGCGGCGCCCGGGGCACGCTCTGTCGGCTTTAGGATCATGCAGTTCCCTGTCACAACAGCGATAGGGAGACTCCAGAGCGGGATCATTGCGGGGAAATTAAAGGGACAGATGGCTGCGGTGACGCCTAGCGGGAGACGGTAGGATCGGGTCTCCATGTCCTTTGCCACCTCTAGGACTTCGCCAGGGAGTTGGGTGGTGATACCGCAGGCGGTTTCGCAGACTTGCAGGCCACGAAGGACATCGCCGCGTGCATCTGCCATTGTTTTCCCCTGTTCGGTTACGATTGAGATTGCCAGGGTGTCCATGTTCTCGCGGACTAAGTTGGTCAGCTTGAACATGAGCTGCTGGCGTTTCATGATGCTTGTGCTGCTCCATTCTGGGAATGCATCCTGGGATGAGAGAACTGCGGCCCTGAGCTCTTCTGGGTTTGATTCTGGGACTCGACAGACGATGGTGTTTGTGGCTGGGTCGTGGACTTCAATCCATTTGGATGTTTTGGACGGCAGGATTTCATTGCCGATGAAGTTTTCAACATCGCGGATTACTTCGGGCGTCTCGTGCGTGCCCTTGTAGTTGAATGTACAGAATCTCGTCTGGGAACTCATCGTGAGATCAAGAAGAAGGGGGATGTAGGGGGAGAGACTGAATGAAGACTGCGGGGTTGAATGAAATGCAGCAGGTCGCGTGACTGAAGACACTGCATAAACAGCCAATCAGTATTCTATACTGAAATTCACAGAGGTTGCCTTTTCATCATCTGCTGTGCTGTATCGGCGTCGTGGGGGATCTTGTAGCTCGCCATCTAGGTATATCTGGGCTGGACTACGATCAGCTTGGTTACCCTAAGTACCATTCACTACGCAGTTGTCGCGAGTCAAGCTGGCATCTGGATGGAATCATGAGCTCATTGTCTGTTACTATTTGGCTCTGGCTATATAATACTGTCATGGCTTTCTAGTAGACATGCAGTGACAGCCGATCAGATTTTAGATTCGATATTCGACGCACGAAGATCAAAAGAGACATCATAAGCAGCCAGTGCGCCTCGCTCAATTGCGCCATCAATAAAGCCTCGCCAGCCGACTGCCCAGTCTGAATTTGCGAAAAGAACGTTGCCAGCTCGCTGCTGGAGTGCCTCAAGGTGTTTAAAGCTAGAGTCAGGGGCGAACATACACCATGCCCCCTCTGCAAACGGATCCTTGCTCCAATTGTGCCATATCTAATTAATAGCGTCAGTTACTGTACAGCAATTCTACGTTGGACTCACCGTCTTCTTGACATCCATTTCATGGAGATCTTTACAATCAGCAACGAAATCACGACCATCTAGCTCAGGAGAGCTGAAATCCTGGTTAGATCCAAAGAACACAAGATGCGTATTGCCATCCGGAGTCAAGCCATCTCCAGCTCCATGGCATTGTCTTTTAACGGGCCAGGCTGCACCGGACCACGATCGGAGCGCAGGACCAGACACTTCAAGGTGGAACTTTGCACCCTGGTTGATATTGGCGACTGCCGTCTTGTTTGGGCTGAGAGCTGGCTCGAAGTTGACTTTGTGCAGCACGTTTAGCGGGACAGTGCAGATGACTCTTCCGGCAGTCCATTTGCCATTGACGACGACGCGGTTCTTCAGGTCTTGAATCGATGTGATGGTGGTTTTGAACGCGTAGGTGAGATTCCTCGTCCTCAGTGCCTCGTCAAAGAAACACCTGGCGAAGCTGGACTGTCCGGCTGCAATCTTGAATTGGTCTCCGGTCTCGTATACTCCGTCCATTGAGTATCCGCCTAGAGCCCACCACCGGAGAACATCGAAGAAGCCGGCGTTATCCATATCGGCTCCGCAGATCGAAGACAGGCTCGATTTCAGCAAGGAGACCTCTTCGCCTGTCAGGTCTGCTCTGATCTGCTCGAGCCGCTGCGCAACGGACATGGTCTCCCATTGTTTGGCCTCTGGGGAATAGTGTGGATCGTGTGGATATGGGATAACTCGCCGACCCAGCTTTCCATCGACATCGCAAAGCATTCTAAACGCTTTTTCAGCCAATTTGTGCTAGACTTGTATTAGCCAGGTAAAAGTCGACAAACTGTGGGTCTTGGGTCAACAATACCGCCGTTTCAGGGTCCATTTTGCCAGCCTTGCCCTCGAGAACCGTAGAATGGTAATTGAGACCCGCGCCGCTTTCAATATGGCTAGTGGATAGCGACGCCTGGCGATATCGAGACATCTCGCGGTATACATGGGGTTGGTTCCAATGCACCCAGGTGCCCCCCATCTCATACAAGTGGCCGCCAACATCCACGGTATAAGTCCGCCCCCCGATTCTGTCTCGCGCTTCGAGGAGGAGCACCTTGAACCCGGATATACACAGGTCTCTACCGGCTGTCAGGCCTGTGTACCCAGCGCCCACTACTATCACGTCGAACGTGGATTGTTGATCGGTGACATTTTGCGGAGGTGTGATAACACCAGCACATTTGAGACCACGATGGAGAATGCCACTGTCGTTCTCGAGGTAGAAGCCGTCCTGGGTTGCCATGTCGGTATAAGAATAGAATGGACCTTGAAGAATCCCAAATATAACCCATATCGCTTGTCAGGAAGTGGGGATATATACTCTGGAAGGAGGACTCCGCGTGATGGCTCTCATATAACATTCCTCTTCAGGTTTAGCGCTATCCGTGTCTCCAAATCCATCTTAGTCATCTATGAAGAATGTCATCGTTTATTCACTATGCTAGTGTAGGCTTATTGTTCCTATTCCTGCGCTATTGCTCCTCGTCTCTTCCGAACATATTTTGTTCTCTTTGCTTGATCTTTCGTCCCCGCTTTAAAGTATTAGAGCTTTCTGCTTTGTAAATAGCCTCCGTATGATGTCTCACTAGCCTCGGCTGCTGATTGTCTTTGACAGACTGCTGGAGTATATATATATATATCCGTTTTCATAACTCAATATCTACGTGGTATTATTATTGGCCCAGTTCCTTCAACCACAGGCTTGGTAAAATCACCCCGGCCGGCATTCACCTTATTGACAAATCACAACGACATGAATATTATGATTTACCAGTTAGGGGAACAAGTATGAGGTGGCTATTAGTGGAGAGCTGACGCTGCCACGATCTTACTCTTGGAAAATGTCTGCTGGTGAAATCACAGGTGCATTCTCCAGTATGACGGCGAAAACAGCCTATCCTAAGCTGATCCTGCGGTTGAACTTCGGGTGTGGTCTATGCTCTCGGGAAATTACATCTTCCAATGCGGCTTCCTCCACGAGTATTGCAGCGGCTGGAATCGGCTTGTCGGGTCACGATGCTGAGATATGTCATACTGCATATAGCAATAGTGATAAGCAGACCCAGTTGAGTTATGAAGGCCAGCGAAGATGACGCGCAATATACCCTAGCTGTGGATGTAGATAGCCTGAGATGAAGTCATAGTGTTCAGGTGTATCATTCAGCTCTTCGACGATAGGTAGACGAGATTATGGATAGAGATACCCCAGAAAGCCCCGGAATGCTCGGGACTGAAGAGTGGTAAGCACCAGGCAGAACTCTACCGGGCCCGGTGATGAGGGGCCCCGGGGGGTCTCAGCCGGGCCGGTAGAGCCTGCGCCGGCCCGGGAACGGCGGCCTGGGGTTGGCTGTTCGCAACCCGAACTGGCCGCTAAGCCTTTTTTGGGCGCAGATTGTGGGGTTCTGCGCCAATTTCCAAGCGCCCGATGTTATGTAAGCAGGCGCTATTTGCCTGCAAAAGCTTGGTGTATAGAGGCTGTTTGACGCTGGGGGGGCACGTTTTGATGCGGGTTTTTGCAAGAATTCTGCACGAAGCCAGGCACACTGGGGCAGCAGAGATAAGAAAACGCCTTTTACTGGACTGGGAGAGCCGGTGTGAGTAGCTTATCTGGCGCTATCACAACGTAGTGATGAATTTAGGTAATTTTCTCCATTTTTCTCCATCGCCACGCGCCAAGCAGAAAAAAATTATGGGTCGACAGGGCATCGTCTCCGGTCGACCTCCACGTCGCGCGACTCTGAGCAACCTTTTTCTCTTGTCTATCCCAACCTCGAGGCCTGTCAGATTCAACTCTCTCGACAGCTACCCATCATGAGCGTCCCCGAACGACCCCAGCCTGTTCCGAACGACATCGAGGTCTACAATGACACCACAGACACCGAGAAGCAGTTCCAGAAAGATTCTGGTGCTGAAGATGACCCGTTTGGGAATGAAGAGACCGGAGAGGTCAAGTATCGAGTGATGAAGTGGTGGTAAGTCCGGACTGATCATTATCGAGTTGAATGAACCGTCTAACCATCTCGCAGGCAAGCCGGAACGCGTATGAACCCATTGTCTTCATGGTGAAGGTTATCTAACAGTCCGCAGTTATGGTCGCCGAAAACATCTCACTTGGTATTCTGTCTCTTCCATCCGCCGTTGCAGTCCTTGGAATTGTCCCGTAAGTCCTCAATATGTCGAAACTGGGACTATGGCTGACCTCGACAGAGCTTTCCTGATTCTCCTCGGTCTTTCCGGTATCTCATGGTACACGGGCTATATCATGGGCCAGTTCAAGCTGCGCTTCCCCCAGGTGCACAGCATGGGTGATGCCGGCGAGCTTCTTATGGGTCCGTTCGGCCGTGAGCTGTTCTACTTTGGCCAGATCCTGTTCATCATCTTCTTGATGGCCAGTCACATCCTCACCTTCTCCGTGCTTTTCAACACCATCACCAACCACGGAACCTGCACTATCGTCTTCGGAGTAGTCGGCCTGGTCCTTTGCTGCATCTGTGCGCTTCCGCGCAAATCCGGCAAGGTGTTCTACATGTCCATTGCCTCTGCTATCAGTATCCTCGTTGCTACTCTGGTCACCATGATCTCCATTGGAGTCGAGGCCCCAGATGATGTTCCAAACGAGATCACCACCTCTCCCTCCTTTGCGGATGCCTTTTTGGCTGTTACCAACATTGTCTTCGCCTACATCGCCCACGTGTCCTTCTTCGGTATCATGTCTGAGATGGAGGACGTACGGGAATTTCCCAAGGCCCTGGCCATGCTCCAGGTTGTCGATACTATTATGTACATCGTCACGGCCATGGTCATCTACTGCTATGCCGGCCCGGACGTGGCCTCTCCAGCTCTGTCATCGGCTGGTCCGCTCATGAAGAAAGTCGCCTACGGCCTCGCCATTCCAACTGTAAGTCGTTCATGCTTTTCTTCATCTACTCATCTAACAATCCATAGGTCGTTGTTGCCGGTGTCGTCTTCGGCCACGTTGCCTGCAAGTACATCTACGTCCGCATCTTCCGCGGCGAGCGCTCGCACCACATGCACCAAAACAGCTTCCTCGCCCTGGGCACCTGGGTCGCGATCGGTCTAACAACCTGGACAATCGCCTGGATCATCGCCGAGTCGATCCCTGTATTCAACGACCTACTCAGTCTGATCAGCGCCCTGTTCGGCAGCTGGTTCAGCTACGGCCTCCCCGCCATCTTCTGGATCGTCATGAACAAGGGCCAGTGGTTTGCCAACTGGAAGAAGATTTCCCTGCTCATCATTAACCTGATTATCCTGGGCATTGCCTGTGCTATTTGTGGTTTGGGTCTGTATGTCTCGGGCAAGTCGATCAACGAGAGTTCGTCTAGTGCTACCTGGACTTGTGCCAACAATGCCACTTAAAGGGTACCGGATACTCGCTTCTGGAAGGGGCTTGTTGCTACGGCTAGAATGGTTGTTTTGTTCTGCAAGGTTCTATTGTTATATATGCTGGGATTTAGGATTTTCTTTTACGTAGATAGCTTGAAATGGCTGGGCGAGCTTGGTCATTGTATATAGACTCGCACATTTACATAGAAGTCGCATGTTGCATAACTAAGCGATGTGATTATTACATTCGTATTTTCCAATATTCGGCATCTAGATGATTTCTACATCCGTAATCCGTAGTAATCGCTGATTGTAGAAGGAATTGGAAAGAAAACTGGCTCCACTGTTTTGCCGTCAGATCCGTAACCATGTCATGTCCGGTTCATTTCGTATTAATATTAAAAACCGTTACGATGCTCTAAACCTTCCAATCAACCCCGCCTTATACTTCTGTGTACAAATGCGTATATAATGGAGAGGCACCGAATAATACCACGACTCTCCAACTTTCTTAACCTTTGTATAGACTGACCAGCAAGGTCCGCAGGAGTATACCCATCACGGTCCCGGGTTCCAGGATCCGCCCCAGCTTTTAGCAACCGCTCCACCACCTCTCCACCTCCCAGCCAGGCTGCCAAATGCAAAGCAGTCCTCCCCAAATCATCTGGCACCGAGAGGATATCTTCAGCACTAGCTGACAGCAGCAGCTCAACAACGTGATCATGCCCTGAATACACAGCCCAGTGTAAAACGGTATACCCCCCCGAACTACGCGCGTGCATATCGGCCCCTCTATCAAGTAATAGCTGGATAGTCGATAGGGTTCCAGCCTTGATTGCTAAATGCAGCGCCGCCGTGCCCCCAATAGCTGGTGCATTAGGATCCAGCCCACAACTGCTAGGCGCGTCTAGTAAAAGCCTGGCAGAGCTCTCATGGCCATACTGACAAGCACTGTGGAGGGCAGTATAGCCGAGCTGATTCGTCAAACTCAGGTCGAATTTGCGTTCGAGGAGGGAAGTGATGAAATTGTCTAACTGGTTTGCGGCGCAGATGTGTAACGCGGTGTTTCCGTGTTCGTCCTTTATTGAGATCCAGTATTTTGGCTTGTATTGGCGGTCGAGGCCTGGGATGGCGATTGCGAGGTTTATTAGGTCCCAGGGGTCGAGGAGGCGGGCTATTAGGAGGAGAATTTCGGTGGGGAGGGGTGTTTGCTTATTGAGCAGCATAGGAGGGAGTATATTATGAGCGGTGGCATATAACGGACTGTTGGTGAGATTCAATGTCATTGCTTTATATGAAGTTCTCCAAATTGGAGAAGGCAGCCTTTTATCTTGCTTTAGTGCCACTTCAGTACTGCCCAGTGTTGAACTGTCTTTCTCACCCATCCTTTCGTTTTAACTCAAGATTTCTCCTGCTGTCTGACGGGTTGGAAGTAGTGTGGATAATATAATTGCATGTGCCAGCCCTAGAACCGTACAGCTTTCAGCCCCAGACTGTATAACGCCAAGCTGCTAAACAGCTGCTAAACACTTAAAGCTAAGCGATGGGCCCCAACGATTTCTGCTAGTTATGTACCCAATGAGATCCATAATAACTGTGCTGCACCTATAGTTATTTCCCCGCGCCCTTTGAGGCCTAGTGGAGTTGGCTTACCCCTGAACAAATCGCTTTCTCATAAGTTGCACATCTTCCCCTTCTCGTCGCCCCCGTTGATCTTCAGCCCTATCCTCATCGACAATCTCGTCATGAAGATCACGTCCGCCCTCGTCCCAGCCCTATCCGGCCTCGCTGCCGCCGAGAGCACAGTGTCATTACTCCTCTTCGCTGTCGACTACGACCAGGACCACGTCGCCTCCATCGTGACCAGCGACGCGACCGCAACAACCTACAGCCTCACCTGCCCGACAGACGTCGAGAGCCACGACTGCGACGTCCTCAACGGCATTACGGCCGTCGCTGATTCCAAGGACGACTCTTATACCTGGTGGGGGAGCGCCAGGGATGGATTGTACGTCCTTCCCCATTGTCTATGTTCCCCCTTCTGCAAGCTCCGTGTGCTAATGAGATAATAACAGCACCGCAACATGGGCCTGCGGACCCTCCGGCACCGAGGAGGGCGTTTGCAAGAAAACCTCGGAGGGAACTGATGTCGGGCTTACTGCGTACTTCACGAACTATCTCTCTGCTACGGTGACGGGTGGCAGCGCGGCTGCTACTGCGTCTAGTCGTCAGAGTACCTCTACTGCCAGTGCGTCTGAGGGTGCTTCTGGGAGTGAGAGTGCGGCTACGTCTACGCCTACGCCTACCGGAAGTGAGGAGGAGACTCCGACTGGGGGTGTTCTGAGGGTTACGGCGGCGGCAGGCTTGATTCTTGGAGGGGCAGCTGTTGCGGTGATGGGGGCTGTCTTGTGAGAAAGGACTATACGTGTGGAGCTGAATTAGGTCTACAGGCTTACAACCAATAAACAGGCTGGTAACTGTTTAATCTTTATATCGTCATTATTAATAAACTGAGGGGAGAATGCATGCATATAGATCCCCGTAAACAACATCCAATCACTATCACGAGGATGTTGGCTGCCATGTCATCGTCGGCGCTTGCTTTCACCTCAGCCTTGGGCAGAACTCGAGACATCATTGCCAGCCCCCCCCCCCCCCGTTATTGCGTGTTGGGATGGGCAGATCTCGCAGCACCTTTAAGCCAGATGCAGCCCTTCGTAAGTGATTTCGCGTATGTGACACCGTCTTGGGCGCAATGCCAAGTTCGCTACAGATGGAAGAGAGCACGCCATCTAGATCGGACGTATCACTGGAATCCAGGTTGATCTGGGAGGCATATTTACCAACCACATATCGTACCTAAACATCATGAAAGAGAGATTGAGCAACCAGTCCTCCGGACCTTCGGGGGGTAGGGCCACACGTACATGATTGTCAATGGTGATTGGGGCTTCGAAACCCTGACCAGCGGAAAGACTAAACAGGAATCTCGCCCTGTTTATCACCTTGGGATCGAATGTCGCGGTGTCAACCGGTACAAGGTCAGATACGGTGGTATGGGGCTTGCCGCGAGACTCCCCAAGCACAAGATCGCCAATAGAAAAGGTGACGTTGGTACCGGGCTCGTACTGGTATGTGAAGCTGTCGGTGGTGATGCCCTCATTGGAGCCACATCGGTACGACAGCCCGACCACGTCTGGAAAGATACCGCCGACGCTCATTTTTGATGAATGGTGGTAAGTCAAGTATAAACGAAAAGCTTGTCAGGCGAAAGAGATACAGCTTATAGTGCTGGATGGCGAGGCAAAGTGTGAGTACCACGGAGATACATATAAGGACCCGTGAGCCTACGATACTGCCTCCATAGACATCGTCGCCCTGGTCCGATAATAGCACCGAGGCAGATACCATAACTCCGGCCGGAAATTGTGGGTCGGGAGAAGCGAAGCCCAGAAACCCGAGGGTCGGTTTCGCTGGGGTCAGATCATGGGTATATCCTACGTCCGTCCCATGGATCTATGGTCTTACCCAAACTCCGAAAGCCTGTAGCTTTAAATCCCGAAGTTTGCTTGCGTATTTGGACCGGAAAGAGAGGTGGAGGTCGACTTTGTCATATTCACGCTGGCCCAGACACGCCTGTCTCTGGACCTGCAACTCTGAACGTTGACCTTCTATCAGATGCGCAATGCGACGGAAACAAGCCAATGGTAGGAGCTGCAGGTTCTGCGGGCGGAGATTTTCAAGGTCTGAACACCTTTCAAGGCATGAGCGTACCCGTATGGACCTCAAAGTCTGCATTGTTGAGCGGTACTCTGAGACATGCTTACCCTAGACACGAACGAAAAGCCATTCCATTGCGTTTGTGGGAAGATGTTCTCAAGACAGTGAGTTAATCAGAAAGCCGAAACCTCAAAGGGCACAGGCTCATTGATCATACTCCTCTCCTGGTAGAGATTTATTGTCTCGCCATTTGAGGTCGCCTCACGACCGCTGGCAACAGCATGGACAAACAGAGACTGCTCTAATTGCGAGACCAAATCACGCCTCAGGTCAAGTATTGAACCGAGCAACTAACTCATAGCCTGCGCCCAGTGCACGGAATGTACAGCATCTATAGATAGTAGTACATAATAATAATTTATTCTATTTCTAACCAAATAGTCTAATTAGTTAAACTAGATTCCTACAATATATTAATATTATCTAATAGTTACTAGAATCCAGGCTCCCGCAGCAGCCTTACAACTAGATAGATCTAGCTGGTAGAGGATACTATAGAAAGCCTTGTCAGATTAGCTATAAATAAGATTATAGCTGCAGCTTCTATAGTGGGCGTGTAGCTTCCAGGGGATATTATAGATAGGATGATTAGGATTAATCGTATCACAGTATATTTGAGGCTGAGTATATTGGAGGATATTAGGAGGGTATATTCCTTTCTTCCTTCCTTATATTTTCTTTCAGGGTAGTGATTCTGATATTATAGGGAAACCTGACCAAGTTTAAGAATATCCTGGGAGAGCTGTTGTGAGAAGGTACAGTGCAGAGCGTGAGTATGCCCACGGTGATGTTCTTGTACTATATGCTCAAGGCGATCTAGTAGATGGTCAAGGAGGAGAAGGGCATGGTTATATTCTGTCGAAGAGTGTATAAACTGTATAAACCGCCTTGAATTCGTTATGTATTGGAGGCAGTCGGAACATTGGAAAGGTTAGATATAGAGACCTCATCCGGTGGATGGAACCACTCCTGGTGAACTCCACTTGGACGTTCCACCGGATATTGGACCACCAGAGAGGAGAGACAGCAAGTATATATGGCGACTCACACTTTATTTTGGGTAATGAGAATTCCATAAATACGGACACCCAGTCTGCTTCCAACACCTTTCGACTTTATGCTGGTTCTTTGGAGAGTTTTGAACACCCGAAGATTACGGTATCAGACTATCGGAAGTTGCTACCCCAGGTCCAAGCGCTGTAGGGGTCATTTGGTACGAGATTGAAGAGCACTTAAATTGTGTCTGGAATTAGCAAATTGGACAGGCATATTGACCGGCACTCAAAATTTACGGCGAAAAATGTTCATATCCATGGGCAGAGGACAGTATAACACCACTTACTTTCTCCAAAAGCACCCATTGTTTCATCTATATGAGAGTCGATCTGATGATAGCAACCACTTTCAGACACTTCTAGATCGGAATTAAGGCTGTCTGCTTCGCCCATGGGCTCCATAACAAGGTTCCCCGCTCGCATTCCCGTCATGGGAAACGCACCATCACTACCGCTGAGTTGGGTCTGAGGGGGATCGGCTGATGATGGGACGGGGTGGTCCTTCAAAGTTGACGAACTGCACAATTCTGTCGGTGCTAGTCGCGGTGATTTCAAAGGCGAGGCGTGCTGCGACGGTAATTGTTCCTGCTCTCTCGGGTTTGTGTCGCTAGCTGATTCGTGATTATTATTATTTAGAGCGTTTTCTAGTTCCTGCCGCAGGCTCAACTTCAGAAGCCGCGTTAATAGCTGTTCAGTATGCTTTGCAATCTTATTCTTGGACTGAAGCTTCCGGCTTGCACGGACTATGCGTAATATTCCGTCTTTAGCTTCATTTGCGGCTCTACTGAAGGGCCGTGAGGTGGGAGTAAGGCATAGTATTACACCGGCAGTGAAAAAGTTCATCAGGACGAAAGCCAGGCTGAGCTCGTTCTCATGATGCACTGGTGATACGCGGGAGACGCGAAGCGCGGCTTTTAGAGAGAGATCCATGGATAGGCGAATGGCTGGTAGATGCTCAGCGACAACAGTTTGGAATTCCGGCCTTGCTTGGTATTCTAGAAGAGGCCTGTTTATGAAGAGTACGGCACTATCGTACGTCATTTGCAGAATCTGGGACTGCAGGAATAGGTGTCTGATTGCGCGTGCTTCTGGTGATAATGGGCTGGCCTCGTTGGCTGTTGGTATGAACTTAGGATGTTCTTTCCAATATTGACCTCTCAATATGGGGGGTACTTGGGTCTTCCAGCTATCAATGGATGCCTGGGAATTAGCAACGGCCTCCACGAGGGAGGCAAACGAATCAGGAGAGACCGGGGTTTGCAGATTGATAAGTCAAAACTTGTTGAGGGCGGTTCGGATCAGTTCATACAGCCGATACTTCTGGGCATGGTACAGCAGGTGATTCGCATTTGGGTCCTCAAGAAGACGCGACACAGTGGGTGGTAGGCACGTATCTTCCAGTTCGGTCATTTCGTGCAAATGGCAGAATGCAGCGTCAAGTGAAGCCGGTCGGCCGTATATCATAGCACTATATGTATCTGCTACGGTAATGTGATTCCAGGTCCGGCGATAGACTTGAGATAGAATCGGGTCAGGAAGGGTCACGGCGCTGGAACAGTGCATTGAGAGAGCATATGCAGAGCGGACCGAGAGACCGAGCACGTTCCACGCGAGTCCTGGGGAGCCGTGATAAATAAAGTATGTTCCCAGGAGAAGAGAAACTTGAACCGACTCCAGGCAGTATTCATCCATTAATTTCAGCACATGCAGCTGGACCTCAGCTATAAGGTCATCTCGCAAGCTAGCTGCCTGTAGAGAGAAGGAAGCTAGTAACGAATGCCCTGGCCATCTGGAGTTCTGTGCCACACATTGGAGTCCCACTGCTGCGACAGTCAGAGCCGCTATCACTCGGCCCCGAGATCTCTCGTTCCACGTCGACTGACGAAGCAGGGGAGTCACACATTGCATAAACTCGGGTTCATGAAAGATACAGATGAACCAGTGCATGTGGTCAAAATAAGCCTGAAGGGCAACCTCCGTCACCGCCGGCGGAGGCATTGACATCTTCTCCAGGGTCCACTCGACTCGAGCGTTGGGCTGGGGACTGGCGCGGCCAGGAATGCCCGTACGGTCATTGGAGTACAGGGTAGCGCGCTGTCCAAAGATGTTCACCGCAAAGCCGACTGCAGAACTGCTAGCGCCATGGCTTTCATAGGGGCGATCAGCCACTGCAACAGCTTGTTGGTTTGACGATGATACACCCGTCTGACGCCGTGCTGCAGCTCGCTTTTTCCGACGGGGAGCGTTCACGACATCTCTTGCTTGACAGGACACCCCGGCTCGCACGCACATGGTGCATGGGCGAGCTTCATCGCACTATCCAAAGGCTTTAGTTTGTAATGCCCCACACAATGAGTGACGCTGATGTACCTTTAATTTCTGCCGCCGGCACCGTTCGCAGGCACGGGAAACTCTAGGAAAAGAAGGCGACTGAGGGAGCTGCACGCGCTCTGCGCTGGACTCCATCTCGGCTATTAAGACATTGATATCCATACAATATAAATTCAGAGATGGCAAGTAAGTCAACAAGTGTAGGTGTCATGTGACCTAACTGGGTGGTGCTGTACGGGGTGGAAGTTACTTCACTGCTGTACAAGACAAGCTCGAGAGAACTCGGAAGCGGTGACAGCGTGGGGACGGGAAGGGGACTTGAGTGAATCTATTGGGAGACCCACAAAAGTCGGATTACTTTCCCCACCGGATACTTGGATAACTTCCGGTGGAAGCTCAAAGCCCAGCCAATCCTCCGATAATGGAAACCCCGCCATTGTCCACGGTCCTGAAGGCCATTTGCGTATTTAGGCGCTTGGGGGTCCTTGACGCAAATCATTGTGATTGTGTTTTCGAAGAAATCAAAACATGGAACGTGAAAAGCTTTATTCACCTGAGTTCGGGAAGTTATATGGTATGACAGACGAGGAAAGTACATTCGAGATTCACGATATGCAATAGCTATTCCAGGACTCCCAAGCTCGCTCTATATCCGCTATTTCCGCCAGTACGCCCAACGCATGCGGTGCTTCTTGTGGACTCCGCGCATTTTCCTCGGAGTTGGAATAGTGACTGTTCCAATTGGAATCGTGAGAGGCGTGGCTCGTCGCATTGTTAGGTTTGCTCGGCACAGCGTGCAGTGGGCCGGACCCAACGCTTTGGAGTTGGTGGCTCGCCAGTAATTCCTGCAACAGGCTGTGTTCTTGTGGTGTTATTGTGATGGAATCCAGTAGTGAGGCATATTGGCTAGGAAAGACGGGTGCTGTGGTGTGTCCGATAGACTTGCTGGTTCGAGATGGGCTCGATTGGAATTTTGGATTACGCAATGTGGCCATATTCAAAGATAAAATCATACAGCAGGTCGTGTGTGTGCAGGTAGCTTGAGTGAGGTGGGTTGATTAGGGCGCAAAGACTGGTTATATATATAGGGGTTCGATTCCCCGCCGCAGAGAGTTACTATGAACATAGAAGTACTACATATATGTATATTATGCAGGACCCAATTGATTACACCATCGGGCGTTCAGCGCATTGAACGGAGGGGTAAACGAGAATAATACCCACATTGCTCCGGTAACGTTTGTATTCTCTTCCACCGGAAGTGCACTGAAGAATGGAGTCCGACCCACTGGCTGTGTAATAACCCGTGCGTGGGCTTTGACAGTAGATCGTTGTTTCCTGTCAGCAATTGGGCCGTAGTACCAAAGAAAAACAGAGAGTGTATAAGGCACATTGTAAGAGAAAGTGCTGCCTCTCAGGTGTGGTGTGTCTTGAATTGGATTCAACAAAGCTCATGGCTACTGAATAGTAAGACAACATGAAGAATACCACGTATCATGGCCGACCTACAAAGAATCTGCAAAGGAAACGATTCAATCCTTTCGGTTCCAGCAGTATTACAATAAACCCTGCTATCTATTGGTCGAAACACCTTCAGTCTGGGTGAGTCCAGAAGAGAATGAGATAAAAGGAACTTGATAGCAGAGGAGATATAACAGCCACAACCATCAGACTTTTATAGAAGAGACTTAATGCAGGGTAGGATAGTTATTTTTAAAACTCTCCCTCGCCGCAACATTCCTCCACCATATCTTGATATTCTCCCCAAACTCAAAGCCCGGTACAGATCTCGCGACAAGCTTCCTAAGGGGCTCAAAGTCATCAATGGACTTTGCACCCGCAGCCCACATCGCATGAGCCAACCAGGGTATAATGTGCACATCCGCAGCTGTAACCTCATCCCCAGCAGCATAAGGCAGTACCAGCATAGAGTTCAGCTTATCAAGGCCTCCAGCATAATCCCTGTATCCCTGGCGCGAGGCCTCAAAGAACTGCTCATGTTCAGGTGAGATCTCCTCAGAATTATACAGACGATATAAATGTCCATTGTCTGGAGTGCGCATTGCATAGAGTGGGAATTCCGGGTGTGCCAGGCCATACTTGACCAGTTTTTCCTGCCGCTTGTCGACGAATGCTTTCATTCCACTTGCTGTTTTTGCGTGGAATTCGTCCGCATCACGCGCTTGGAGGAGGATGAGGTTTGTTGAGAGACGCTCTTGATGGACGTGCGTAATGAGTTCTTCAACTTTGGATGCTAGCTTCGTATCGGTTGGGAATAGGGGCTGGCCATTTGGACGGTTAGAGTCTAAGTACTTGACGATGTCTGCGCTTTCAGTAAGAGGGTTTGGAAGCGATGCGGATGTCAAAGACGGAATGGTGCCGTTTGGATTGATTTTGAGATATTCAGGGTTGAAATTCTCGGCGTCCACTGCAGAATATCTATTAGGTTCATGGTTGCGATAAGGGTGTTCGAACTTACAGAGGCCAACCTGCTTAACTTCATACTCGTCAGATTTGTATCCCTTTTCGTCGAGGGCGAGATGAGGGACGTATGCCCACTGGGAGGCGACGTCGCTATAAAGCGTAAACTATATCAGGTTAGAAGGTGCAGTGGATCTGAAAGATATGTGTTATACCTTCGGGGGTGCAGTTGCTCCCATTACGGCTGGTTCTGATGGTGGTAAATGCTCAATTGATTAAGTTGCTAGCCAGGGAAGCACCAGGATTAAGTACTCGTCTCCGATGTATACCAAATCCCGCTAAATAAACCCTATTTGTGCCAAGAAAAAAGATTACTTGATCAAGTTGCCTAAAGCGGAGCGATCACCTCTATTGCATGATCCGGTTACCCATGGATGGCCTCCCCTTACGAAACTGAGCTGTCCATTTCAAATGCCGATTCCATAATGGTCCAGACATTCCTCTCTTACAAGTAAGACGCCGAAAGTCGATGGTTTCGGGTGGGTAGGACAGTAAACGTATTGAACGAGCAATCCCCGGTATTATTATCACTATTACTATGTCTGCATCTTCTTGCGAACAATCTCCTTATACTCCTCGTCATACTGGATAAGCACCGAAGGCCCTTCCCTCTCCAAAGCATCCGAGTCCACCACAAACGCCACGAAAAACGACGCCGGCTCCGTCGGACTTGCATTCATACTGATCCGGTGATGGCACCCTGGAGCCTCGTACCAGGACCCGCCCTGCTCGATGGTCCTCATGGGATCATCGTTCATCTTAACCAAGACAGACCCATGCAGGACGTAAGCAGTGACAGAGGCGCCCCCGTGACGGTGCGGGGGAGTCGCGCCATTTGGAGGATATTCGACGAGCATGCCGACGATGGTTTTGCCGGGACAGTTTACCAGGCGGTACTGGTAGACGATGGTAGTTGTTGGTAGTGGGCAGCTATAAGTTACGGTGTGAGTTGGGTTGCTGTTGTATGTGGGGGGTTGGGATGTGATACTTACGCGGGGTTGTAAGTCGGTTCGTCCATGATGGCGGTATTTTTAAACAATTGTCTTGAAAGTCATTTCAAGGCTGTAGACTGCTTATAACTTGCCTTGGAGTAGTTATAACGTTCCAGAACGGACAACAGCGACCCGTCATGACATGCGCGGATCCAAGGTTAGAAAGTGGGACAACCAAGATCCATGGTCCGATCTGTTCCACCGGATATAAGTTGCGGCGTTGAGTTCAGAGAGATCAATTATGAAGAATCCGGCCATCATCTCGGCAACTCGGCCTTTGCAGCGGTGTCTGCTGGACTATATATCACGAGTCTACGTCACGACCTTTCAGCTTCAAGTTAACCATTGCTTAGGCATATATAAATATAAAAGCATAAAGCAAGAAACAGCCTGAAGATTACATTAAACATTTCTAACCAGCAAGCACCACCATGCAAGCCATACGACACCACCCCCCTGGCGGCACCGAAAAGCTCAAGATCGCCAGGGAAGACATACCGCAGATCGCAGACGACGAGATCCTGGTGAAAATTCACGCCGCCAGCGTCATCTGGATGGAGCTGTACTGGGACATCTACCGCAAAGATGACGGCACATACAAAACCCCCATCCTGGGGGAGGATTACTCCGGCGTCATCGCAAAGGTCGGGCCCAAGGTGCCTCCTGACAGAGGCCTGCAGGTCGGCACCGAAGTCATGGCATTCATGAGTAAAGCATTCCCCACCGACCGGAGTATCGACGGTGGCATGGCAGGCTATGCAAAGGCACACTTTTCCAAGATGGTGCCCAAGCCGCGCAGTCTGAGCATGACTGACGCTGCGTCGGTGCCGCTTTCTGCTCTTACTGCGTGGCAGGGATTGTTTGACCATGCTGAGATCAAGCCTGGACAGACTCTGCTTGTTACAGGGGCGGCTGGGCCAACTGCAATCTGGGCTGTCCAGATAGGGAAGATGGTTGGGGCGAAGGTTATCGGTACAGCAGCATCGGAGGAAAGCTTTAAGCTGCTGAAGTCGTTTGGGGTGGACCAGATCTTAAACTACAAGGAGGATAAGCTCAGCTCGGTCCTAAAGGATGTCAGTGTCGACGTCGTCTTCGATACTGTAGGCGGCGACACCACGAGGCAGGCCCTTGAGATACTCAACAAAGATGGAAAGCTTATCCATATCAAGGACAGGACAATGGTCGACCAACTCGGCAAGGAGGCTGGCGGACGGCTTATCTTCTTCATCGTCGATATGAATGCGGAACAGTTGGCAAAGATTGCAAGCTTGATTGACGAGGGCAAGCTGAAGCCAGTCGTTGACTCTGTCTTTGACTTTAATGATGTAGTCAGCGCATTCAAGAAGGGCGAGTCAGGCCGTGCCCATGGAAAGATTGTGCTCCTGGGCCCTGATGTATAGTTCTCTGGAAGAAAACGCGGAACTCTGTGGTGGACACTGTACGCGGTGGCAGTTCAGATGTATTAAACAGTTGGATGATATAGTGCCTATGACCTGAGAGGAATTTCTCTGCTGCTGAGGAGTATAAGAACCGTCCTCTGTCAATTCTTCCTTAACTTCCAAATTGTACATCCATGTATATCCATCTGAAGTACGCCCCCAGACGTGGTGCTCTTGATTTCATAACTTGACAGGTATCGAATTCAGTTATCCAACTCCAAGCCACATATCTATACTATGTACAGTATAGATATCTATTGAAACTCCGTAAAATAGTGCTTCTTCCGAATATGAGCCTCCACCACTTCCCACATGGCCTCATAAACGCCCGCAGGCCCAAAAACCTTCCTCAGCCCCTTCGGCACAAAGTCTGTCTCCCCACAAATATAACACCGGTATCCATTCTTCTGCTTCCTCAGTCCATCGTGGTAATGGAAGCGATCAAGGACCATCTTCCAGTCTAGGACCTGCCCGTCCTTGGTCTTGGGGCCTTTCCTTCCGGAACCTGGTCCATATGTAACCTCCCAGCCACACCCATTGCAGCTGTAGTGACGCAGAACCAGGTCGCTGAATTCGATTCCGACCCCGCCGCCGAACTGGATGCCTTCGCTGGGGATGTTTCGCGTGGTGCAGGTGAGGGTTCTGAGGCAATTTGATTTCTGGTGCTGGTTCTGGTGCTGGTTCTTGTATCGGTGTGTGGGGGCTGGCAGTCGCGCGATCGGACGTGTCTGTGAGAGACGCTGGTACTGCTCAGATAATGCAGTGACAATGTCGGTCCGAGCGGATTTGGTTGCTTTGTTGATTGAATCGTGGTTTGGATGGATGAGGAAGGACAGGTCATTGTGCCGGTCACGGAGGAGCGAAATGACTGTTGATTGCAGGATAATAAGATGGTGCATTAAGGACTCTCGTCCGGTGCCTGAAGATTCATCAGTTATAATACTAGTTATAATACACGAGCAGGTAGGGCATACTGTCACCGCGGCGAAAGACCGGCCCTAGAAGACGGAGATCCTCCTCATATTCATCCTGCACAGCCTCGCCATTCCCGGCCAGCAGTTTCTGCAGGGCGACATTCTTGCTCTGACTGCGACGGTCGTCTCTTCGTTTTCTCCATGCGCGATACTCGACGGAGATTGCGCCAAAGGCTGAGACGATGGCGGGGATCAGGGCGACGATTTCAAGCCCGGACATTTCCCAGTTGGTGTGCGTTTTTTGGAAATTTCACCATGGGGACTGAGTCGTATTTATGGCGGGGTTCGAGGCAAGGCTGTGCCATGCTATTCTCTTTCTATACAAGCTGCAGCTTCTGTCTGTCTTGATTGGTCTGTACGAGGAATTTCTGGCAGCCAGCCTTTCGCGTGTCTGGGCATCAGCCTTGCTGGATGCGACAGGTTACCCAGTTGGTGCGGGACCGATACGAGCTGCTAGGATCTTATGAGGATAAGTTGGTAATATTGTTAAATAATTTATGTGACTGAAGAACTACCGTCTGTGTCCGCTAACCTGTGGCAGCTGCAGTCATCGCGTGCCCAGTGTCAAGTACACATACCGGCATCCTCTGACCCGGCCTCCAACGATGGTATTCTCCAGCTCGTTGGACAGACGCTTTACAATATCCTTCTGAGCCGGGTCCACTATGTACATTCTCGTGCCCATGTGAATGACGCTACACGTCACCAGGCTGTATATCCGTTCGGTCCTTGCTTCAACTGCCACATACACACCTGCAGTTGCGTTGTGGCTGTTCAATTGGACCTCTGTCAAGGAACTATTCAATTGTCAGTCATGCATCAAAGTACAACAGGATTGAATAAACCCACATGAACCTATTCCCCTCATACATCTTGGTCAGGCGGGATAACCTCAAGTTACTAACCCCCGTCAAGGGTATTTCCTCCGGACTGAAGTTGAGATACCCCCCAAAGACATCACCAAGGATGGCGGGGTCCGAGACCGAAGGCTCAGTGGCAAATGGAGATCCTGAACTGGCATAGGGGTCACCGTAAGGCGCCAGGTAGAGACGGCCTTCTTTGCCGAACACCAGAATGGCCGTCTCGTTGAGGTCGGCTAGCAGTCTGTACGAGTGGCCAGTGACGGAGTCTACCTGGGACGCTTCTCTCTTGGACTGTATCTTGGGGGATCCCGTACTCCTGTGCTCGTTAGTTGCCTGTCTGATTTGCATCACGGTTTACTTACGCGATGCACCCTAATGTCCCGTTCCATAGCTCGGTCGTATCGATTGCGTAGTCGTACAGACCACCCGCACTCAGATAGATATAGCTCTGGATTACCAGAGACAAGTCGATGCCATCGCAATCCTTCACGGGGGCTTTCCCCTTGACCTGGAAGGAAGGCTGCTCGAAGAGTCCCACCGACTTCTCCCATTTCCCACCAAGCAGCCGAACACCGAGCCGGGATGATCTCGTCGGCCGTTTGAGATCATCCCGACGGGACGTGCCTGATAGATCTAGTAAATCTACTCTATTAACCAGGGCATGGCTATGATCTGATGAGGATTGGCAATTCCAAATCCAGATGCCTTGGGTATAGTGGGGTCTGAGTTCACCGACTGTAGGTCCACTGACTCGTAAAGTTCAGAACCGTGCAGTCTGTGGATCCAGTCCGTGGATCCAGTCCGTGAGTTTCTGTTACTTTGATTGTCTGCACTACTTACTATTGCTATACTCGATTAATGCCCGGAAACACCATGGCATAGATAACCGTGATATGTAGATAGTACAGATAAAACGAGTTAATCCAGAGATGTAATTTGCGAGTCCCAAGATGCTGAGCTGTATAGAGTGGATCAGGACCCACTGTAGAGACATCGCTGCAAGCTCCCAGCAATCACGATTCACTACTATTAGCCATAGTGTGCTTTCTGCCGAAGGCTGCAGATCGCCCACCACGAAGCAACAGGCCTTGTAGATCGGACCAGGCCATGAATTCATCAGTTGTGATTTCGCCATCCCACATTCTGTACTTCGGCTGGGTAAGAATTACAGTTTCATTGAAGTACCAGTCTTAACCCCCCATCATCCTATTCCACGTATCCAGAGACGCAGAATCAGGGATAGCAGGCATGTCAGCAAAATAATGCCCCTGGCCTGTGATATGCACGGCACGCGAGTGCATTTCACTCCCCTCCACCCATCTACCCTGCGAATCCTGCACTGCATCTCCGGATATCAACTGCAAGACAACATCCGTCACCATTTCAATAGGAACCAGCGTCTCACCGGGAAAATGCTCCATAAGGTCGGGGTTTTCAGTGATAAGAGGCGTTTTAACCACGCCAGGACAGATGGTGTTAACACGCACACCCTCAGCAAAGAGTTTCTTCCCAATGGCGCGGGTGAACCCGACCAGTGCGTCTGTCAGTGATTTATCAGTATCTGCAATAAAAAAAACTGGTTACGTGGGTCCGTACGTTTCGATGCAGAGTACAGCGGCGTCAGCATGCAGGGATATAAGCCGCCGATGCTGGCTGTGATGATAAGGTCGCGGCTTCCCTTGGTGTGGGATGGTGAGCGTCGGAAGTAGTGCATGGCCAGGTAGGAAGTATACAAGGCTCCATCGAAGTTGACATTCACTGGGGTTAGAGATGGTTCGGGTGGGATGGTCGTGGCTGCGTCTGTGTCATGCTCGGCGAAGAAGCCGAGTGCTTCCTCTGGAATCCCTGCGTTCGCAAAGACAAAGTCTAGCCGGTGGGCTGTTTCGAAGATGGTGTTGAATGCAGCTGCTAGCTGTTGGTAGTTGCGCACATCGGCTTGCAAGAAGGTTGTGTTGGGGAGGAGTGCTGCTGCTTCGTGGCCACGGGTTGAGTTGGTGCCGATGATATTCACCTGCCAGTCGGAGGTGCTGAGCTCTTTGGCGACAGCGAATCCAATTCCGCTTGCTGACTTGCTGAGTATCTGTTCTGGTTGATATGGTGGGGTGCTTACTTCCTCCAGTTATTAGTGCAACGCGTGCCATGGTGACGGCAATACTCGGCAGAGAAGGTATAAGTGTGATGAAAAGCAGGAATGAGTAAAGGAAATGCAACCTGTATGTACACTGCGGCTGAACACCCTCACATTCTAAACGAGCCGGATGGAGGGCTTAATACCCCGCATGGTCCACATGCCTCATTCCCAAAGAGCTGATACGCAGATTCTCCTGCAGTCGCTGTCGATACAGTGCCCACCAGATGTAGTCGAACCCACCGCACAAATTTCTCAATTTTTCGTCTCTGCTTGTTTCCTCTGATCTTAGAAGCTCAGGCTCTGGTGTCCCCAGTGGGACGTGCTGGTAGGTGAGCGCGGAAGGAAGCGGGCATCGTGTTCGCGTACCCTAACTGGATAAGGTTTGATATAGCAAAGGGATACTTATAATCCTCGGATCTTTACCTGTTCAGAACGGTTACAAGTATCATTACTGGCTTTTTGTATTCCATGACGCGGTCTGACGTCTTTCGCTCCCAATAGTATATAGACACTTCAACTCATTAATCTATATATGCACGCTGTTAACACTTGATGCTGCCTGGTAGATAAACATTATATCCTCCACGTAAACTGACTTTGATCCGTCTCTTCAGTGCTAGTACTGCCTTGTTTCAACTTCGCATGTATACTCTGCGCCGTCGTGTCCATATCAACCGCAGTATCCGTCTTCAATCCACTAAAACCGGTATTGCCCTCCCCTTCCAGCCCAACAAGCCCATGAAAAAGCACAGCAAGAATAGACGACTTCCAAACAAACAGCCTCTGCCGTCTATTCAACACAGCAGTCAGAACCAGAAAGACTATACCCATTACCACCAACGCAGCCGGAAGAGCCAGCCACGCCCAGTCCACAGAAACATACACCTCCGAGACAAGGACCGTCCCGTTCCCCGCGGTGAAATTGCTAGCACTCAGCGCAGCCTTGGTAAACGACGCCGCAACGTCCCGTATCACCGGTTCCAAACCCTTACTAAGGATCCTAGCAACGCTGGCCGCGGGGGTATCTGAGTCTGGCGTATCGGCCTTGCTCCACCTAGAAAAGTCGCCTGGCCCGTATTGGGTGATACTCTGCTCGAGCTCTGTGGTTCCTGCAAGATGTTTGCTGAGAGTGGAGAAGTCGCCGGTTTTGCAGGACGCAAACTCGTCTACGTTCGCCCATGCGCTTCCCCCGTAGACTTCTGTTACGCCTGTGTCATTTCCCGCGGTTCCTTGCGAGGGTTTCCAGCATGTAGGCCAGGAGGCTGCCATATCTATAGGAACCGGACCAGCGTCGGGATTCGCGAAGCGTTGGCCGAAGTCCGGGGGCGAGACGTCGAACGATGCCGTTCCATTTGTCACGGAGACGTTGTATGTTCTGGCGCAGATTCCAACAGCGCATTGCGTGGCGTGTATGATATGGAATAACTGTGCCAGATCTGCTAGTGGGGATGGCGTGGTGGTTTGATTCGAGACTATGCGAAGCTCCGCTTGGGCGATGACGAACTGTGGATCCGGTATGCCGGCATAAATTTCCCCGGAAGGAGTACTGTATCCATCGTAGTTGAAAACAGGCCATACATTGTGCTCCGTTAGGTTCAGATTTAGGAGAGCTGGACTGTCGGGGTTGCTGGGGTCAGTGGTTGATTCCAACCCAACTCTGATAGATATCGGGTCCCCCTGCGGAGGGACGATCTGGCACGGTATCACAGCCGACTTGCTGGTATCGTTGAACCCAGACGGGGTGCAATTGAACGTCGTCTGGGGGGTAATGTCTTCGCATTGACTGCACAGCCCTACAGACTGAAAGGGCGGCCATTTGCAGTTCCCAGAAGAGCACGTCACATTCGGCTGCAGATAACTGGAAAATTGGGACCAGATGCCGGTGTTGATGATGGTCTGCATGTCGGTATCGAAGGCGTCTGGGATGAAGGTCTTTGCCTGCTTTGCAACTGCCCGGCCAGAGCCAGAAGGATCAACGACCTCCCTGGTGGGATAAGTGAGGATCTGCTGGACAAATGGATCGAACGTCAACACCAAGACCACCACCAAGGCACCCAGCGAGACAATCGACCGGCCCTTGTGCTGGAATATTACATACAGAGCCCCAAGCGGGCCGCGGCTGGCACTATCGAATAGCTGTATGTGGTCCAGCTGTCGTTCCTTCTTGTAGAACCAGATCCACTTCAGCTGCCCGATGCACTCCCCGATCATGTAGGTGAGTGAAGACTTGGAGGCCGTTGCGAGGATGGACACAATTGCGTTCAGCGTGAAGCCATACGCGAAATCCGGTCGCGTCTTCCCATTGAAGGCGCCCAGGATGCAGACGATGGCGATGAAGCAGAGCAGGCTGAATACCATGGCCACGCCCTCCCAGAACCAGGTATTCAGCGCCAGAGCCATCCAGCTCTGGGAGAAGCTCTTCTCAGGCCGTTTCTCTGGCTCGGCCGGCGAGCTGGCTCGTTGAGGGACAGCCTCGTACACGGGCCCTTGATCATGGCGAGCATGAAGATGAAGGCCCTTCATCTTCACATCGGTTGTGGTGGTATGAGGTCTATTCCTTCATCCAGCGGCGGGGAGGTTTTTCACAGCTGGCACGAGCTGCGATCGGCAGAGGCTGTGTTGGATGACAGACAAATAAGAACAGAATAAGCAGGAAACTGCCGAAAGGACGGTGTCAAAGCGCTGGGCCAATCAGAACTCGCCCTGCTGAAGATCAATATCTCTGAGACTGTTAAGCGCCCGCTAAGCTTCGCTTCTCCTTCCTTTTCCTTCTCTGTTCCACTTCAACTGTGAATGCTCACTGATCAACATGTCTGTTCTGACTGCAGATTACTCCTGGCCAGCCACTTTCACAAACGCCCAAACAACAACTCCACCAGTCCCTGCAGTGCCAGGCGTCATCAGCAGATATCTCTGGGGAAAGGCACATAGGCTACTCTACCACGTCTCACGCGCCTACTGCCATTTCGATCCGCATATTATTCAGCTTCCCTTCGGACTCGTCCTAAAATGGACCGATCGGACAAGCATAGAAGAAGCCATTGCAATGCAAATGGCCCTCGCAGCAGGGATGCCTGTTCCTCGACTCCTCAGCTGCGGCGAACCCGTTACCCCCGAGTTAAAACGTGAAGTCTCAATACTCATGAGGAGACTTCCAGGACTTAGTCTTGAGAACTCCTCGGACCCGTTCGAGCGAGAGCATGAAGGGCCATGGCTTGAAGAGTTAAAGACTTGTGTCGATGCTATGCGCCAGTGGGAACCGCCGAGTCAGGACAGTATCTGCTCGCCGGTTGGAACGGCCTTGTGCAGCTCGCGAGTCCCTAATCATATTATGGGGCCGTTTACAGACCATGATTCGTTCTATCGGCATCTGTTCGCGCCGACATCGCAACACGGGTTCAGATCTATTGATTAGTATAACGATGCCCTGGTTACAGCGAGAAAGCTACAACGCCCGTATAAAGTTAAATTCACACACGGAGATTTCAAAGCTCATAATATTTTGATTAATCATGACGGACACTTGTCTGGCTTTCTCAACTGGGAGTCCGGGGCTGGTATCCGAAATATTGGGAGTTTACAACTGCAATGAGGTTTGGAAGAGACAGCTGGTGGTATCAAGTTTCTGACTGGATGGGCGGCCATGAGTATCGAGAGGAGCTGGAGTCGGATCGAGCTTTGAATCGGTTGACCGTGGACTCTTATGTAGCTTTTTGATCCGAATGAGGTGCATCCGAGGCCGGAAAACGGCGTGTTTGCATGTATAGTACCATAGGACATAGCTATTGGCAGACGATACAGTGAGTTTATCACAATCAGTCTTCGGGTCTGCTTTTCCTACCAATACATTAGATTGTTGAAAATAACCTAAGGATAAACTTTTATTTCCCTCCTTAAATAACAAATCAGATACTCTCCTTTTCTGCATTATCTGCCTCCCGTAAGGTCCATCAAGGTGTCTCTCCCGACTGAATATTTCGATAATACGCGCGGATAATACTATCAGCATCGTCAATCGCAAGGGGCCGAATATCAGCCAGCGCCTTGATCTTTGCTGTGCACTCCTTGCACTGCTCATCGGTCATGCTGATGTTGAGCTGCTGCGCGCGCGATCGGATGGCATTCCAGCCTGTCAGCCGCGACGCAAAGTGCACATACCGCGCCATGCCGAAGTCTGCCGGGTTGATAATTTCGTACGTACTCGGGTCGTTGAGGATAGCTTTTGCGTGGATGCCTGAATCTATTAGTTGTTTCCTTCCCATAGACTTGAGAGACATACCAGCCTTATGCGTAAACGCACAAAACCCTGTAATAGGGTTATTAAACGGGATATTAACCTGCACCGCCTCTGCAACCAGGTCCTCTATCTCCTTAATCCGATCAAGTCTATACTTCTCCTTGACATACTCTGGATGCGTGCCCACCATCCTCGCCATCAACCCCCCCAACGGCGTAATCCCATTCCGCTCCCCAATCCCCAACACAGAGGTATCGATATGGGTCGCACCGGCTTCCAGCGCGCAGTACGCATTCGCAATCGCACACCCGGCGTCGTCGTGGAAATGCGTCTCGATGTCACAGCTAACCACCCCGCGGAGAACACGGATAAGCTCGTACACCTGTCTCGGCGACGCACAGCCAATTGTATCTGCGACTCCGACTCGGTGTACGCCTGCTTGATCGACGGCGGCGTATATGGATAGCAGATCAACCAGGTCAGATCGGAAGGAGTCTTCTGTTGAGAAGCGGACTTCGACTCCTTGCGTCTTGAGGTACGATATTACCTCGACGGCGGTTCTTTTGATATATTCCATGTCTTTTCCGTGCGAGTGCTGGCGCATGAGAGATGACGTCCCGATCATTACATTCCTACCACATCCTGTCAATAATAACCCTAACCCTACGAATGAGGAGACATACACGCCATCAACACCAGTAGCAACCGCAACCCGTGCATCATCCATATGGCATCGAATATGCGCAAGGACCTTTGCCTTCAAACCCAACCTACAAATCGCCTCACAATCAAGCCGTGACTGCTCCGACGCGCAAGGGTTCGTGAGCTCAATATAGTCGACCCCAAACTCATCCAGGGCCGTGGCGATCTGGATCTTCTTCTGCGTGTCGAAGAAGGCGTTGGCGAACTGCTCGCCTTCGCGGAGGGTGCTCTCGATGATCTTGAAGCGCGAGACATTGCTGAGGAAGTCGCTGACTTGGGTTCCGTGGCCGTAGGGGTTGCGGTTGAGGGGTGTAGACCCTGGGCTGTTGTTGCTGGGGCTAGGCATTGTGGTTGCTGGCTTGTCTGGTGGAATTGAGGATATGTAGGGGAGCGAGGTTATTATATGTGTTGCTTGTTGTCGTGAGTCATATGCAGGTGAGTCACATATTATTGATCCCGGGGAAAGGGATGGTCGGTGTATACGGACACCCCGGATATTTTCCGTTTCGGAATTTCTCCGCCATTTCAATCTGATATCCAGCTCTTCCCAAATATCGCGAGTTTGGGCGATTGGTAAGAAGAGAGCCAAGAATGAGAACATCCATCTCAGCCTGGCCTCGCGTCCTTGGCGCTCGTTTAACAATGATATTGGAGTTAGCGCTTATATTTAGGAAGTTCAGCTCGCCAGCCTCGTCTGCTCCCCTCGGGTTAAATAGATGACACTCCCATCCGGAGACATTCTTCTTTCCATCTCACAGCACCTGCCATTCACCGACAAAATGGTTGTATGCTACATGGTGGTTACGCCGAATCCGTTCGTAAGTACCATCCCCATCCCGTATCTGCTGAAAGAATATATTTGACTGTCTAGACAATGCCCACCAGCGGCAGCTACTTTGTGAAATTCGGCGACGGACCATCTGCTCAATCATATCATAGATGCAACCCAAGCCATGCGTACGCTCGCTGCACCTTATCCATTTAAACCACTGAACTGACTAAACATGCTGGCCAGATATGTTGAAAACCACCTCGCACCAGTGCAGTATCTCAACGTCCAGACATACGATTATAATATCGAGTCCAAACAGCCCGGGAAATGGCTGGAATGGATCCACATCAAGGTGACGGGCGGGATGGAAGTGTGTAAGTTGTCTGTGTTATCCCACGACGAATATTGTTAACTGACCTGTGATAGACCAACGCACAGAGTGGCACGAACTGCAAGTAAAACTGGAGGAAGATGCCGAGGAATTGAGGAATGCCCTATGCAGAATGCAGGGTCTGTTTCCGTACTGGAATCGGTGGGAGGAGTACGCTGAGTCGGATGATGCGACAACTGAGTTTGAGAATTTGGTGGATGGGACTTGGTCGTTTAATCATGATGAAGCGATTGCTCAGTTCGTGAGCTGATGGAGCTTATTGGTATGGTGTAGTGGCAAAATAGCCCTTCTCGATTGAATACGTATACTCTACATTAGGTGTTGATACATGGCTATAACAGTGGCCGCTTGGAAGTTCATTTGGTAAAGTATTGCTTTGCCTTTAAGTTAACATATTGAAAGAGTGCAGCAATGACCCCATCCAACATCCTAGGAGCTTGTCCCTAACGAGGCAAGTATAATTATAGGCTAGTTAGAACGGCTTGAAGTAGGCCAGGGTAGTAGAACACTCCTACCGAGATGTTCATCATACAAGTACGACCTCTACGGCCAAGAAGACTAGAGTCCTTAAACTAAGCAGATGGCCTAGTCTCTCCTCGTGAATACAAGATCCTGGGGCGGCGCACCAGACACGAAATGATCCTTAATCCTTCCAAAGTAATCGTCCACGTCAAATTCGTACCCAGGGGGGAAGGCAATATCAAACTCATGTGCCACACGCGCTACCACAGACCGGAGTTCCATCATCGCCAGATTGCGGCCTGCGCAGTTAAATGGGCCGGTTAAGAAGGGCATATGCGCCTTTTTGTTCATTATCAGTTCAGGCTTCGAGTACCACCTTTCCGGGAGGAACTTCTTTGCGTCTACGAAGTTGCGTTCATCTGTGAAGATCAATACTAAGGACTAAGGTATCGTTGGCAGGAAAATAAATGTATACCTCTGCCGACTTGATAGGCCGGGATTGATATGATGGTCCCTCCAGGAATGAAAGTGTCTCCGATCTTCATGCCCTCCGGGGGAGTTTCTCTCTGGGAGCCGAAGAATACCGACGGGCTGAGGCGCATGCTTTCGTTGATGATGGCGTCGAGAACAGGCTGTGTTCGGGTGCAGTCAAATGATGAACTGGCAAAGATTGGGTCGACCTCATCGCGAAGCCGTTGGAGCCACTCCGGGTACAGGGCGAAGTTGACGAGGAGGAATGTCAAAGCGGTTGCAGTGGTGTCACTTCAGTCAAAGATTAGTATAGTTGGTGAAGGTACAGGTTGGTGTCTAACCTTCCCGCACCGACAATTAAGCGACACTCCGAGTTGAGGAGAGAGCGGCCGGCTGGAGTGTCCTCTGTATTGTCGAGAAGATGACTGAAGAGATCCGGTTTAGGATTTTTCATCTGCCCTTGTAAGACCGCGAAAGACACTGGATATCAGGGATATCGGGAACTCACGTTCTTCCGCTGAATGACCAGCTTCTCCGAGTATTCATTCCACTCACGCATCGGGCCAATTGCCCAGGAGAACGTGGTCAACATGCCCATTAGCCAGGGCACATGGAGGAGAAGGCCAATGGCATCGACTCCCTTCTGGATGTTATCCAGGACCGACTTGGCGACGTCGTTAGAGTCACCCTTGATAAAAGCCATTGGGTCACCAAAGGCCAGAGCACTCATCACATCGTAGCTGTAGTGTATGCATATTTCGTTCACCAGAATTGGCTTTCCGACATTCTTACCGATTCGAACGAGGAGCTGGCTGGTAAACTCCTCGATCCGGGGGGCATAGTCCGAAAGTGCTCCAGGACTGTTAGTCTGTCAGTTGCACACGCGTTGCTTTGACGTACATATCTTGAAGGCGTTATCCCACACTTTCCTTCTCTTTCGGTGGAATTCTTTATCCCGAGTCGTGTTGACTGATGTTTCCATTGAGTCGTAAAAAGGTCCCTTGCCGGTTATCGACGCAAAGCCCAGCACCGGTGTGATCGCCTCCGCGTCAAATATCACGAGCTCACGAGGTCCTGTAAAGAATTTGTAAATTTCCATTCTAGTAAAAAAAAAGGCATTGCAGACTACCTGTTCTAACAAAATCCCCATACCGCTGGTGCAGCTCATCCAGGGTGCGGTACCATCTGATATTGGTTTCGAGGACCTTGTTCAAGCTCCAGAGTTTGCTCAATCGCGCGCCGAACGGGCCAGGGAAGTTCTTCAATGGATGGAAGAAGGCGCGGTAGACAAGAATGCTCGTCCAGAGGGAGACGACTAAAGACGCCCAAGCCAGGAACGCAACGGTATGTGACCAGACGAAGCTTTCGTATTCGCTGCTAATCCGGGGAAGCGCATTGGCAAGCAGGAAATATGCCGCAATAAAAGACGCTGCAGTAGATACCGGGCGCTTGTCGACCTCGACATGTTTAAAAAAGAGAAGATGAAGAGCGACGCCCGTAAGACTGGCCGTTGCCAGAATTGAGGGCGTGAGCGATTGCTGGACGGCTGCCATGGTCTTGCTCCAGCATCAGCAACATGGATTTTCAGGGAAAGAAAGGGGAACGGGCCATCTGGTCCTCGCATGAAGCTCATCCACCAAAGGATGGCGGGATATTACTACTATTATTATTGCAGCTAGCAGGGGCCTGGACAGTCGAAGTCGCCACTCCAACACCCAGAGCCGAGGGACAGTCGTCCACAGCAGAACGGGGCTAACAAGCAATTCTTGAGTCAACCCGATCCAGCTAGCCAGAGCCGACCCCATGTTGGCCTCGGTCGTGCCAGACGCTGCATCCCTGCTAGATAGCGGAGACAAACCGGCACGTCCCAGTCCGCCGTCTCATCTTGCCACCACTAACGCATACTAACCACCCACGGGTAGCAGCGACAGCACTTGCCAACGGCCGGCACGCATTACGATCATTCGAGACACCCGGCCATCCAAGGCGTTGCGGATGGCGTTGTTATAACGCCGCGGAAGACACTAGAGCTTCAACCGGGCTAGGGCATCCTTCGGCTACAGCCAAATAAAGCAATTGGGCCAATCGCGCACAACCGCAGGATCTGATGTAAATGAAACGCGGGATACTCGACAACGGTTGGGCTTCCGGGGTAGAACCCGGGGAAGCATGGTAGAGCCCGGGGATGCATGGTAGCCCTGACAAGTCCAAGTCGAGTCGAGCACATGGGCTCGGGACATGCAGGGGGTAAAACAAGACACATAGAAGCAAGCTTCTCTTCTTTACTATTTGTTTCCTCAATTCATGTGAGCTCATCATCTCCTTCATGAATAATGGCTTCTACAGAAGTTGTGGGCGCAATGCCACCGCCAGACGGTGTTGTTCCGGACTTTTCTCTTACAAGAACCTCTGTGCAGCAGAAATTCATCGTCACGTATGCCATAACCTTGGGGATTGCCATTCTTCTCGTTCTACTGCGGCTGTATCCACGGCTTTTTCTTCTCAAGTCTTTTGGACTGGACGACTGTAAGTTCAAGCCGTTCCTTTATCTTCGGATTGTTCTAATTCCTTTCACAGGGGCTGTTATTGCATCCACTGTAAGGACTTCCAACATTCCGTCTGGATCGCCACTAATGACCTATTAAGCTCTTCTCCATAGCCTTCTTTGTGTTATGCTTTGTTTGTAAGACACACTTCTTGAGACCATCTTACCGTGCTAATCCTGGGCTTAGCAATGGAATATGGGTTCGGCAGACACCTGTACAATGTCCCAGTCACTTCTCTTCCGATGTATCTTAAGGTAAGCCCCTATCACATTTGAAGTCTCCACTAACAACCTACCCTAACCAGCTGCTCATACCCATCGTGGTGACCTATTGCTGGGCGCCTTTTATGACCAAGTTTTCCATTCTCATTCTGTGCGGCCTCATAACCAAGGTGGAAGGTATCTCCGCTGACCCGTCCTAGATACCACCGTTTAAACCCGTCCCCAAAGTTCCGCTATATAATCTACTTCTTGATGTTCGTTATCACAGGCTACACCCTGGCAACAACGCTGGCAACAGCCGGTGGATGCAATCCCCTGAATACAGGAAAAACCCCCTGCATCAACAGCCTAGCCCTGTGGCAGGCAATCCTCAACATCGTGACCGATTTTCTGATGCTGTTGATGCCCATTCCACTACTATGGGCACTGCAATTACCGCTCCTACAGAAACTTTCCTTGGGGTTGATTTTTGCAATTGGATCTGCGTACGTCTTATAGCTCCCCTACACCACCGTCACTCTTTAACAGCACATTTATGAATATATAGAGCAATGATCACCAGCATCGTCCGCATCACATACATCATGAACATCCTCGACAAGCAAGACTTCACCTGGTACGAAGCAACCGTCTGCGTGTGGTCGTAAGTCCCAGCCCTGAGCCCGTCCCTAAACAAACCTATTCCCCCCTAACCAAGGTCTTTTATCTAGGGCAATCGAACTCAACTTCGGAATTATGTGCAACTGTCTCGCCGTCCTCAAGCCCCTCGTCCGTCTCGTCTTCCCAATGCTGGTTCCCAGCTCCTACGGCGAAAACAGATACCGCTCAGACCGGTCATACCCCTCGCGGCACCGGAAGCAAAGCGGCTCTCATCCGCTGGAGTTTTTTGATCATGGTGACGGTGGTGGTCGGAGGGATATTCATTTGGGGAACAGTGGGGAGATTAAGGGCATTACAGTGACGAGGTCTTACCGTGTTGATTCGCCGTCGGGGAATGGGGGTGTAGAGACGGAGAGCACGGAGAATATTTTTGAGGCTCGGGGGACGGTGAGGCAATATCATCGGATGGTATAGCCTATATAAGAAAAAAAAGCCAAAAGGAGAGTCTCTCGGTTTGTATTTAACGATATGGAGTTTGGGTTCTGGCTGTATATCACATCTCTTGAAGATATCTGGCAAAAAATATATATCCCGCACAAAAGGAACAACCAATCTACAATTATGTAAGAGATCTATATCCATTCACTGCTTGTACCAGTCATCAAACCCAAGATCCCATCCAAACAGAGGAGTATTGATACGCTTCGCCTTCCCTTGTGCAGCAAGGCCGTTCAGGACATCCATATCCTCGCCAGAGAGAGGGATAACCTGGCTGTTGCTTATAATGCGGTTCTCTGTAACCGACTTGGGCAGTACAACGGCACCCCTGTTGACGTGGTAGCTGATGAGTATCGTCGCCGGCGAGACGCCGTTCTTCTTTGCGATATCTCGAATCGCAGGGTCTGTCATGAGTGGAGCGCCTAGGTAACCAATTATATTAGCACAGTATGTGGGGGTATACTTCAAATATCAACAGAACTTACCTTCAGAACCAAGCGGCGAATAAGCCTCAAGAAGAATGCCATGCTTGTCGCACCACTCCTTCAGCGCATGCTGAGGAAGGAAAGGGTGTAGCTCGACCTGGTTAACAGCTGGCACGATAGTCCACTTCTTCTTCAGCTCCTCGAGATAGGGGATTGACCAGTTGGCCACCCCAATCGCCTTTACTTTGCCCACCTTGTATACCTCCTCCATCTGGCGCCAGGTCTCGCTCTGGTCCCAGGATCGGTCGACGGACCGGCTTCCGTCGGGGTTGACTGGGAGAAGGGCGCTCGATTCGTTCTGTGCGAGTTAGCTGTGTTAGTATAGGATAGTAGCGAGGGGGCTTACAGGAACTAGTCGGACAGGCCAGTGGATGAGCTTTGGTCGTTAGCAGAGTATCCAAAAGCTGGAGAAGGATCATTACGTAGAGATCAAGGTAATCCGTGCCCAAAGCATCAAGCGTCTTTTGCAGACCCTCTGCAACATTAGGCTGGTGGGTGTTCCACAATTTGCTGGTGATGAAGATGTCTTCGCGAGGGACACTGCTATCCTTGATCCCCTGACCAACTTCGTGCTCGTTTCCTAGATATCATTAGACCAAAGCCTAGTCCTGTGCCTTTCTTGGGATGACATACCGTAGATCCTATCATTCGTTAGCCAACGCTGCAATGGAAAGGACATGGGATCTTACAATGCTGCGTCAATGTGCCTGTATCCATTCTTGAGGGCGAATGCCACAGCCTGGCGTACCTGACCTGGCTCAGATCTCCACGTTCCTGTATCAGTTAGCAAACTAACTAATCTCTATACTTGAGTATATGCGTCGTACCAAGTCCCACCGCGGGAATCTGGGCGCCGGTATTCAGCTTGAAGTGCGTCGGGGGAGCCATTCTGACTGAAAGTATAACTTCTGATCTATGTTAAAGTGGATTGGGAGGTGTGAGAGGGAGCCTTCTATAGTTAAGATAACCGGAGAAAGTCCCGCAATCGGGCCAAGTCCGTCGTAGGGAAATTTAGCCCGGCCAGACCCACTGCTGGTGCGGCGCCTCTTTCCAGATACAGTAATATTCGCTGGACCTGGAACTATGCGGGGTAGAGGGGGAGAAATCTGCTGGTGTTTTCTTTTAGTTCTTTAACTGTGCTGTTAGGTCTTCGTTTCAGTATGTTATTGCGGGACCAGGGTCAAAGACATGCCGGTAGCACAGGAACAGAGGAACCACAGGGTGAAGGATTTTGAAAGCTTAGGTTGCTGCCACTGGGGAGCAGTATATATTTATACTTGTAATAAATGCATATATATGCACTGTTCTATAAGTATCCTTTAGTGAAGGGGTTTTCCATTCGTATAGGAATGCCTCGCCTTTTACAGCGGCTGAAAGTATATAGATTTCGCAACTCATATTAAAACCCCAGATTCATGTATTTCGGCGCAAATATAAACGTAAATAAAACCACTGTCTAATGAAGAACTATCTAAACCTTGTAAGGCGGAGGAGAAATACCCTCCTTCAACGCCTTCAACCTCAACGCCAAAAGCCTCGAGGCATATCTCGTCATCGGAAGGAAGCCAACCATAATCCACATATTGGGAACCCCCGTCTCCTTATACGCAGTTTTATACTCACCCTCCTCATCAATCCCCCAAATCGGCCCGCACTGACTAGCAATCTTCTCACCCAAAGTCTCCCGAATCGAGTCAATCGTGTTCGAAAACCCAGTGGCAAAGACTACTAGGTCAAACTCCCTCTCCCTACCACCGTTCAGGACTACCTTGTTGTCAGTGAACTTCTCAATGAACCCTGGCTCCACTTTGATATTGCCAATAATGATTTCATCACAGGCACCCGCATCAAAATAGAAGCCTCCATTCCGTGTCTGACCAAGTGTGGAATTCCCCGTATCACGCTGGCCACGCCACGTCCGCAACCCACGCGCATTCAGCGCTTCAAGCAGCGGCCTATCAAGCTCCTCAAGCTTCTTCGCAGCCCGCCTAGCAAGTTCTTCCCCCGGCCCAACAGGCGTAGCAAAAGTCAGCCGATCCTGCGCTTCAATATCTGGCAATCTACCATCCTTATCAGGCGCATAACCACCCAGCATAAGCGGGACAGAATGCGTCAGGGACATGACATAGGTAGGCGAGCGCTGGAGCAGCGTAACATCGATTCCAAGACGGGCACATTCATACGCTGTATCAAAGCCGGAGGATGAAGTCCCCACAACACAGACCTTCTTCCCGACGAATTCACGCGCGCTCGAATGCGCGCTGGAGTGTCGGACCACGCCGCGGAAATCGTTTATCCCCGGTACAGACGGAGTGTAAGGGACGCCGCAGAGCGAGGTTGCCATTATAAGCTGCTTAGGATGCAGTGTGCGCGTCTCGCCATTTTTATTCACAGTAACAGTCCAGTTTCCCTGATCGTCCTGCTCGGCTTTGACGACGTTCGATTTGGTCCAGACATTGAGTTCCAGTGCGGACGCGTACCACTTCATATATAGGCCCTGCTTCTGCGCTGGGGTGTAGGTGGGCCAGTGCTGGGGGTACTGGAAGTAGGGGAGGTGGTCGGGCCAGTGTGGGAAGTGGAGGGAGAGGTATTCGTAGCGTTGTTTCCAGATATCGCCGACTTCGGCGCTGCGTTCGATGATCAGGTTTTCCATGCCGAGGACTTTGAGCCGTGCTGCCATTGCGAGGCCGCTAGACGAGATAAATTAGGATCATGGCCATGGAGGCTGCGGGTAAGGGGCCTTACTTTTGACCGCCACCGATGATCAGGACTTCGGGGTCAGCGGTGTTGATGGCTTCGGATCTCTGGCTCTCCCAGCTAGTAATACCAGTCATGTGTCCATCTGGGGCAGACTGTTCAGGGAAGTCTTTGAGGCTCTCGGCAACAGTGTGCATGGTGTAGATTCTCCAGCCATCTTTGGTAAGGACTGCATTGATGACAGCGGAAGCAAGGACCACTTCAGTCTCGAATGATACAATAAATTGGAGTTGAGAGAAGTCAGGGTACGGGCGAGACACAGAAGGCTCAGGCTTGAGGAAGTTGAAGTTTCTGGCTTTAGTCTGAGGCAGCAGATCGGTAGCGGCTTTTAATATGGTGTCTTTGAAGTTGAATGTTCGGAAGTCCCAGGTGAAGGAGAGCTTGTCGCGCCACACGCCTGTATGTCAAACAAGATAAGTATAGAGTTCGCATCTGGTTTATGTGGTTTATACCATAATCAAGAAATAACGCAGCGAACGCCTGCGCGTCTCCCTCTAATGTGGCTTTAGAAAGACGCGCCACGATACCCTCGGCCTCCTTCTGAGCGTCGCAGTCGGCGGGGATGTCAACGCCCAAGATGTCGGTGGTGGGCAGACTGTGGTTGTACTTGAAGTCGTACATGAAATCGTCCGCGACAGGCTTCGGGACATTGTCGTGGTATTCGACTACGCCCTTGGTCTTGGAGACTGGAATAGGGACCGGTTCTTGAACGTGAGGTGCCATTGTGATATGACGGGGTTTTCCTACGGTCGACGTTCGCCGTATGTGTCACAGAATATGAATGTTTTAGCTGCTGCTGTGCGTCGTCAGCGAATGATTTATATCTACAACAAACCAACTGACTGTCTATATCGGGAAAACGTCGCCGCCTGTTGCCGGATTTAGGGTTCCGTTTATGACCCCAGCCCCGCAGTGCTCTATCGCCAAAGGAGTCTCGGCGCGCATTTCCAGATATGTATATTCTTGTTTCTAGAGACTGTGGAAGTTGCAACTTGGATACAGGAGAACTGGAGACTTGCGGATGATGCCACCGGCCACATCGACCGTCACCATAGTTCAAGGCACCGTCTCACATTCATTAGACAGAAAATCTATCTTTACCTACCAAATCTGTTCAGCAGTTCTCAATATCATTACAATGAGCATGAGCATAATATAATTTTAATTCTCCATTCTTCTTTCTTGTCTACTCCATGATAGGCAACCCCTCCTCATCAAAATACACAGCAACCCCCTTTCTAAACGAATACTGCAACGCCGCACAAATCTTGCCCGCCTCAAACGCGTCCTCAGGCTGACAAGTGAGCGGCTTCCCATCAAGCACCGCATCCGCAAACTCCTTCAAATCCGTGCGGAAGGTCTCATCAAACAGCGTAAACGCATCCGGAACAGACTTCGTACGAATCCCCAGATGGTCACGGATCTCTACATTCGAATTGGCACTGATGATCGAATGTCCCTTTGTACCGCATAGTCGAGTTGTATCCTCGAATCCGCTGGTCAGTGTGCGGCCGAGATACGTCTTGAAGATCTTGCCGTTGGCGTATTCGACCAACCCCCAAGCGTTGTCGGCGTCGCCGTACTTGGCTAGGTCTGTGTATACGGCGTTCTGCCCGAAGGCGATGACGCGGTTGACTTGTTTCTTGGGGTTTGAGAGGCCGGATTTGACGTCGAGGAGGTATCGGCCGGCGTCGACCTGGGTTTGTTAGTGGATTGGATAGGGTAAGAATAGTGTGACTAACGGTGTGAATGCCAAAGTCGAGGAAGATGCCTCCGGACTGTTCAGAGAAGGATACGAAGAAGGCTAAATGGTCAATTTCTCTTCTGAGGATGATTGCTGGATCAGGACATACCGTTGGGGTCTGCTTGATCAATGCCGGTCGTCTCGACAGCGTGGATTTCACCTAGATCTCCATTGTCGACTAGTGCCTTGGCCTGGCGGTAGGACTTATCATCTGGCACAAGTAAATCTCTGGTCCCTTCAACCATAGCTAGGTACTTACATCTCCGCGTAAAGGGAACAAAGAACTTAAGATCTGGCCTCGAAGCCGACTTCTCAACCACCGCCTTTGTAGTAGCGATATCAACAGAAACAGGCTTCTCGCACATAACATGCAAGTTTAGGTCCAGGGCCTGCAAAATCAAAGGCGCGTGTGTTGCAGTCGCGGTGCAGATGAGCACGGCCTCAGCGCCGCTGTTCTTCAAGCATTCCTGGGGGTCTGAGAAGTACTTGACGGATGGCGGCAGGTTCTCAGAGGCCCATTTGTCGGTGCCTGGCTTTGTATCGCAGACGGCGACGAGCTCGATACGAGGTTGCTGGAAGGCGAGAATTTGGGCTCGAAGGACTCCCAGACGGCCGAGGCCGAAGAGTGCAAACTTGACGCGGTCCGACATGGTTACTGTACAAGGTGGAGGTAAAAAACAAAATGATGCAGCTGTCACTAGGGTCTGAAGCCAGTTATTTATTTTAAATGTCTGTATAGAAGAGTCCGCCGCACCCTTCCCAATCGGGTAATTCCTCAATTCCCAATACAGAAACCTGCGCCGCCCAAGATTGTAGGGAAACATTTCCCTACAATCTCCATCCTACACACTCATTGAAAGACTGTTATGATGCTTGTAATGCTACAGCTCCCCCGGAAAATATCTTCCATCACGTCTCGCCCGCCCAGCCCACACATCATCATGCGCAAAAACAACCTCAACCTCTCCCAATTCCGTGGACCCCCCCATCGTCTCCCTAATCCGTTCCAGTGTTCGCTCCGCCGCCTTCTTGTCCGCATGGATACAGCACACAATACCCGTATACACAGGGTCACTCCACATCGCGATCGCCTTCTCCCCACTCAGCAGCCGTCCATCATGACAAGCATCGCCAGCAAGGTAGACATATCTCCCGTCCGCCTTTCGACAGAGTAGGTTTATGTGCCCGTCCAGGTGTCCTGGGGCGGAGATAACATAGACGCTCCCGTCGTTGAATACGTCCATCGCGTGCGGAAATGCCCCGAGTGGCTCCCAGGGTTTGGAGAATAGGTTCTTTGCGTACTCCCCTGTCTTGGGGTGTAGAGACTCCGTACTCTCGGCTGTGGGTACCTGCATGGCTGGATCATGTAACTCGATTGTGCGCGAGGTATCTAGCAGTCCCTGCTCGAAGTGGCTATGGCTTCCATTCCGGACTTGCTTCTCTCCGTTAATCAGACTTGCTGCGCCAGGACCGATAATGAAGGAAGACTGCGGGTAATCGCCGGGCGTCCCGATGTGGTCCCAGTGGAGATGGCTCAGAATGACGAGGTCAATCTCGTTTGGTGATACGCCCCCTACTGCTAGGGATTCAACTGTGTCAGGGACGCCAGAGAGCGGTTGTCGGGTCATGGCATGTTTGTATATCGGTTCGGCGTAGTCAGTGAGGACTTTGCGGATGCCGAGGTCGAACAGGATGCGTGTTGTTTTGGATGTTTGCTGGTCAGTGTGTTGGATTAGAAATGAGAGGGATGGAACGGTCTTTCTGGTTGGGTTCTCGAGCGGTGTTACGAAGAAGGCCTCGGGGAGGGTGAGGTGCCCGGCGTCGAGGGCGTGGACTGTCACTGAACCGGGCGACATTGTTGGTTCTACAAGAGGAAAGGACAGTAGTTTCCCTGAAGTTATAAAACAACTAAAACCTTCCAGTGATGGGATATGGAATGGGTGGGGTAGGTGGGGTAGGCCTTGGAGATATAACATGCCAACTATGACAGGCATAATGTGGAGTATTGGAGAAGACATATATCTCATTCCCCAACAGACCCCAAAGCCCTATAATCTGGGAGAGCGTACCCCATTCACTCAGCCGAACTTGGCGATCCCAAGATTGATATTATGGTATGGATGGCAGGCGGTGCCCACGGAATAAATGCAGTATAGATATCACTATCTAATAACAGCATCATCTCCTAACAGTACTAAAGCATGTACTTAAAGTCCACATCCCTATCAGTAGCCCTCCAACTCTCTGGAACATCAACCCCTCCAGATTCACGCATTTCCTGCTTCCCCCTCTCCCTCAACAAATAGATATACCTCAGCACCACACACCCAATCCAAACAACGGCCACACTCGCCAAACTCCACGCATTCCCCAAGACATACTTTGGCGCCGCCTCACTCTGATAAATCTGCCCCGCCACCACGCCCCCAATATTCGTCAATGTAAGCTGGATCCCCAAACTAGCCGCCTTCTTGCCGTCCGGCGCACAATTCCCGGACATCCAGGCGATATTGGTGCCCGCGCATAGGAAGCACGAGGTGGCAATTAGGAATGTAGCAAAGTATTGTACGCCTGCTGAGACATCCCATGCTAGCAGGATTGCATATCCGGCTATCCCAAAGGGTGCTGTTATGGCTATGACCAGGGAGCGGGCGTTGAAACGGTCTGAGAGGATGGCGCCGAGAAAGTAGATTGCTGCGCCCCAGAGGTTTACTGTGTGGATTAGCTGTTGGACTATGATTCTCAATGGCATAACTAACCCGGGATTACGAGGTACTGCGCTTGCTCCGTGCTAAAGTCAAATCCGTTCTTCAGAATAACGGGGAGGAACGTGCCAAATCCTGGACTGTCAGTTATGTACAGTATTGTATCTTGGTAGAAGTCTTACCATAGAGGATGGTCACAGCGCATATTTGCATCGTTCCATGGATCCACGTCTTGATATCCTGCACTGCTGCTTTCACATCGCTCATTGCATAGTGCCCTTTGCCGCCACTGTACGCTTCCATATCCTCTGCTCGCCGTCTCATAATCCTCTTGTCCTCTTCATTGAGGAAGTATGCCTGCTCGAAGCTTTTCGGGATAAGGAATATGCAGCACAGCCCTACAACAATTGTGAAAGCGCCTTCGATTATATACAGCCTGGAATAGTCAGACATAAACACAGATCCATGGATGAACCTACCATCGCCATCCAGGATAATCCGCCACTCCGTCCATATACAGGATCCCGAATGCAATAAGCCCTCCAAACGCACCAGCAAGGGCAGATGCAACTGTATACACCCATCAGCATCAGTAAGTATGACAAAGTCGGAAGCTACCAACTCACTGAACAAGTACGAAATCCTCGTCGCCAATTCCTCACGCCTGAACCACGTTGCCAGCATCAGCGTCATACTCGGGAAGAGAAACCCTTCAGTCAGACCCAGGACAAGTCTGCAAGCAACCAAGCCGCCAAAGTCATGTACAAGACCGTTGCATAGACACACCAGACCCCAGCTGACCGTCGCAGCAGGAATGATCCGATTGAACTGCAGACGTCTGGCAAACAACGAGACGGGAAACTCGGCCAGCACGTAGAATATATAAAACACTGATACGGCAACCTGGGGCGTACACTTGATCAGCCCAGAATAAACACAAGCATATAAAGTAATCGAGAACAAACGTTAAATTCGGACCCCTTTAGTCCAATGTCCTCATTCATTCCCTGCGTCGCTGCGTAGCCGATATTCCCACGGTCTAGGTAGCTGATCAGCATCAGCAGCATCAGCACAGGAGCAATGAACAAGTCCAGCTTTCGGACGAGTCGGGCTTCATCGCGGCGGAAGCTTTCTGTGAATTCCTCCAGTTGGTCCACGTTCTCGATTCCGTCGATGTGAGGTTTTGAGATCTCGCTCATGGCTGCAATGGACAATCTTCAATTAATTGGAGTTGAACCGGGATTGGGCACATGCACGGTTCTAGCCAACCCTAGATATGGATGGGTGTAATATATCAAGTTAAATCTTACACCTTGGTCCGTCACGCTGCTACTCCAGGTGAGTACCCACAGCTGATATGGGGCAATCCGGGGTAAGCCACTAGCTTCAGCTTTTCTTGGTCGTGGGCCTTGTTTGCACCCCAAAGTTACTGATATTGACAGGGGTAGACTTATTGGGGCTCATGCTAACCTCCAACTTCCCCAATAACTTCCCCAACCCCCGAGCAACCCCTCCCATGCGCACTATCTTACCCTGGTCAAACAGCCTGTTCAAATTAAGTTGATCGGGGTGATGTATAGCCGAGGGCAATCCTTCGCTTCGTCATCGAGCATTGACCGGCTCTCTTCCCCAATTCTCCAACAGTCGGCCTACCCGAAAGAAGACACGAGTCGACTCCGCATGAAATTCCCATAAAATAAAGATATAATCTCGTTCAAACTACAAACAAAGGTCGACAGAGCTTCAGAACTAGCATGGCTACACCCGACTTCCGCAAAATCGGCTTTATTGGCCTTGGGGCCATGGGAAAGCACATGGTCGAGCACCTAGCCAACAAGCTTCCTGACGAGAGTCGCATCTATATATACGACGTTTCCAGCCCTCCAATCGAAGAGCTAGCCAGAAGATATCCAAGGAAGGTCATTCCCAGCACATCGTCCCAGGATGTTGCAGAGAACGCGGTATGCCAAACCCACATCCTTAACCAGGCCACGCTCATAATCTATAACAGACAGTCATCCTCTCCATGGTCCCCGAAGGCAAACACGTCGAAGCCGTCTACCTCAACCCAGAAACCGGCATCGCAGCCACAGCCCCGGAATCCCTACGCAACAAGCTCCTCATCGACTGCTCAACAATCGACATCGCCACCAGCCTCGCCGTCAAAGCCCACATAACAACGCACCACCCAACAACCACCTTCTACGACGCCCCAGTCAGCGGAGGCACCCTAGGCGCCAAAGCCGGCACAATCGCGTTCTTCCTCGGCTGCGCAAAAACAGACCCAAACCTACCGCGCATAGCCGAGTTACTCCGCCTCATGGGCTCCAAGGTTATCCCCTGCGGGGGCGCAACATCCGGTCTATCCGCGAAACTATGCAACAACTACCTATCAGGCCTTATCGCAATCGCCAGCTCAGAGGCCCTGAATATGGGCATCCGGGCGGGCCTTGACCCGCGCGTGCTCAGCGATGTTATATCCGCGGGTACTGCAGCGAATGCCATCTGTGCGGACTATAACCCGTGTCCTGGGGTTGTGGACAAGGCGCCCTCGAGTAGAGGGTATGAGGGCGGGTTTAAGGTGCAGCTGATGAAGAAGGACTTTGGGCTTGCGGTGGAGTTGGCGAGGGGGGTTGGGGCGAGGCTGGTGCTTGCGGATGTTGGGCTGGAGACTTATGAGGCTGCGGCGGGGGATCCGGAGTGTAGAGATCGGGACTCGAGGGTTGTGTACAGGTTTCTTGGGGGGGATGAGGGGTGGAGAGAGAGGTTTACGTAGTCACTTGTTGGTATCATAGTCAACCGTTATTACAATATTAAATCCTGTCTAGGTTGTATAGGCCAGCTTTCATAGATAGGACAAGGCACTCTGTTAAGAGGTATCCAGGATCAACAAGTGTCTTTATATTGCCTGTCAATTTGAAGACTACATCTACTCAGTTCTGAAGTGTAGATTGATATCAAGCCCGAGTATACTCCCCCTTCTCAATCATCTCCAAGATAGTCTTCTCCGTGATCTTCATCGCCTCAACCCCAGCCGGCACACCACAGTAGATTGTCGCCTGCAGCACCGCCTCACTAATCTCCTTCTCAGTCAAGCCGTTATTAATCGCGCCTCGCGTATGAACCGCCAACTCCGGCCACGACTTCAATGCAATCAGCATGCCGATATCTGCATTCAGACATTAGCACATCCAATTCAACCTCATCGATGGGTAAGTGTACACACTGAGAAGACTCCTCTGCTTCCTCTCCAGCCCCGGCCTCGTCCAGATATGTCCCCAGCACCACTCAGTCACCAGTTCCTGGCCTGGGAGTGCGAACTCGCTGGATCCGTTCTTCAAGGCCCGGTCGACGTATTCGTCTCCGACGACTGCGCGGCGCACCTGCAGGCCCTCGGAGAAGAGGGTGTCGTGCAGCGGCTTGAGCTCTTCTTTATTTGCCATGCTTGAATAGATATTCCTTGTTCAATTCTGGAGTAAATGAGGATTTGAAAGTTATTTAGGTTGTTAAGGTGCTGCGGGGGTCTATAAGTTGACTTGGGCTTCCCCAATATTACCCCAATATCTCCAGCTCGGTTCCCCAACGTCCCCTCCTGGTACTTCCACCGTGCAGCATGCCGCATATGCATGAGCTGACTATTGGATATCGAAAATGGGGAAACTTAAATTGCTTTATTCGATTTTCATAACCGAGGTAATGCAAAGAAGTTGCTAGGATCAAACTTGCATCTTGATCACACCCAGTATGTTATTCCGACACTAAACCAAGTCCGCCTGACTGGTACATCCTTCATTCTGCATGACGCGATATTATAATATTCAGGGCTATATAACTATTTTATCTTGAATCCGGGGCTGTAGCTGGTGACACCTGGTACCACTAAGAGCTGTATTGAAATCAGACGAATATACAGCCGTATCCAATTGCAGTATCCAAATGATAGTTAGAAGGTTATATTCTTAGATCTAGGTTATGGTGAATAGAGCCCTTCTATTATTATCATATAGCAATGCGCTGTTATGCATAACATAATCTTCAACTCTGCTAACATGCCTTCTTGGTAGTATCTGATTTATAGCGGTATTCGTATTGGCCCTTTGCCAGCATTAACTTCACTGTTGTATTTTGATATATTTAGAAGTGGCCGCAGCGTTCTGGCCACAATTAGTAACAGTATCTGTAAAGTAATCTAGTTCAGTACCTCACATTTCATTTATCAATTGATGCTTCACATATCACGCTTTTAATGAACAAAACCTACTTGTGAGCATTAAGATATGCATTCCGGTGAAATTTCTGCTGCACAGCTGACTTTCTGGTCTGCATTCTCACTTCTAAGGTTAAATATCTTCCTCCTTCCTCTTTAGCCTCGTCCTCTCCTACCACCCCAGGTCAACATCAATGCTATCATGGCTTTGATACTGGTACTCCTCAAGCTGGCGCTCTTTGCAGCTACTATCAGAGCCGTCGACTTCCCCTCTACATGTGACGATGACTGCAGAGCCACCTACGACCAGGCCTTCGCCCTCGACGCTGGCCTGTGGGAGAACCCCGACCTCTCCAGCCACCCTCTCTATTCAACCTCCGAGAACCTTGACGACTACTCTATCGGTTCCCTTATAAAATGGCAAGACGAGCCTGCTAGCACTGCTTCCGAATCATTCTGGGTTCCGTCCGGTCTGTCATTCTCGCGCTTCTCCTATGTCAGCCAGGACATCAATGGCGCCTTACTTCCAGCCTCCGCATTCGTTCTCACCCCCTACCATAATCCCCTGGGCACCGATAAGCCTTTCCCTGTCGTCGTCTGGGCGCACGGCACCGCCGGCTACACACCCCAGTGCGCGCCCTCCAACGACAGACGCCTTCAATACCAATGGCAAGGGCCCTTCGCACTCGCGCAGCAGGGCTACGTCGTCATCGCCCCCGACTATGCGGGTCTGGGCACCACCATCCCCAACGGCTTCATGTACAATGCCGGAATAGCCCACGCCAACGACGTCAGCCTGGCCGTCAATGCTGCACGCGCGCACCTCAGTGACCAAATCTCAGACGAGTGGGTCGTCGTCGGCCACAGCGAAGGAGGCCTCACAGCCTGGCGAACCGCGCAGCGCGAAGTCGATCACAAGCGCGCTGTTGGCGGGTTCATCGGCGCCGTCGCAATCTCTCCAGCCATGGAAGTCATGTCCTTAGTGCCCTGGGTGATTGAAAAGGCCAAAGGCGGACCGCTTCAAGAGGTCTTCATTCCGTACATGCTTCGGTCTATTGCGCGTCTGTTTCCGTCGTTCGATCTCGCCAAGTACGCCACCAAAAGGCTCATTGAGATTTCGGAGCTCTCGATGGATGGGTGTCTGAACGTCGCCATCCCGCTGCTCTGGAATATGACACTCGCCGATATGTACCTCAACGAAGCCAATTTTACTTCTGCCCCTGAGGTACAACAGTGGCAGCGGCAGTATCATGGCAATGGCTCCCATGAGCTCGGCGGTCCACTGCTCGTGCTCCATGGCGAGACGGACTTTATCCTCCCTCATTCGCATATTGAGAAGATCTTCGACGAGCAGTGTGATGCTTTCCCCGAGTCTGCTGCTCAGTATAGACTTCTCCCTGGGCTTGACCATGACGGCGTCGTCCAGGCTTCCCACGCAGTCTATTTCCCATGGATTGCGGATCGGTTTAACGGGAGGGAACTGGAGGCTGGATGTACTAAGGATAAGATTAGACCTGCTACTCAGCGGTTTTCTACTGTCGAACAGGTCTGGATATCTGGAGGGCAGCTGTATGTTGAGTGACGACGAATTGTGGACCTAGAAGTTGGGGTTTATGCGGTTGAAACTGGAAAACCATAGATATTATAGAATAATACTTATCCACGTTCAAGATCTTTGAAGAATGTAAAATTCTTCAAGATGTTCATCGGTAGCTAATGCAGAGTATAAGTATAACAAATTCGACCCTCGCCAAGCTACCAACCTATCTCCATTCGACAGTCACATCACCAAGCCAGAAAGTCAAATCAAACTTCAAGAGTATATTGCAACCTGCCAGAGACACTCAATCTTAGAATGACTGATATCCCGGTTGAGAAAGACGGGCTAGCTATTGCCCTGACTGGGCACTGTCACTATATCTGTCCTATCAACTAATACCCTACTGTACATATCTATCTTATAAGACCAGTTCAAAGGTTCTCCTGAAAGAACTGGGTAAGCCTATCAAACGGAATAAGCTCCACACGGTCATACAAATCAACATGACCTGCTCCAGGCACCCAATACAGCTCCTTCGGCTCCTCCGCACGCGCATACGCATCCTCACTAAACTCACGCGAATGCGCCTGGTCCCCCGAGATAAACAATAACGGCCTTGGCGAGATCGTCTCGATATCATTAAACGGGTAAAAGTTCATGAAGCGCACATTACTCGTCGTCGACCGCGAAGTCGTAAGATTCGGCGTCGATCCTTCAGGCGTGAAAGCCCCACGCCTCGTGCGGTAGAAGTCGTAGAACTCGCGATCCACCGCCGTCGAATCGGATGTGAGATTAATCGGGGTTCCGGGGGAGTACTCCGTCTCGCCCCCGGCGGCCTCGACCCAGCGCTGCTGTACGGCTGCGGCAATGAGTTCCTTACGCTGGTCTATGCTCTGGGAATGGCGTAGGCCGTTGCGGTTTGCGGCGCCCATGTCGTACATGCTTGATGTCGCAATGGCCTTTATACGTGGATCGATCTTTGCGGCGCTGATGACGAACGAGCCGCTGCCGCAGATTCCTAGCGCGCCGATGCGTTCGTGGTGGACGTTGCGCTGTGTGCCGAGATAGTCGACTGCGGCGCTGAAGGCCTCGGCGTAGAGGTCTGGAGACACTGCGTTGAGAGGCACGCCGGAGCTGCCGCCGTAGAAGGGGAGGTCTAGCGAGACGGTGATGAAGCCCTGCTCGGCGAGTTTGGTGGCGTAGAGGTTTGCGCTCTGCTCCTTCACGGCGCCCATGGGGTGGCCGACGACGATGGCGGGGGTGTTGGTGCTGTTGGTGTGGTTTAGGGTTCTGGGGACGAAGATGTTGCCTGCGATGCTCATCTGGTTCTGCGTGGGGAAGTTGATGGGCTGAACTGTCACGTTAGGGCTGCGGTAGAAGTTGTCCGCGCCGAAGGACATGTTCTGGGTTGCTGCAGGGGTTGTATTGAGGAGTGCCATCATGCTGATGGTCAGCAGTCCGTTGAAGACTCTCATGATGCTTTCTTTTGCGCGCTTGCGAAGCTTGAAGGGGTTGAAGGTGAATTCATTTTCGGGCAGGCTTCTACGCTTTTATATCCATGGAGGTAGGTGGTTCTGCACAGCCAACTGATTCCAACCCAATATGTCGTCAGCCAAGTACAATGCTCCCTGCTTATAAACATCGTGGTTACGCGTACTGCAGCTTGCTTACCTGTGGACCAAACCCTCCTCGACCAGCTTCTCGATCACCGTGGTGGGTAAAGGTTTCTTCCCGCAGTGCATGGCGTACCCACATGTATCTATGATATCAGTTACAAGCCAATAGTGCCTCTATATCTGACCCACAATCATAAGCATCTTGCATTAGCGCCTACCGCATTTCTCCTTCTTCCACAGTGTACCTGGTGAGAGAGCCAGTGTCACCAGCGGATCTACATAAGCTCGCTCGCTGAAGACAACTTTAAGTGCTTCACCTCTGCTCTATTTCGACCTTGGCAGAGGCAGATCCGCTCCAGGCTACCGAATTCCTTGGATAGTTTCTCGGGTCTACCATACGAGTCTTTTCAATTCTGCTGCCTTGGACTGTGTCTTTATTGGAGAGGGATGATTCTTGCGTGATAGGACTCCACGCTCAATACAACAGCCATCTGATATGTAATCACTCGAGATACCCTAGTTCCTTGTATTCAATCCCGACTAGCAATCGTACCACTGACATAGCCCGGTAGTACCACAGCAGCTATATCTTCCATTGATGCATAGACCGCACCCCTGACGCTTTTCGATCGTGTCGGCGTTGGCGACTGGTTCTGCTGCTGGTGCCGGGGCAGCAATTGCAACGGCGACAATGCTAAGGAGGACGAGAGAGATCTTCATGTTGGAGATCGGGTTATATGCTGCGACTCATTAGTAAGTCTTGATATCAATCTCGAGGGATAGGGTAAGTGCCTTGATAGTTTCTGAGTTTAGTTCTGGATTTCCTGTTCTTCAGAGTAGAATCGGCGAGGAGGAGCTGACTTTATATGCATTAACACTGCACTACGAAGTACATACACTCAAACATATTGTCAGACTCCGTGACCTTTCAGGGTAGTTCCATTCCGTCAGCACTAACTATTCCATTGCATAGTCTTATTTTACGCCCCCTTCCCGTCAATCGTCAACCTGCCTGCAGCCAATATATCTCCTAAGCACAAATGACCAGCCAGCGAGCTGACAGCCTATATCACAAATAGGGCCACCCACTCCCTCCGTTCCGGAAATGGCCTGGACCCTGACTAGCACTCATACCATTGGCACAGCCCGTTCGCACAGCAGCTATATCTTCCATTGACGCAGGCGGTACAACCCTGGCGCTTCTCGATCGTGTCAGCATTCATGTGCGGTTCTGGCGCCGGGGCTGCCAATGCAACGGCGATGATGCTAAGGAGGACAAAAGATATCTTCATGTTGTATTTGTAAATCGGCTTGTATGTCTGCGACTCGCGGTGAGCATTGACTGACTCTTTTTTCTCTGGGGGAAAGGTACCTTGAATATTTAAATTCAGTTGTCGATGTTACTGTCTTTCACCAGACTCTGCATCAAAGTGCTAGCTATATACCTTTCGACGGTATATTGTTAAGTCTAAGCTCGCTCGAATAACACCCACCTCCGTGCCCTTTCAGGGTAAGGTCACCCTGCAGACGCATTCCATTGGTGCACTATCTTATTTTCCTAGGCAATCGGCTTCCCCTCAAATGGCGGGGTCGTAACGAGATCCCTTCGGCGAAGGATCTAGTTTGCAGGACTTGGCTAGTTTAAGGGCGAGTTACAGGGTCGTCAAGACAAGAAATGTTGGCTGATATATTACGCCCAGATACTCTTCAAAAGGTCTGCCACTTCTCGGGTGCTCTAACCGGAAAAGAGACGGCATATGTGTTTGATTTGCAAGTTAAGTAATATAGGGCCCTGTGTACTCAGCACTAACCTACAGCTTACTGCAGAAAACAGTCCAGCTACATTGCAGGACGGCCTACTACAGCATACGTCCAATTCCACCATTCACAACTGGCCGGACGTTCATCGCTCCTTCCAGGAAAAGCAGTGCAGTATTTGCCTTAAAGGAAGCTGCGATCGAGTCCTTTGGTCCTTCCATTTACTCCAGTACACAGTCGCGCCTTCCCAGTGTACTCCTCCTGTTCTTTACATGCGGAAGCTGCGACTGACCCAAATGGTCTCAGTCCACCCCGTGTTTCCTATTTCGGACACTTGCCCTAACTCCAGCTCCTTCAACTACAAGATTGTAACTTCTGATTCCAGGTTTCACTTTACTGTTCAACCGGGAGTTGTCCTTTATAGCATCGCAGAGCCTCACGCAAGATATCAAATTAAGCATTTCCGAGAAATCACGACGTTTTAGACTATCTTGCATCATCAGGCTGGTGTGGCAGTATTTTAATTTATCTATATAATTTCTTAGAACATGATCTATTTACTATAATTTGCCCGACATCCATTTTAATCACCCCCAGTCGAACTACAATAGTTTACCAGGCAATCTTCGCCAGGACACCCTTCGGCCAGCGCCGCACTGAATACTTCCGAGCCTCGTCTAGAAACAAAAGCCCCAGTCCAAATGCAATCGGGAGGAAGAAGTGCTCTACCGGCACCGTGGTCGTATCGATTGACTCATGCAAGGCCGGGATATACAGGACTGTCACAATAATCCATTAATCACCCAAAAGCCAGAATAAAACAAACCAAGTATCAAAATGAAAAGGGCGGGGCTTACATATAAAAACCACACACAGCGCAAACACCATAGCCGGGAACAGAAGCAGATTCTGCGTCTCCTTATTCAGAATCGGCGGCTGCTGGAAAATACTCAGCCGCCGGGTCCGGACGGCGAGCAGGTTGAAGAACTGCATGAAGACCAGATTGACGAAGTAAATCGAGGATGCCTCGTTCGCGACTTGGGTTACGTAGTCGGGGTCGTATTTGGGATCCATGGACCCGTAGCGCAGGACCATTGCGCTGAATGGGATGCCTTTTCTCTGTTTGGATGGTCAACTTTCCTGTTCTCTTTAGGTGCGGTTTATTGAGGACCTACCTGCATGTACCAGAATGCCATGGCGTAAGACATGAAGCACTCGTATAGACCGATGAAGAAGTATGCGTGACCGAGGAGCTTTGCGTCGACCAGACGATCTTTCTTAGGGTTTCGAGGTGGTCTCAGGAGGAGGTCGGATTCTGGCTTCTCGAATGCGAGAGTTATTGCGCCGGCGCAGTCGGTTAGACAGCTATCACTATTAACTATGTCCCAGTAAGTTGCAGATGGAAGCTCACCAGATGATGATCATGAGGAAAGAAGACAAGATTTGAGGCACGCCCAGGACGACGTTCGTTATGACCGGCCCTGGTTTGTTAGTGGTCGAGTCTGAACAGTGAGAACAGTTGTAACGTACATAGTTCACTGAAACTCCCAGCAGGAAGTAGGTAGATGACAGTCTTTTTCAAGTTATCTGATCGAATTAGTACAACCCAAATCACAGGAACCAAACATACCGTAAACAAGTCTGCCATACTTGACAGCTTCAACGATAGCAGAGAACGAATCAAGAAGAACAATATCGGCAGCCTCAATCGCTACATCAGATCCACTTCCCAAAGCAACGCCCACGTCTGCTGCCTTTAGAGACGGAGCATCGTTGACGCCGTCACCCGTCATGGCGACGATGTTATTCCTCCCCTGGAACTCCTTGACAATGCGAAGTTTCTGCTCCGGTGTTGTTCGCGCAAAGACGATTTCATCGTATCCGCATAGCCTGTCCCAGTCGCTGTCAGAGAGATCAGCTAGCTCGGGGCCACTGATGACAATGGCGGTTGTTGCACCGGGCTGTTTGATGGATCCTTCATCCGAGTCCAACGCCTTGATATCGTGGACCAGGTCAGGATGCGTTCTGATAATGCCGCATTCAATGGCGATTGCTTGCGCAGTGAGCTTGTAGTCCCCGGTGACCTGATACTATCAGCCAGCGGCACGTCTACGACTTGGTATATATAACTTACCATCATAATACGAATAGCTGCCCCACGGAGCGTGCTAACCACAGAAGGAATTTCGTCTCTCTGTACCCGTTAGCCTGTATTCAGATGACAAGTAGGGCCAGCCTACCGGAGGATCAATCAGTCCAACCAGCCCTACAAGGGTGAGACCGTCCACAGCCGACTCAAGAACCGCCTTCTCATCGCAAGTCGCATTCACCGCGTCACTCGAAAGCGGTTTCTGGGCCATGAGAATAACGCGCTTCCCCTTCGCCGACCAGCGGTCCTTGATGGCTTCGATCTTGCTGCGATCGCTCTGGGATAGGGCCTCGGTCTCGCCGTTTCTGGTAATCACGTATGCGCATTTCGAAAGAAGCATATCCGGGGCGCCTTTGATGAATAGGTACCTACAACTCAGCCATCAGACAGATACAAGCATGTAAAACTGGTAAAGGTACTCACGCGCTGCCCTCGTCAACCGACTTCATAACCCTCACCATAAACTTATTCTTGCTATTAAACGGAATCTCAAACGTTTTCTTCCACTGCGCGCGCAGCTCATTAACCGGTCCGAGAGACTGCGAAAGCCGCAGGATAGCCTGGTCGGTAGGGTCTCCAAAGACCTTTGCAGCGTGCAGCGGACGGTCCAGTGTGCTTGCATCGAACTCAGCAGCGTTGCAGAGTCCTCCTACTGAACGGACGAGATTGATCGATTTGTTTGGGATCCCGTGGGCCATGCGCTCTTTGGCTGCGTCGGAGGTGTATTCCTCGCTGCCGGAGAAGCAATCTGTGACGAACATTTCATTCTGGCTTGTTAGTGGCACTATCTACTAATACTTAAGGGTGAGAGAGAAATACCTTGGTAAGAGTGCCCGTCTTGTCTGAACAAATCACCGAGACAGCACCGAGGGTTTCCACCGTTGCCAGGGACTTGCAGAGGATCTTATTCTTCTTCATAATCCCAGCAGCAATGGTAAGGCCCATGGAAATCGAAATCGGCAGGCCCTCTGGGATAAATGCTATACCGACACTGACACAGCTGACAATGAGGGTTGGGACGTCGATGAAGTCCGGATGGTCTCTGCGCAGATACCCAGCCCTAGACGCGCCTGTCAGCTAGTATCTCTCTTTACAATGCCAGGATACGTACCAGATTATAATGATGATTATCACGAAAGTAATGATGAAAGACGCAATGATCAGGACGAATCGTAGAATCTCCTTCTGCATGGGCGTTAACTCTGTTCTCCGGCCGTTGGACAGGCTGGCGATCCGGCCAAACACTGCCTGGTCTCCTGTTCCGACGACGATGCCCAGTGCAGCTCCTGAGACGCAGTATGTGCCCTGCAGGCCGATATTGTTCGTTTCGAGGAAGTTGTTGTTTGTTGAATCCACCGACCCAGGGACAGGCTCCGACTCGCCTAGACGGTCAGCAATACAATACATACAGCACAACAGAAATGGTGTACTTACCAGTCAGGATAGATCTATCAAACTTGACATCAGCAGAAGCATGAATCAGGCGCACATCCGCAGGTAGTTTATTCCCCTGCTTGATCTGGATCAAGTCACCAGGCACAAGATCAACCGCAGTCAAGTCCGTCGGATTCCCATTGCGAATGGCAACACACTGGTCCGGCAGCATGGTCGTGATCGACGCCATGACCTGAGACGACGACCAATCCTGCCAGCCATTGAAGGCGGCCTGTAGGAGCCATACCACGGCAAGTACAATAGCCAAGGCCAGATTCGCCTGTGACGGGGGACGGCCGAGCGGTTGCCACGCGATAAAGACCAGGATACAACCCCCGAGAAGGATGCTGCCAAATCCGCCGAAGATGTAGCCCATCAAGGTGCGGAACCATCTTGACGGGGGCGGCGATAGCTGGTTTCTACCGTATCTGGCGACTAGTCTGCTGAGCTGCTCGCTTTGCAGGCCCTGAGGGGAGGTTGCGAGTCGTTTATGCAGCTCGTCGACAGAGAGGAGGTGGTAGTCCAGTTCCGCGAGCCCTATATCGTCAGCAATGGTATGACGCAATGAGGAGAGGAATCTAACCTTTTATTTGCTCTTGTTCCTTTTTATTGGAATGCACGTCTTTCCCGGACGTGTCATCAACCTTGAATGATCTACAGAGTATATCAGAATGCGCCACGCAAGCAGGGTGGTATCTCCTTACAGCGTGCGGTATGTGATAGGCAGCAGATTCTCCGGAGCAACGACTCGACCACGGCCACTGCCAATAGAGACAGACGAGTTGCGACGAGACAAAGACCGCATTTCATCGCGAGGGACGCCCTCGTCGACAATAGTGATCCTGTCGTGTTTGTCGTGCTCCATAGCGAATAGCTTTACCAGCAAAATAAACAAATAGAATAAATAAATCAAATAGCAAGGATAGAGCTACATGCAGAGCTCGCTCCCTCCTCTTATAGACCCTTGCATGATGCGAGGAGCTTGGGCAATCTCGCTTGTGCGATCTCGCGTGGTTGACAGAGCCCGCGATAGTGAAGCCCGAGTGGCTGCAGTAAATCACTCGGTGGCCCGCGCGGATTTTCTGGTCCAACCACTGCACTGCGCCTGCGCCATTATCTGAACCACTCTTGCGGAGGGAGTCTGGTTGCAGCGCCTCGATTGAATTTATCGAGCTGTTCCGTGGCGCGAAAATGCCGCAGTTACTCTACTTTTTCTGGTCGCGTGTGGCCGATTGCGGCGCTGAAGGTGCTGAATGTACGTAGTTAGTTAGGGCATTGAACAAACTGGAAAACCTGAAATTCTTGTCAGTGCTATCTATTCGCGAATTAAAGAGTAATTAAAATTAATATTATGTTTTTGTCGTCACTCATCACCCTCCTATCCTCCATTGAACCCAGTCAGGAATTAATTCAACACTCCCCAGCCCTATCCTGAACAGACCTCTCACCCACAACCCCATTTCCAACAGCAGCAGGCCCCTCCTTAACCAACATCTGACAAAACCGACTCCTCTCACGAACCCACCTCCCCTTCCAAAGCAACACATACGGAATCGGCACACAGGCCAAACTCACAAACCCGACAAGCGACGTCGCCCAACCCACCCCCAAATCCCTATACATCGGCTTCGCAGCCACAGGAAGCGCCGCACCAAGAATGCTCCGCAGGATAACCGAGCTGGCAAGCGCACTCGCGCTGTAGATGTTATACGCATCCGTGACATATATCAGAAGCGAGGTGAAGATGGATTGGTATCCGAAGCCGAAGACCAGCCCGGCCATGACGGGTGCCATCCAGTGGATGTTTGGTGTGGCGGTCCAGGCGAGCCAGAAGAGGGAGATGACGATTGCGAGTCCGCCGATGCAGGAGACGGGGAGACGGTGTAGTTCGGGGCTGAAGGGGAGGCCGAACCAGGTTTTGCTGCGTGATTTGGCGCGTTCGTATTTTAGATCCCAGGATATGACAGCCAGCGCGGTGGATGCGGCGCCGATTCCGACTATAATACTATTAGCTGGGTGTTACTTGTAGTATGGGACAGGGGAGGTACGTGGAAGAAAGGCGAGCGAGGTCAGTTTGATGCTGAAGCCGTATACCTCTGGGAAGATGATGGGGTAGGCCTGGAAGAAGAAGAAGACCAGGGCGTAGACGATCCCGACGTAGATCGAGGTGAAGAGGATAATCGGTTCAAAGATGAGCATGTACAGCGGTCGTAGAAATATCGTTGCCAGGTTTGTATCAATTTTCGACACCGGGGCCCTTATCTCAGTGCCAGACATCTTGCTCAGCTCGGCGGCGTGCCGCTTGAGTATCACCGGGCCGAATGACTCTGTAGGAGTTAGTAAATAAAAGCCCATTATGGATAATCAGGAGCGTACCAGGTAGGAAAATCAGCCCAGCCAGCGTGACACCGGCGAGAATCAGATCAGCCCAAAACGTCCACCTCCAGCCATGCTCCGACGCGAATCCGGAGATGATAGGGCCCAGAATAGGCCCGAAGCTCGCAACCTACACAGTCAGCACAACCAGCACAACCGGTAGAAAGTAGTACGTACGCCCATATAAAAAGTCATTGCTCTCCCCCTGGGCCGAGTCTCGAAGATATCCGCGTACGCACCCCCAATGACAGTCTGCGGAGAGGCACCCATGCAGCCACAGACAAAGCGAAAGAAGATCAGGCTCGACCAGCCAGGCGCAAGGGCACACGCGAGAGTAAAGACGAAAAACCCGACAAAGGTGTAGAGTAATACCGGACGTCGTCCAATAGTTTCACTCAACGGACTCCATATTAAAGGGCCGACCACATATCCTACTAAGAAAATTCCAGTGGGTAGACTGCCTTGTCCGTTGTCCGTCATGTTGAAGTTGTCCATGATGTAGGGAACGGCATTGCTTGGGAGCGACGAGGAGATGCCGCTATTCATCACCGACAGTAGCGTGAAGCAGACGACATAGAGCTTCTTCAGGAGCGGCCAATTGTACGGGCTTAGCTTCGGGCAGTCTTTGAATGTTATCACAGTGGGGGGAATAGGCGTTGGCGGTGGTGTAGGCGTAGGATAGCTCGTGGCAGCGACAGCACCGCTTCCTGAGAAATGTTAGTACCAGCAGGAGCCGAGGTAGCGATAACTTACCTGGAGTCTGAGCCTTCTCCAACCCGGAAATTACTTGACCTTCCTTTTCGTCCTCCATTGTGCTGGTTGGTTACACAGTCGGAGAATTCCTGGCGCACAATGGCCGACTTAAGTATAAGTATCGACCCCCTCACTTTCGGCAGCGAGGATCCGGCTTGACTCATAGAAACGGACTCGACCTGTCCAGACGCATGCGCACAGTTGAGTTTGTTTCCGGAATGGGCAGATCTCCCAATGAGAATGCTCGTATATTGAAACATTCTTCGCACTAAGACCGGGCCCGACACCGGCCCCGATCGGAACCGATGTAGGGCTCGGCTGGCCAAAACCGAGTCGGACAAGACAGACAAACAAGCTGAGTTAATTGGGACGCAATGCAGTTGGATATGCACGCGGTCCATGTGACGGGCTTACTTCTGCTTCTGCAGTTCTAGCCCGCTGTCAAACGAGCAAACAGCTGCACGTTCTTCACCATACGGACATCTCCCCGAAAAGGATTGGCGGGTTACGGTCAATAAAGGCAGACCAGTCAGGTCCGGCACAAGTCAGGCAGAAAGTCAAAGATGTCCGTTTGGCCTTCCTCGAACAGGTCGAATGAATCGGCTATCGGCCCCGTCAGGTTCCAGTTCGGGATATCATATCCTAGCAGTCTGGGCAGGACAGGCTCAGGCCTAGGCTCTGAAGAAGCGGTCAGATCCGCCTCCTTCTCCACTGGGATCATTGGGTTCTCAGAAGACGATCCTGCGCGTAGGTTGAAGTCCGATGTGGACTCGCTATCAATCTCTGTGTTCCTCAACGGTGCTGCTGCAGGTTGCGGATTACTGCTGTCGTTGCATAAATCCTGTTCCGCGAGAAGCGCTCCCGCATAGTTGACGAATATCTGGACTGTCCTGTGAATGTCCGGGTAGGGCGGCTGTTTGAGGTACTCGAGGATCTGCCGGACACGTTGCAGGACTAGCCGTCGGTTGATCAGCGTAGGGTGCCACCGCGCTACCCTAATGGCAAACGTTGCTGTACTATGTCAGTCCGTGACGTTCTGGAAGGTCCAGACACTTACTGATAAATGCAATGGTCAGAGCGGGGTATGTTGGAGCCCAAATTAGCTGGCACCTGTATGCTGATTCCGTCACCAGAAATGTCAATTGGCTCTCGATGACTTGGACGAGTTCCCTCCAGAGGTTGAGGACGGCGTCTGGTTCCACGCCTTGGGCGCCTTCTGGTGTCTGCTGCAGCTTCTGTATCCTAGCTATAGTCACACAGTACGTGAATACCTGTTACGTTAGCAGCCTGTATATACCCAGCAGAAGAATACCTTACCTTGGCGTAGTTGAGCATCAACTTCAAAGACGAGCGCTGAAACGCACCGGGATGGAAAGCGTTTTCTGCAAAGTCAGAATAATTCAAAAAAGTGCATTAAAAACTCACGATGGTGCAACTCGTCCCACTCCTTCCACCACTGGTTCAGTTTCCGCATAATCGCCGGCAGTTCCGTCGATATAATCTGAGCCGCAGTGGAATTCTCAATAATCTGCCGGCCTCTGGTCCGAATCTGGTGATACTCGATGATTGAAACAGTCCGCAGGTCGCAATGCAGCGATAAAGGGTAATCTAGAAACTTGCGCAGCTTGGAGATGTCAACATCTCCCAGACGCGACTTCCGACCCGTTCCACTGGCAACGTCCAGCTCCAGCGTAGACGAAATTAGCCATGTACGTGTCTGCCAGACAAGCTGTCGGTCTTCCATGCTTGCCGACAGGTAGCTCCGTGGTGCCGTGCTATGGGCCAACAGAGTATCCAGCGACTTCTCAAGCCCTAGATCCAACGCCGTGCGCAGAATCAGGGCTGTGGAAAACCAGGTCTTTTCCGAGTACGCCGCCAAAAGGATCATGCCTTGAACAGTCTCTAATTTAGTCGGCTTCGCAAAGAAAGAGTCCTCTGCCAGCCGCTGAGCTTCATCTTGGAGCACGCGCTGGAGGTGGACATTGCCACGGAAATCAGTCGCTGCGCGGCTGGCCAGGTAGACAATCACGGTGAAGCAGAAGAGCGATCGCGAGCGGATAGAGTCAAAGGTATCTCTGACGGGATCAAACAGAGGAATGAAATTTTTGCTGCAGTTCATGAATCTACGACAGTCAGCTTGCTCTCCCCATACCCGTACCAGGTAGACTACCTTTCGTAGATGCACCGCGCATCCTCTTCACGGATGATACCGCGCGAAATAATGTCACCTCCGGAATCTGCGACATCCGACTCCCCCAGGAAGATGGGCGAGCTCTCCCTGAGATTCACCGACATGGAATGCATCACCGACTGCGGCGCAATCATGTCCTGCGGGCTGAACTGCTGCAGTTCGAGGTTGTCTAGGTGGCTGCTCGACACGGACATGGTGCTCTGTGGAGTAGCAGCCGTAGTCGTGCTAAAGCGAGAACTAGACATGTCAGTACTACTACTACACTACTATACAGGTAAACCTACTGAGGAGTGTTTGCATGCCGCCGTCGCTCCGATGGGCGCGGCCTGCTGACGGTGTCCAGCACGCACTCGTGGTCGCACCCGGCGGTGCGACACCTCGAGCACGGCATGTGGGTGCGGGCATCGCAGCGGACCTTTTGCTGTCTGCATCGTCTGCAGCTTTTGAATAGCTTTCCGGACATTTTGATGTTGGTGACTTGGTGGTGTTGGCATCGGAATGATCGGAGCATCACGAAGGCATCTCCGATCGGGGCCGACTCACCGCCCGCCCAAATTCCAGTTACGTATGCTCTCTCCATTCTGTATGTTTAATATTTATGTCTGATTTATTTATTATTTATTTATTTGTAATTCGGAAATTAGAGGCTTGAGAGTCAGTTGAGAGTTCCAGTCGTAGTCGTGGCACTTGTATCCATGTGTTCTGCGAGCAAGTGCAATAAGAGCACAAGACGAAGATATATATTAACACATCGAGTGTACATGTTAGAAGACAGCCAGTTCAACCAGCAAAAGGAGGTTCCTTTATTTGATCTGCCTCTGACGAATAAAAAAGCACTTAATTGATAACTATAACTAGCAAAAAAAAAAAAAAAAAGAAAGAAAAGAAAAGAAATAACTCCGACACGGGGAATCGAACCCCGAGCTGCTGCGGTCAATCTTTCATTTGATGAAAGGCAGCTATGTTAGCCGTTACACTATGTCGGACGATCTGTTCAAGCCGGCGCACTTTTTGGCTACTTGAGTGTCTGAAAACTGGTCTGATTTTCAATCGGGAGTCTAGTTACTTAGGCTAAGCTCTTCTGTATACCCTACATATACTGCACATCACAACAGCAGTCCCTGACTTCCAGCTGCCTACCGAACAAGCCTAAACGGCCCCAGCGCATTAAACAACGAAGGCATCTAGCAAGCAACATTAGCAACACCATTCAATTAGTCAACTCTATACCAGACAAGCAGGATCACAAACCTGCGGCGCCGTAGGCAAATACGTATTCAACCGCAAATACCACACCGAGTCATCACCAACCTCAGGCAGATCATCCGGAAGTTCAAAGGTCACACTGCCCGCGTCCAAGGGGATCCCGTCCTGGAGTTTCACCTGGTATTCCGACGTGACGAAGCCCCCTGGCTGACGGACGGGGTTGTTGTGCAGCCATAGACTGTACTCGGCGGTTGGGTAGTGGTCTAAGCTTGCGTCGCAGCGACCGCTGTTGCGGTTGAAGCGGATCTCGACTGGCCAGTTTGGGGCGATGGTGCTGTTTTCTGGGTTATTTAATATCAGAGGTCTGTACTGATATAAGGTTGAGGGGACGAACCGGTTGGGCCGGAGTAAGCGTTGATGCAGGCGTAGTCGCGTTTGCCCCAGGCTGGTTAATGTTAGTTTGAAGAGACTGCACGTACTGCAGGTAGGACGACTTACGAGCCCACTTGTCGAGGACAGCGGAGGCGCTGGTAGCGAGGATGGGGATAACAACGGCTGTAAGCTTCATTTTGATGGTTGGTTTTCTTTAACAGTAGACAAGCGGGCACCCTCTATTTATACCTGGAGCTCAGCAGTTCAACTTCAAAGGATGAATTCCCTGATTGGCTTTGTTGAAGGATTTCTGCAGACCGACAGAATCCCACGCCAAGCTAGCAAGGCAAGCTGATCTGCGATACGAGCTCCGAGACAGAGGCACTGAAACCCAGCGACTTGTAGACAACATCCTTGCTGGCACATGTGCGCCAAGTTGCCAGAAGTATAATTCATTCCTCGTGATAACGAGAGCTGAGACCGGTGACGGCGGCCAAGTCCCAGTACCAGCTGTTGAGGTGTATTCGATTAGCCGAACAATCATCGAGACTGGGTTCGGATCTCAGCCTTGACCGAGTGTGGTTTTCGTCAGACAATCGGTCTAAGAGCTCTTACGGAATGTTTGGGCGAGATAGTTAGTTGATTGGTGTAGTCTTGCAGGAACTGTTAACTTTTACAAGGTGGAGCTGAAGGATTATCACGCCGTATATGTACGGAACGAATACCACGTTATACGAGTTTATGCCATGTATTATTATTTGAAATTGCCTGCATTGCTCGTAATGTCGTGGCGTACGTCACTTGCCCTAAAGCCCGGGCATCAGAAGACGGGTTATGATAGGCGCTATAGCACCACGAGACGACCAGCTGAAAATAGACCCAAAACCATTACAACTAAATAGAAATACTATACCCTCCGTATTCATACCTTTCGCGGACTCACCACCGCCGCATCCGCATCCGCATCAACATGAACATGCTCCTCGTCCTTCCTAAAGTGCACCAAGTTCGAATGAAACACTGCAACAATTAGCCAACAACCCAACAAACCAATGGTAGCCCTTAAAAAATAGGACAAGAATATCGACATACCATCCTCCATCTCCTCCAGCGACTTGCCCGTGGTCTCCTTGATGAAGAAAAACACGTAGACGACAATCGCCCAGTTGAAGATACAGAACATCAGGAACGTCTTCCAGCCCATGTTATCCACCGCATGCGGCGTCGCCTGCGAGAACACAAAGTTGAACAGCCACTGCGTTGCCGTTCCCACTGCGATGCCGATTTCGCGGATTCGCGTTGGGAAGATCTCGCTCATGTATAGCCATGGGACGGGCCCCTGCATCAAATATTAGTTACTCCTTTAATCTCGGTAATGGTTTTATAGAGGAGGGGGGAGTACCCAGGACATGTTATAAGCCGCCGCCTCGAGGTAAATCATCGCGATGGATGCCGCAGTATGCGAGGAGATACCTGTTACTGCTGCAGTTGAATCCGGGTCCGCTGGGAATGATTTCGCCAGCATTGCGACGATGAGCATGAGAGAGCCCATGAGGAATGCGCCGATTGCGAGGGACCACTTTCGGCCGATGCGCTCGACGAGGAAGAGGACGAAGATGCCGCATGCGACGACCTTGACGACGCCGAAGAAGCCCGTGATGAAGAGCTTGTCGTTGGCTCCGATGCCGACGGCGCCGAAGATTTGGGGGGCGTCTATAGTTGTTAGTTTCATATATAACATAAAGAGTGGAGAGAGAGAGGCATACAGTATGCGAGAGATGTATTTCCGGTGCATTGCGCGCCTGGGGAGAGTCAGTATCAGATAGAACCATGGAACGGGGGAGCATACAGATCTGAATAGTAATGGCAATGAACAGCCTATACCGATTCGCCGAAAGAGCCAACTCCCTCCAAGTAACGCCCTCCGTCGCCGCAACTTCAGCACTGATTCCATCCAGAATCTCCGCCATCTCAGCGCGAACCTCCTCCGTGTCCTCTCCCCCCCTGACCCAGATCAGCGACTGCAGCGCCTCGTCGTGGCGCCCCTTACTCGCGAGCCAGCGCACGCTCTCCTTCAGAAACAGCATGCCCACGCCCAGGATCCCAGCGGGGACCAGCTGCAGCCCGATGGGGATCTGCCACTGCCGGTCGGACGGCTCGACGTGTTTCTCGACGGCGTAGTCGATCCAGTACGAGGTCATGACGCCGAGGGTGAAGAAGAACTGGAACAGACTGCCTAGCTGGCCGCGGATTTCTTTCGGGCTCATTTCGGCGCTGGATATTTAGCACAGCGACGATTTGAGGTGGGAAAAGAAATACCTGTACATGGGCACCATGACGGTGGCCATACCAACGCCAATACCACTAATCACACGCGCAGCATAGAAGGCGCCAATCGAGTGAGTCGGCGCGACCTGGATAATACCGCCAATGCAGAAGATCAACGATGCAAGGGCGATAGACCAGCGGCGACCGAATCGCTTAGTGAACGGCCACACGAAGAAGCAGGAGAAGAAGGCTGTAGGTCAGCGAGAGCTTCTATCTAGAAAGCGAACGAGCTGGAGACGGCATACCTCCTGCCTGCAAGAGACTGTTGGAATTTGAATTAATGTCTGCCCTTGAGTCCTCGCCGTACCGGAACGATTCCATAAACGAGTCCAGGGTCAGGATGCCGCCGATGATGCCGGTGTCGTACGCGAAGAGGAACGACCCGACGCAGCAGATGGAGACCAGGAAGACCGCCCGCAGGCGACCGAGCTGCTTACCCATGGTGGTAGAAGTACGAATCTGCGATACCTATGGATTCGACAGGAAAGCCAGCGAGGAGGAGGAGGGCGCTTTGTTAAATGCTGCTGTGCGGGGAACAGCCCGCGGCTTGGGTCAGCATCAGCATTAAAAGGCACGATAATGGCATGGGCGCATGCAGCATGGTCCTTGCGTCGGATTTATCCATCGTGTTTGTCCAGCCAGTTAATTTGGGCTGCGCAGTGGTGATTCGCAGGCCATAACACCATCGCGATCGAGTCTGGGGAAGCGACTGGGGCCCAACCACCGGGCAATCACAGTGCGCGCTGGCACTCGCGGTGGGGAGATGGATCGCGACGTGACAGTCAAGAGTTAGCCACGCGCAGAGGGTGCGATCCAATCGTGGGCAGGGCGCCGTGTTGGTGCGACGCCACCGGCTTGGCTGGATACCTGTGTTGCTTAGGGCTCACCCCTGAATCAGTCACGACAGCGGATACGGCGTCAACACGTTGGCTCAAGGAAGAGTTGGCAGTGGCTGAATCAAATGAGCTTATCTCGCGTGCTGTTCGGCTGGTCTGGCCGTGGTAGAGACCGCCTGTTTATTAGCTGCTGAAGGCGTGATGCTGCTCCTGTTGACGCCATTTCGGATATTTCCCATGCACCAACTACTTGGCAGTCCTTGCTTTATCCCTGTCATTACGACGTTGAAAATAAATAGAAGTGAATTTATCCAGCAAGTTAGGTATATCATCGCTAAATACAGTCCGTAATTCGTAAGAGTTCCACGTCATACATCAACATCCCCCTTAGTATACACCGAAGCACAGGCCAGGGCGCTCTTCTGCCGCAGCCACGGCCCATACATTCGGAACAGCACTGGGATCGGGATCATCGCTGCACTGATGCACCCTAATAAGGTCCCGGCCCACTGTACTCCCAGATTCTCCATCATCTGCCGAGAGAATAGCGGAAAGGCACATCCTACCGCCGAACGGAGGATGGTATTTGCTGCAATCGTTGAGGCCGCTCTGCTACCGTTAGTAGTTTTCTCGACAGTAGAGAAGAGAACTTACAGTGTGGGATAGCAGTCCACGATATAGTTAAAGCACTGCAAAAAGATACAAAAGATCCCGAACCCCGTCAACAGCCCAGACGCAACCGGGGCCATCCAGTGGATATCAGGTCTATACCCACACCATCCAAACCAGAACAGACCAGCTGCAAACGCCACAGACCCGACAATCGCCGGAGACAGACGCCACTCAGGGACAGGCTGGTTATTATTCGCTTCAAGTTTGCGTACATACCCGCTCTGCAAGAGCAGAATGTACACTCCCCCGAGCAGCTCACCAATAATAAGCCCAATGAACGCCAGCCCGGCAACACCCATATTCATGCCGTACACCTCCTGGAAGACAACCGGGTAGGCACCCAGCAGGGCATACATCAGCCCGTACACAAACGAGATATAAAGCGAGACAAGCAGCAGGATAGGCTCGGTGACGAGCATCCGCAGCGGACGCATAAAGTTATTCTTCACGAGTTCTGCAAACGCCACCTCCACCTCATCCTGTTTCGCATGAATGCCCCAGTTATGCGTCTGCCGTCGCAAGACAGACGCCTTGTGAACCAGAATCACCGGCGCATAAGTCTCCTCCATCCACAGCGCCACCAGCACGAATCCCAGAAATACCATAATGGCCGAGATATACATGATCCAGCGCCATCCGAGCGTCATTGCAATAAACCCACCGACAAACGGCGCAGCAAAGGGTCCGATAAAGACAGCCATGCAGAATAGGGACATGACGATTCCGCGCTGCGCGGGGGCGAATAGGTCCGCGAAGACGGCGGGCACGACGGATAAAGGCCCTGCTGCGAATAAGCCGGCGAAGAACCGGGTGAGCATGATTGTTTGTGCGTCCTTGGCTGTTGCGCAGGCGATTGTGAAGACGCCACATCCGAATGCCCCGATGCAGACTGGCCAGCGCCGGCCGATTACTTCGGACATGGGTGCCCAGGCGATAGGGCCAGCGGCGAAGCCGAGCACAAAGAGTGTCACGCCGAGTGATGCGGCCTCTCGACTGATATGGAAGTCTTCGCTGACGGCTCCAATGGCGGCGGAGAAGACGGCGCTTGTGAAGGAATTGGCGAATGTGCTGTATGATAGAATGATTACGAGTAGGATCCTAAGCCGTCACTATTAGCCAAGCCCGACAAGCCTTGGTCTGAGAGAACGCACCGTCTAGTCAAACTCCAATTATACGGATGCATTGGGTCTCCCGCTCCGTCGAACTCGACTACAAAGCCCTCTGGATCGGGCAATAAGGGAGGGTACTCCTTCCCAGCACCCATGGGCAGCCATGTCTCTCGCGGCTGGGGACCCCTCGTCGACCCAACTGTTGTCTTCTGTTGCAGCCGGTATGTCTCTATGCGCGACAATTCAAGCGAATTGGGGTGCTCGAGGGTGTGACTGTCGGTGTCGATGTCGATATCGGTCTCGGTCTCGGTATCATCGGAGTAAGCCTCGGTGGCCGTGGGAATGCAAATATCGGCATCGGCATCGGTCCGTGCCACGGCGAGCTCCTTGTCCATTGTCCGTGGTTCCGGTTCGCGCAGAATCCTATGCACCTGAATTTACTGTACAGTTGTAGTTATGGCCTGCTCTACGAGAAGGGCGCCACCCCCTGATATACCAGTCAACGCCAGCAAATTTTTCGCTCCCATCGTCCCATCTTGACTCGGGTGCCGGAACTACAAGCCCACAGTGCCACCAAATGGGTCCTTATCGTGAAGCCGACAATACAAAAATCTCCATTCTTTTCCGCAGCACATCGGCCGTTAGATGCAGCCACACCACATTGTGGGATATGGCCAATCAGCAGCCTCCGTTGCAGAATATTCTCGGCTAAATTCGGTGCTGTGGCTGGTGAGAGCTCGGAGTTGTGGCGCGTCCCGAGAACAGCCGGGGCGGTTATTCGCGCGGCTCCAGTTTTTATTTATATACTCCGGTTTTTTCTTGCCTTGTGTGCTATCAGTCTCATGTCTGGACTCGGCGATCGCGAAAGCGTGTTTGCCTCAAACATGGCCAGTTGAGGATGTTCAGCCTAGCAATGGATTGATCAGAATGTGCTTGTTGGAACTGGTCGCCCTGGACGAGTGCGTACAGAGCTTCGCTTTGACGGTGGGTCGCGAGGTATAAAATTAACAGCCCTGCATAAAGTGTCTGGTATGATCAGCAGTGGACTGGCATATCAAGCTAAGTCAACATGCGAGGGACCGCGGAAGCAAGAATATCAAGTTTTGTAGCGAAAAAGCGATGACGCAGCTGAGGGTGTCACTAAGTATACCCCCTTTGTATTACAAGACAAGCGCTATGTACGTCCTGGCATGCGTGTGTATAAACTATGCCGCCGTTAACCTTGGTTGGTGTAGATGAGGGATCTATGATAATGCTGGTCATGGTCTCTTCTGATGGTTTGCAACTGGTGTTTAATTGCTCGAAATTGTCAGATACGAGGTGGCTCTATCTACGGACAACATCCAATCTACCTGCGTGAAGAAACCATTGAATCAAAGAACCCAACTTCTACGACGATATCCCAGATATAGCACAGTCTTCATCCTCAACCTGGCCACTGCCGATGTCTGCCCTGTGTCTAGTCACTTCTCACCCTAATCTCACCTAGGCGGCACTCGGGTTCCAACGCAATCAAGCCACAGGACAAAACGTCACCGAATCATGTAGATCCCGGCTACTGAATCCGGCATTCAAAACAAACTCACCCGCGGGTATAAGCCACTCCTGCTGTGTGACATTCCAGTAACTCAGATCCCGGCGCATCAGCGGAAAGGTAGCCGTGTAGCCCTTCGCCGGGTGCAAGGTAGGTCTTTTCAAACCCACGTAACTGGCGCGGAGGCTCTGAAACCTCGCTGGGGAAGGAAACGTAGAGTTGCGCAACAGTGGCACCAGACGTCGCCCCCATATTCCGGACTGTCACTTGTGCCTCGAACAGAATGTCCCAGAGGGCTGGATTGCCACCTGGGCGTGCTGCCAGAGCCTCTGAATGAGAACGAATGTGGGTAGTCTCTGGGTTTGTGGGCTATACGAACCCCACGAGACCAGGAAACCGCCAACCAAGTTTTCCATTCCCTACTGCGCCAAAGACAATCCTGCTCCACGATCTGGATTCAGCCACCCGGATGTGGTTGTTGTATTGGCTTGTTTGAGCTACTACTATGCAGGCCTTAGAGATGATGACCTGTTTATGGCATTTCATCATCTAGTCAAATCTGACCAGGCAGAGGTATCTCAAGTCCAGCCTGGTCAAATTCCTTAAAGTGCTCATGTCCCAGATCAGAAGAGATGGCCAAGAAATTGACAAAACGCACCTTGGAAACATTCTAGATGGAAAGTTGTTAAGCGTTGGTGATTTTCAGGATGGTGATTACTAGACTAAACGTTTGGATCATATGGTCTATTATATCTATCTAGATTCGCACGAAAGATGTGTTTGAATATTCTCCTCGAAGACTTGAGCTCCCTAGAAATGTTGATGGATTTTGAGCCCAGTCTACAGTTATTGTTTGTTTAGAGAGAAAGGAGTAGATGAGGTGGCCATTTAAGCTGTACTTAAGATTTATAAATATTATGCTTATAATAATAGCATGCTTCATATAGGAATCGGCGTGGGGGCCTTGTGCATTGATCATTCTTACAGTGCTGAAGGGCAGTGGAGGGAGCGGGATTGGCTCTGCCTCTGCGGCGTTGCTTGCATTGGGTAACATTATGCGCGGCTGGGCTAGGTACAGGGTTGGTGTGAAGAAGCCTGGAGTATATTATAATTTCCTAGATCTCACCAGCAGCTTTAATTGAAGAGTCTGCTTTCCCTACATGGATTGAGATCCGAGTCAGCCTCGTTGCCAAGTCCAACGCGCCAAATGCATCCCAATTAGGGCAACCAGCAGAAGTCCCTTGTAGATAAATAGCACCAGATATCAATCCCAGAGTTTTGTTTCTTGCAAACCAGACAGATCAAAATGGTCGCTCTACATCATTCCCTCTTCACCACACTCTTTCTATCTTTCCAGTTCCTCTACCCAACATCGGCCCAAGACTTCCCCCCTGGGTTCCATCCCGGTGCAGACGGGCCCGCATCAGAGGCAACCAAGGGCTTCTGGATAAATCACACCGGCCTCAACGTGCGAAACCTCACCGCAAGCAAAGCCTTTTATGGCTCCGTCCTTGGCATGCGCCACATCTTTACAATCGATTATACCGACCACTTCAGCCTAACGTACATGGGATTTTCCCAGGGCGGTCGGAACGGGACGGGCTTCCAAACGGGAGAGGAGTTGCGCCGAATCAAGAACAATGCTGGCGGAATGATCAAGTTGCTTCATTTCAGTGCGAGTGAGAGTGCAGCGGCTGTGCCAACAGAGCGGACGACGACGTTGTCGAATCTAGGCCTTGTTGTTCCGGATTTGCAGGAGGCGGAGAACTGGTTCGAAAGGCATGGGGTGAAGATTGTGAAGAAGAGGGGTGTTGATACGCTGGCTGGAGATAGCGATGTCGCTGTGTCGTTTAATATTGGGCCCGAGTCGACGAGTAATCAAACAGAGGTGGAGGAGTTGGTGAAGGGGTTGCAGACGACGGACTTTGGGAATGTTGTGTTTATTGAGGATCCGGATGGGAATCTGTTGGAAGTCATTGAGCAGAACGGCTTTTAGATTTGTTGAATTGGATATAATTTCAGAATGGAGTCTTTTATGTTGACGGTAAAAGACATATCAGGAATAGCTACTTATAGCACTCATTATTAGGCTAGACAATTGGACCATACTGTCTATTAGATTCGCACGAAAGACGTGTTTTGGTATACCCAAGGAAGACTTAAGTTATCTAGACATGTTGGTAGATTTGAACCCAATCCACAGTTCTTGTTTGTCTAGAGCCTCCTAAAAGATCTAACTGTATTAAGGATTCAAAGTGAATGGCAAGTATAATGCCTGTATTTACCACATTCGTTGTGATCTCTGCCAAGTATCAAAGTATTGAGGGAATATGTGAATTTCTGCTGCTCACATGGTAATTCTTACACAGAGCTATTTTCTTGCTCAATATATGTACACTAGTCAACAGCTGAATTGTTATTGTCGATTCTGGCCTTGTCTACCCGAGTAAGGTGTGAATGACTACCTATTCTAGGGTTGTTGATTCAGTCATGCAGTATCTTTCAACCACCCTGCTGCCTCGTTCTTATACACTTGCATATTCACAGATACCGTCTCATGGTGAGATACCGAACAACATAAATACCCTGTTGAAGTCTCTCTAACCTTGACTTCCTTCACCTCTAAGCATTTCCTTCCACCTCAGAACTGACTCTATCAAGATATCGATCAACACGAGCAACTTGTGATCAAAATGCGTCTCAGTCTTATCACTCTCTTTGCTGCCCCCTTCGCGGCCATGACATCTGCTGTGCGTATTACCGAGTCCAACCACAAAGAAATTCTTTGCTAACTGCCCAATAGCATACTGTCAACTGCTGGGGAAAGGCCCTGCACCCCGAGAAAAACGATCTCGAAACCATCATCCGTTATGTCAACAAGCGGATTGCCATCGCGAAGGAAGCAGGCACATGGATAAACGAAGTTATCCATCCCAACAGCTGCGTTTATATCGCCTGCGTCAAGGACTTGGCCATCAGCGTCCGAGCATGCAATATCGTGAGTAAACCTGTTATATACCTTCTTTTTTTTTATATATATATATACTAACGTGGGTGTCTAATATAGGGCAAACAAACCATTCGCCCTTCCCTGCAAAACGTTGCCAACACCATGAACGTGATATTGAATGATTGTACTGAAGAGTACGACGGCAAAAAGGTTTCTGGTGGCGTTGTTGACCACCCTGATGGATACCAGCTTATTGTCCAGGAGGATGATACATGCAAGTACTAGTTAGGCCGCGGCTTTTGATTCCATCATTCTGGTGTGATGTCGTGGTACTATTCTTGTGGGAGGGTGATACGTATTCAACGTACTATTGCTTGACCATGTTTCTTTATCTTTGTGTGATTCTTTGTTGTGTTGGGGATGGTTAGGTGTCGTGACAGGCAACTAAACAGACCTTTTGAATAATTACTGTGTGAATGCTATTGACAATACATTGTATAACCGCCACAAGTCTCTTGCTCTGCTGTAGATTGTAAGCTGGTTCCTGCCTGAGGCAGATATATAGCCCTACCTCCTTCCCAATGGGGAACCCTTCGTTCGTGCAGGTTTGTTGCCTCCAAACTACTAATAGCCTCACACTGTAACCTACCATGGCGAATATGTTGTTATTATGGTGTATAGCACGTAGTGACCACATGGCGCGCCCTTGCTGGCAGACCGGCGTTCGGCAGCCCGCAATCCTTGCTGGAGATGGTGTCATCCACACTCCCGCTACGGTCGATCCGACACTATCGCCGACAGCCGATGCCAGAAGATTATCACCGACGATGGTCTGACTGATCCACGCGATCTGGAGTTGGGATGGTGTAAGGCGGGGTGGATGTATATGTATATATATATAGTTAGATCTTCGCTCGGAGGTCGAACCCAGTCCTCTACTGAGACCCTGCAACTACTATACAAACCTTGTATCTCATAATGGCCCCCTCTATTGCTGAATCCCCCAAAGCCGACGTCGTCGTGCCAGTCAAGACAGACACCGTCGAGACAAAGCCCAAGATCCGACGAGCCATCGACGAAGAAGGAGGAACCACCACCGCCAGCGTAAGTGCCTGATTCCATCCACTGCCAGCTCTATTTAATCTAACAGTATAGTTCCCCAACTACCTCCCAATCTGGGACCACTCCGAGAAATACCCCCCTCTCGAACCCTTCACGCACACCGAGCACGGCCTCGACGCCGACCCCTCCTTCTCCGACCTGCTCGGCCCCGGCTCCAAAATCCAGAAACTCACCCCAACAACAGGCTCCGAAGTCACCGGCGTGCAGCTCTCCAAACTCTCATCCAAAGGCAAAGACCAACTCGCCCTCCTCGTCGCCCAGCGCAAGGTCGTCGCCTTCCGCGACCAAGACCTCGCCTCCCTCCCCATCCAGGACGCCCTCGACTTCGGCGGCTACTTCGGACGACACCACATCCATCCTACCTCCGGCGCACCAGACGGATACCCACAGATCCACCTCGTCCACCGCAAGGGCAACAAGGGCGAACAGGACGCATTTTTCGCGGAGAAGAACAGCACAGTTGCCTGGCACTCCGATGTCACATATGAGCAGCAGCCGCCGGGGACAACGTTCTTGTATATCCTCGACACTCCCGAAGTCGGTGGGGATACGGCATTTGTGAACCAGGTCGAGGCTTATAACCGGCTCTCGCCGGCGATTAAGGAGAGGCTGCATGGGCTTAAGGCTGTGCATAGTGGGTTTGAGCAGGCGGAGTTTAGTCGGCAGCGGGGAGGCGTGGTTAGGAGGGATCCGGTGAAGAATGAGCATCCGATTGTGAGAACGCATCCGGCGACGGGGGAGAAGGCGTTGTTTGTTAATGGGGGCTGTAAGCTTTTTTTATCCTTCTATTGTCATTGGGTATCTTGCTGATTGTGATGATAGTTACTCGGAGTATTGTTGGGCTGAAGAAGGAAGAAAGTGACGCTCTATTAGGGTTCTTGCTGAACCATATCGGTCGAGGCATTGATTACCAGGCGAGAGTGAGATGGGCACCTGGGACTGTTGTTGTTTGGGATGTGAGTTCCCTTTGCTTTCCTCTTCCTATTATGAAATCAACGGCGGACACTGACGAAATAGAACCGCGTTACTGCACACTCTGCCATTGTCGACTGGACAACTGGGGAGCGTCGCCATCTGGCGCGGATTACACCGCAGGCTGAACGGCCGTATGAGACGCCTTACGTCCCGGAGGAGTAGAAGATCTATCAGATTGTGATGTTTGAGATATCATTGAATAGTAACTAACCAATTTATAATTTGACCTTTAAAGCAGTTTTCCCCCCAGTAGTCTTTATCTTCCATTCGTGGGAGTTGTACGAACTGCATCGATGTGACGTATTAGGGCTAGGCATTGACAGAATGCTGGCATCAATACCGACAAACTCTTGCCATAACAGTCCAAACCACGACTAATACTCCTACTAGTCCACAGAAACTACACGGGTCGGGCTGGAGTTACTACAATCAGCATGATGAAACCATCAGCGGGGTAAATTGCGAGTCCTGTGATAAGATCGCGAACCGCAGCATCCATTCCACCAACTGCTTCACGAACGAGTTCCTGGTTGGTGCATCATACCTGCAAACGTCAGCACGCAATAAGCCTCCAGATGGCAACGGCAGCGTTGGCAAGCACAAAAGGAAGAGGCAGATCGAGTTCACTCTCGCTTTTGTGATTGTATACCATTACTGCTACCAACAACCACCACCTTAACAAGATAGTCATAATCCGACTGCTCGACTGCTCTTGACGAAGAAAATGTCCGTCGCAAAGGAATTCGAAGCCGCGAACGCAAACTACGCCGCGTCGTTTACGAAAGGGGATTTGCAGCTGCCACCTCAGCGGTACGTTCCCACCTCCCATCCCATCCACCAGGCAACTTCTAACTAGTCAATGGATAGCAAGGTCGCAGTTGTAGCCTGCATGGACGCACGACTGGGTATGTAGAAAGAAACTCCAGTACTCGAGATCAACGCTGACCATGATCTAATTCCCAGATACCGCGCGCGCTCTAGGGCTTGAAGAAGGCGACGCCCACGTCATCCGCAACGCCGGCGGACGAGTCACCGATGCGCTGCGCAGCATCGTCATCTCGCAGCAGCTACTTGGGACGCGGGAGATAGTAATTGTGCACCACGTACGTTGACCCAGCTTAATTCGCTTAACTAGCAGCACGAGTGGATACTAAATGATTGTGCAGACGGACTGCGGGATGCTCACATTCACCGACGATGTCATCCGCACGAAGATCCGGGACGAGATTCAGCAGAATGCAGATCATATTGCCTTTCTCCCGTTCTCGGATCTGAGGAAGAGTGTTTTGGATGATGTACAGCTTGTCAAGGAGAATCCGTTGGTGTTGGATGTGCCGGTTACGGGCTATATCTATGAAGTTGAGTCGGGGAAGATCGTGAAAGTCGAGTAGTTTGGGGTTGGAATTAGGTTAGTTCTTTGTGTTGTTGTTGATATGGAGTCTGGGATGGCGGGTGGGTTGTAGCGATGGTGTTGGGTAGATGGGGGAGTGTCTGTTGTGGCTGTAGTTTTGAGCGTGAATGAATTATAATGATCAGATCAGGATTTCTACTAGATTCCGCGTAAGGAAGCTTCTACGATTGTTCCCGGTTGCTGTTAGAGTACTAGAATGCTGTGAGAAAGGGTAGAAAGCCACTAGATCGTCGATTTGATTATACACTATATATTAAATGAGAAATTCAAGACCAAACGCAGCGGCTACCTTGACACCGTCTGACCGAGATGTTATAACAGACACGGTGCGAAGGCGGCTCACGATCAGGCTGCGGAGGTACGCAACGCCGCTGCATTGGCTTCGATTTTGCGTTTCGCAGTGAAAATACCAGCAAACCCGCGCTCCTGGTTCCGGCCAAGCCAAGGCTTGCGAGCTTCGCCCAGAACTTTGCGACCAAGGTAGTAGATGAGCTGGCCGATAATAATGAGAACGAACGCGATTGGGTACATCCAGTGCACACTGTATTTGAAGACTTCAATGCCGATGATCACACCCCAGAAGTTCATAGTGAGGAGAGAGATGTTGAAGAAGGCAGCTGACGCGAGACGGAACAGGAGCGGCGCTGTAGAATAGAATATTGACAGGCACAGAGTGTAGCCAGCTAAATACCCGCCCACTTGACCGTCCCAGTGCGCGTTTTTGATGGAGTCGCGGTCGAAGATACCAGCTTGTACACCGTTGATGATCATGCCGAAGAAGCCCATCTGGCCGATTACCTCGTAAACAGGAGCGGTACTGACAAAATACTCCTCACCGGTGTTGGCCAGCCCGTAGAAGGTGGCTCCCAGTAAGGCGAAAAGGTCGCCCTTGATCTGGTTTCCTCGGGAAATATCTCCACCATTCGTGCCCTGGATGTGATCGGACGCAATCAACACGCCCATACCGCCGATACAGATTAGGATACCGATAATCTGGGAAATGTGATAGCGGACGCGGAGGAATATGAAAGACGCCAGGACCACAATGACGATAGCCCAGAAATTGATCAACTGGGCACTCATCATGGTGGTGTACTGGTACGCGAGGACCATAAAGTAGTTGCCCTCGACATCGCAGAAAGATAGAATGACATCTGCACGAGTTAGACACTGTTAAGGATGCGACATACGTATGGAAACTCACATTTCCACCAGTTCTTCCATAGCATCTGGAACCAGCCCTTGATGCCATACTTGTAGAGGGTATAGGAAGTGAAGATAATGTTGATAAGGCAGTAGTTGAAGAATGTCTGGAAAGCCGGGATCTCGGTTTGCTTGTCCGCCAGCATCTGGTTGAATGTGTTGGTACCGGTGTTTGTGATTGCAAGAAATTGCCTGGAAAAAACTGGGTTAGCTATGGTAAATGACAAAACCGATCGTGAATTCTCACCCCAGAATTAGAGTTATGTAGAATTCCTTGGTTTTAAAGTACGCAAAGAACCCTTTCTTTCCATCGTCGATTTGGTCTGCTGCTGTTTCTGGAACAGGGTCCGATTCTGACGGACTGGCATCGGCGGATGTCACAGTCGATGGCCTTCCACCATCGGGGCCAGTGACAGTCGTCTCGACCGTGGGCTGCTGCTTGTTCTTGTTATCGGACATGGCGAGGAATCGTTGATCGTCGGTGGGAACTGCGGGGAATCAAGCGACGCAAGAGACAGCCAGATTATGCCGGGAGCTTTCTGACCTGAACGAGCGCAAAACTCCCTGAAGTCGCTCGCCTGCGGTCTGGTAAGAATTCCCAGGTGAAGAAGTGGGATGTTGCAGCAGGAAAAAAGCAAAGAGCGAGCGGAGGCAGAAAAGTCGCAGATGTGAACAGACTCGAGGCGGCGGGCCGGACGAGATTCCTCATTGGGCAACGGCAGGTCTGGGCTTGAGATCTAAACGAGGCCGGACATCGTGGGGGTCTGCTCGTCCCAATCAGGTGCGTTGATTTGAGCCACCCTTTTTGCGCTTGTCAAAACCTTGCATGGAAGGTGGAGATTGTCGGGGGTCTCCGACAGGTGCCCAATCGTCAATGCTCGTGCTGGCAGCTGGTCTGATCGGGTGAAATTTCCAGCTCGATCCGGCGTGGCAAAATCGTCACTACTCAACAAGATTCAAAGGCGGCGTCGTGGGGCAGAATCCATGCTTTGTTGATATCTAGACTGACATGAAGCCCTGGTAGATCTCTTCGAGTACATCCCGTTTACGCTTGCGGTCAGCCTGCTCCATCTCTTCAGCTTCAGTTGGCGCCTCTTCTGATTCTCGCGAAACCCACGTCCTCAGTGTCCCGTCGCCATGCGCTGAAAAGACCTCGATGCCCTCGCCAGACGCACCATTCCCTCGCCATGCCAATGAGTTAATACGCGCGGCGCTGAGCGCGTTGGAGCGCCCCTGCGCGTGAGTTCTGCGCGCCATAAGGCCCGGGACTCGGAGACGCTTGATAAAGGACCCCTCGCGCAGGCCCAGGAGGAATATTTCACCTCGGTCTTCCGAGTCGCTGTAATTTGCCCAGAGTAGCGTTTCATGGCCGAAACCCATATGGCGATGGGGTACAATCAACGGCGCCCTTTCGGCCAAGTGCGCAGAGGAAGTGTTTTGAATGCGCGGGCCGAAATGGACAAGCGTGTTGGCACCCGTTGCAGCTTCCCATACACGAATCCGCGCGTCCTGACCGGCGGTTACCAGGTATGTTCCATCTGAAGTCCATCGCACCCCCGTCACGGCTCCATTGTGCGCTCGAGCATGGGGCAAAAATGCGGGGCGGCTATGATACGAGCCCGGGGTGTTCTGGGATGGAACGAGGCCCACCGCGTCGTCCATGTCAAGGGTCGCAATCGCGGCGTTGTGTCCCGCGCGACGGATATCGAATAGGATGACGCGGTTATCGGTGGAAGCCGAAGCGAGGATGTGTGGACGATGGGGAGCCCAGGACACGGAGAGGACACCTGAGCTGTGACCAGGGAGACCATGCGTAGACAACCCGGAGCGGAGGTCGAGCAATCGAACCGGTTTTTCGGATGTTCCAACAGCGACGAGTAGAGGAGAACCGGGATGCGAGGACAATGAATGGGTGTAGGGGGTACAGTCGAGCTTAAATGTATGAACAGGGGTGATTGCTGCCGGTTCCAGCGCCGAGAGCTTCAGAGTTCCGTCGTGGGAGGTGGTGAGGATTGTAGACGGGGTGGGATCGAAGGGGTATATGGAGGCAGATGTAATGGCGTGCGTATGCGCGTCGTCGTGGGAGAACCTGGAGATAGAGGCAACGGGCTCGTGCGTGTAACTCAGCTCGGCGGCTCTCGTCTCCAAATCCCACAGGTGAATCGACGGGTCGGCACCACCAGAGACCATGAAGCGGCCTTCATAATGGTCTATGGCTAGCACGTTCGCGCCAGCTCTGTGTGCGAAAACCTCGTCGGGGCTGGTATCGCGTCCTTCGTCGTTCGCGGACTGGGAGTTGGTGCTGGAGAAGCGGATCCCGGGGGCGGGTTCAAGGGCGTGAAGCAGGCGGATTGACTGCGCGGAGTGGAATGTGGATGGCGGAATGGACCCGACGGCCCGATTGAGGAGATATGCATTCATTCATGGAGGCTGTCAGAGCAAGTTTGGACGTGACGATGAGGGGAGGAGGAAGCAGTAACAGGAAGACGAGGACGACGAGATGTGATTAGTCATCGTGTTGTATACAGGCGTTCTTCAGCGGGGATTCTCCGTCTTCATCTTCACCATGCCAGCCCCCAATCACCGTGTTCACATCTTGGGACTAGGCAGCATTGGCACTCTTGTTGCCCATTCACTGCTGTCTGGATCGAAACCACCGCCCATCACCCTGCTCGTCCACCGTTCGAGTCTTTATAATGAACTCTCCGGTGGGAAGCTGGGGCTGCGACTAGGAGACGACGGCGAACTGCAAGAGCGGGGAGGATTTGACACTGAGCTTCTTGGGTCGTCGTCATTTTCAGATCCAATTTACAATCTCATTATCACGGTCAAGGCACCCGCGACGGTGTCTGCACTCGAGCCCATCAAACATCGACTTGGGTCCCACTCGACTATTTGTTTTCTTCAGAATGGCCTTGGTCAGATTGAAAAGCTCAACGAGAGCCTTTTCCCAGATGCCTCTACGCGACCAGCTTATGTGTTTGGCATCATGCGCCTTGGAGTTTACCTAAAGTCTTCAACCGAAGCCATCCTTGCCAGTTCCAATGGCAGTATTTCCCTCGGCCTTGTAGGCAGCGAGCCCTCCTCGAGCTCTCAACACCGGGTCCTGTTGGGCATTCTCTTGAAATCGCCTGTCCTTGGGTGCGAAGAACTGCAATGGTCAGACCTGCTTCAGATGCAATTATTGAAGCTGGCCACGAACTGCATAATCAACCCATTGACGGCCATACTCGATGTCCGAAACGGACGCATCAACGAGAATGCGGACATCCAACCTCTGCGACGTCGCATTCTTGAAGAAGTTTCTGCTGTTTTTGAAAGTCTCCCTGAAGTCCAGAGCTTGCCAGCCGGTCGATCCTCCTTTTCCGCCGAGTCCCTCGAGGCTGTCGCGAGAGACACGACTGAGAAGACGGCGCAGAACTCAAGCAGTATGCGCGAGGATATTCGCAAAGGTCGGAGTACCGAGATCGAATATATAAACGGCTGGGTCGTTAAGCGTGGTAAAGAGCTGGGCATTGACTGCGTGGCTAATTCGTTGGTGACCCAGCTTGTACTCGCGAAGGGATCTGAGAAGATGCATCAATAGCTTGATTTCTTCTTTATGGTATATAGTATAAATAAGTCAACTATACCCGTGCGCTGGGGGCATCTACTTCTGTACATCGAATTTGTTCATGGCAACACGCCTTCAACATCCATTCAATCACTCTCAAACCCTGGATTGGTGTACAAAGCCCCTCCATCTCGCACTTGTCGCCGACTCGTCCACGTCGCACAAACTCCGACTAGATACGAATTCTGAATCGTCACTGGCTGAGACTCCTGCGCCTTTGACTGATTAGCATCGGCTCTACCTGCCCTTTTGAACTGCTGGTCTCGACAAATGGACAGCATATCGACACCCCGCCATAGCTCAGGCTCAACATACCATCTTCAGCTCCCAATTACGCCACCATGACTGATAAAATCCTGTCGATAGCTGACTTGGAAGAAGCAGCCTCACGTGTCCTACCCAGACAGGTAAAAGGTATATATTATCGACCAGGCAAATATCTAGTCATAAACTGAGATACCGCCGCTTGCTGTGTAGAATTCTTCAACGCCGGAGCCACAAACCAGGTAACCCTACACGACAACTCAGCCGCCTACCGTAAATACCGTCTGCTACCGCGCGTCCTGAAAGACGTATCAAACGTGAATACAAAAATTCACTTATTCGACAATGAAATTTCATTCCCACTCTGCGCCTCCCCAGCCGTTATTCAAGCCATGGCCCATCCAGACGGCGAACTAGCAACAAGCCGCGCCTGCGCGAAGATGGGCGTACACATGGGCGTTTCTTCATATGCGAATTACCCCGTCGAACAAATCACCAATGCCTCCAAGGAAGTACGGCCCATTAACCACGCCATGCAGTTATACATCATGAACGACAAAGCGAAGCAAGAGCGGATCGTGCGCCGCGCCGAAGCTGCCGGGTGCAAAGCGATCTTCCTCACGGCCGACAGCCCTGTCCTGGGGGTTCGGTATAACGAGTGGCGGAATGGGTTCAAACCCCCGCCTGGTCTGGGCTATCCGATGTACGAACGGTCGTCGGAGTGGATCCAGAGCCAATCGCATGACGATGGGTTTACGGCGTCGAACTCGGACTCGCATTCTTGGGCTGTGGATATACCCTGGCTGCGTAGGGTGAGTAATATGGAGATTTGGATTAAGGGGGTCCTCACGCCGGAGGATGTTGAAATGGCGATTGAGTATGGCTGTGACGGCGTCATTATCAGTAACCATGGCGGGAGACAGTTGGATGAGACTCCTGCGACCCTTGATGCTCTGCCTGCTTGTGCGAAGGCTGCGCGAGGGCGGATTAGGATCCATGTTGATGGAGGCATCCGGTCTGGATCGGATATATTCAAGGCGCTGGCACTGGGGGCTGAGTGCTGTTGGGTTGGGCGTCCGGTGCTCTGGGGACTTGCGGTATGTTTTATAATTCCAGCAATTGCAGCCCAAATTGACTAATATTTAACAGCACGATGGCCAAAAGGGGGTTGAACTGATGCTACAGATTCTGTTCGATGAGTTCAAGCGATGCATGCAACTGACGGGCTGTAAAACAATATCTGATATCGGCCCTGCCTCTCTGGCAGTCGTCCGGGCCGATGGGCCTTTAGCAAGACTGTAGCATCTGTACGGCATGACAAGGGGTAGACAGAATGGAGCAAGAAGTAGGGTACTCAGACTGTCGGACAATGACTGGCTCTTGCTAAGTGATGACCGTAAGCAAGGTGCATTACCGGTAGATTTATTTAAAGTGTGTTGCCCTAGCCATGGTTCTATTTGTTGCGGCAAAATATAGCTCGCACGCTATCCATATGCTACTTGAGGCCCAGGCCAATCATGTCAGCTAGTATATCCCAATATTTTCTTTCCCCTAGAATAATATCCACTATGTTTGGTACTTCCACAAATAATATCATTCAAGGACGGGTCATAACCGAGGAAACTTGGAGATCACCGCAGTTTAGCCGAGTGGACGCGGGGTCTGGAGTATATGAGAAACAAGACATCAGTATATACATATTCAGAGTCTTAGACTTCCAATTATTCAGAGGCCACACTATGTTAGTCTCTGCAGTGCTCGCAATCCTGCTAGGGCTGGCCCAGGCATCGTCACGGTGCAACATCAACCTACCAAGGAGAATACACGATGTCGAAATCCTATCTATAAGCGCTATCCAGGTGGAGGACTACACCACGAATGACCTCTCCAGCATTGCCCCAACAAATGTATCTGCTATAGATTTCTGCAATATCACATTGACCGTAACCCACCCGAACGAAGATGACTTGGTGATCATGTCCATCTGGCTCCCTCCAGTCGACAACTGGAACGGAAACTATCTCGCCACAGGCGGAGGCGGCCTCATCGCAGGGTATTTCGCATCTAGACAGGGTCCAGGCGTAGCCCTTGGCTATGCAACAGCCTCAACCGACGCCGGTCTAGCTCACGACACGGTGAATCGAACAGAAGGATCGTGGGGGCTTAAACCCGACGGCTCTGCACATACGGCCCTGCTCACCAATTTTGCCTATCGGTCGATCCATGATATGAATGTCCTTGGTAAGGCCATTATCCGGGAGTATTATGGGGTTAAACATCGTTATTCGTATTACCACGGCTGCTCTACTGGTGGGCGTCAGGGGTACCTGTCTGCCATGTACTATCCAGATGACTTTGATGGGATTCTGGCTATCTCTCCGGCTATCCATACACCTCAGACTTCTCCAGCGGACTTTTGGCCCTCAGTAGTTATGGGGAACTCTGTTGCTCCCCCGCAGTGTGTTTTCAATGCGTATGAAGCTGCCATTGTAAATGCCTGTGATCATCTCGACGGAGCTATGGATGGGCTGATATCTACATACGATCCAGACAAATGCAACTTCGACCCGACAACGCTTGTTGGAAAGTCCATAGACTGCAGCGACACAAACACAACAATAACAATCACTTCAGACCACGCAGAAGTCGTCCGTCAATGCCTGCAAGGCCCAGCAGACGAGAGCGGGAAAAGGCTATGGTATGGAATCCCACCAGGCGCCAGCTTCAGCGGGCTCGCAAACACAGCGATAGTCAACGACACCATCACGGCAAAGCCCTTCGAGGCCGCCGAGGCCTGGATGAAGTACTTCATCTTCCAGGATGCGAATTACCCTGCTGCCGACATGACATACCGAGATTTTACAGACGCATTTGCCCTCTCCGTTGAGAAATTCACGCCCCAGTTTGGAACGCTACATCCGGATCTCAAGGGATTCCGTAAGTCCGGTGCGAAGTTACTCACCTGGCATGGCCTTGCGGATGAATATATACCTCCCGCGGGAACGACACTGTTCTATGATGCTCTTTTGGAGGAAATGGGTGGAGTCGACGCGAGTGAGTTCTACCGCGTGTTTCTGGCGCCTGGGGCTGCGCACTGTAGCGGCGGGTATGGGCCGGTACCGACGAATCCATGGGGAGCTCTAGTATCCTGGGTTGAGAAGGGAGAGGCACCGGAGGTTCTGTTTGCGTCGACTGTGGATGAAAGTGGGAAGACTGTGTCGCGCAACCTGTGTCCGTATCCTTCGAAGCTGGTGTATCGGGGAGGAGATGTAAACAAGGCAAGCAGCTTTGCATGCGAAGCTTAAATATGGAGTCTTAGAAGTAAATGGAATAATCTTTGTGGCATAATACTAGAAATGTTAACATGGAGATGTGTTATAGCAGAATGAATACTGCCGTTGTATCAGCCAAAGCCTTAAGTCTCTTCATCACACCGACAATGCGACATAGCTTTCTCGCCAGGGCTGGATTGATCTAGAGCCCAATATGCTGCTATGCGCTTAGAACTATGGAAGAATTTTCAGGAGGAATACAACCCTGGTTTTCTCCGAGCGCATAGGCTGCTGTCGACGTGATGCGACTGTCTGGCTTCATGCGCCAAATAGCTTCAATCCCCTCAAGATGTAACACATACTCAGAAAATGGATATCCTCGATTGAGACTTTAAATGAAAGCTTCCTGCATCTCGCATCAACAGTCAACATCTGGTTGGAAGCATCACCCATTCCCAGCCTCATCTCCAGCGATATCAGCAACACACCACTCTATCAGAATGAATACCACAGACATTTCACACACTCCAATCGACCAGAATAAACCCTTCTCAACAGCAACACCACAACTACAGCCACCCCGACTCAAAGTCCCCCGAAACCCCAAAATCCTCGCTCCACGCCTCTCTCACTACCTACGAAAGTACAACCGCTACCCCAACGCCCCCAACGTCCACCCAAACCCAATCTCCTTCCCAACCGGCCAGCAAAAGGCCAACTGGGCCGCCTCCCTCCCCGACATAACCCACCGAGATACATACCCCGTCTGGTGGCGGCGCCCCAAACACAACAAGACATGCTGGCTGGGATTCTTCAGCACCTGGACAGCGTCGTGGGTAGGCGATTCACAGTGGGACACGCGCCCCTGGCACGCCTGGGCCGTCGCTGTGCTGAAACTACGGAATGAGCTGGGGAAATGTATTATCATCTATGACTGCGATCCGAGGATTCCTTGTGGGTATGGCCATAAACATACCAAATATACCAAGCGGAGCCGTGTGATCTCAGTGCGTCCGCGCCGGTTTCTCCTGCCCGTGCAGACGAAGCTGATTGAATACTTGCGGAGGAGGGAGAATGTGCCGATAAAAGCGGTGTTCTATAGCACTGATACCCGGAGGGCTGGCGAGAATCGGTGTGTTTATTATACGATGAAGTGGGTAAGGAAGGTGGTGAGGTTTGGGGATGTGCCGTTTATGGGGTTTGATGGGGACGGGCGGTCGTTGGATCCGAGGACGAAGAGGTGTGCCCTGCTTGATCGTTTGTGATAGTCGTCCATTTGGGTATTGTGACACGAAACTGGGTTGTTTGACTGGTTGAAGGGCATGGATATTGGTGTGGGCTGGACTGAACGTTCCGATATATGAGTTTTATATCCGACTGCATTTACTGTACAGTTTAATCATTTATTCAATGTATAGCGCACATAAGCAACATATATCTAAGCTAATATCAAACCACCTGCTCCAGGATCTCCAACACCTGTGCCTTCTCATTCAACGGAACCGGGTTCGTCCGACACCAGCGGTCATGCAACGAGTTCTGCGCCAGCCCATCCAGCTGGTCCCGTCCGACACCAACCTCACCAAGCGATCGCGGCATGCCGAGCTCTCGGAAAAGCGCATCCAGCACATCGCCAAGGTCGGCGGTTTCCTTGTTCAGCCCGCGAGATTCAGACACTTTCTCGAGTATCGGCTGCTTGAGCAGGAAGTCGCGCAACCGTGATTGGCGCTCATTGTTGGCGTTGTATTTTGCGTTGTATTTGCATACGGCTGGGAGGAGGATGCAGCTTGTCTCACCGTGGCCAACGCCGAGGGGGCCGAGCTGGAGGTCGTTAATCCCCTCGAACACCAATAATAACAAAAAAAAAGGGGGGGCATACCTGATGTCCGATGCCGTGACTAGCACCGAGTTGAACCCTCCCGCTGGTACATGCCGCCATGGCATCAACAGACCCGAGCTGACAAGTCAGTCGCGCGTCGAGGTCTTCCCCCTTCGGGTCATGGCGTGACCTCACGAGCCCCGGGACCAATTTCGCGAGTGCCTTCAGCGCCAACGAATCGGTATCGTCGGTCGTGCCTACAGTGGCACAGTAAGTTTCAACGCAGTGGTCCACGGCGCGCACGCCGGTGCTGAGCCAGATGGATTCCGGAGTTGTGGATGCAACGAGCTGTGGGTCGAGCACGATCAACTGCGGCCCGCGAAGCGGCGCCTGGAAGGAGTGTTTGCGGCGGGTATGGTCATTAGTAGCGCCGGCGAAGTTCGAGTACTCTCCTGCTGAAAGAGTCGTCGGCACCGAAACGATGGGAACAGACGAGGGGGCGGGGTCGTTTGTAGGACGTTCCTGGTTAGGTCCCATGCAGAGGGTTTCCAGATCCTCGAATGTTTTCGCGTCATTTGCGAGAGCCTGCTAGTGTCAGTGCTGGCTTCAAGATATATGCGCGATGTTCATACAAATGAAACCACCTTCGCCCCGTCCGTCAGTGTCCCGCCGCCGAGTGTAAGTATAAGGTCGGCTGAACATTGTCGCGCATCTTCAGTGATCTCGAGGACTTCCGACCATAGAGTATGGCTCTTCATGCCAATCCGCCGGCCGACGATCGAGATCTTGAGTTTGTCGAAGGCCTGGGCCAGTTGATCAAGTGAATCGGTATTCTTGGCCAAGGATCCGGAGCTGATGACATAGACGCGCTGGGCGTGGAAAGTGTTGACAGCATGGCGAGCAACGGCTTCGGGGAAAGGGACGCCGTACGAGAGGAGAGGACGAGGACGGTCGACGAAGGCAGGGCGAAAAGTCTCCATGGTTATTGAGGATAGAACCACTGGAAAGTGATCTTAGATCGCTGCGCGAGGGATGTTGAGTGACTTCATCTTATATGCGGATGTGGAGATGTGGGGCTGGTGGAGAGCCGCATGAAATCATCCAAGCATACTGGAACTGACGATGTAAAAGTCGATTAGTTATCATTCACGTTATTGGATCTGGGATACTGTTTATACCGACATCGTGGTGTTGTGTGTTGCGGTGCTGCGATGCTGGTGGTTACGACTCCATCTCAATGCGGGGTTGACATGAACAAATCCGCAATGGGTCTGATTGCGTCTGATTGAGCCTGACGAGGTCTTATTGAGTCTGATAACGGCGCTGCATTCCGCTGATTCCACTGATTCTGAAATCTCGAGTGCTTTCTTCCTCACCTGTTTGACAATTGTTGGAGAGTGGAAAAGAAAAAGCGAGAGAGTAAATATTTACCCGCCACCTGACCCCGCATCACGTACAACACCCTCGATAAAACCAATTCCTCTTCATCAATTATTTCATGAACCTCAAATCTACATTCAGAAGTGTCCCTCTACCTAGATTCCTATCTACCACCCGCCCATCCACCATGCGCCTCCCCTACGCCCCCTCCGAGCCGGCCACCCCAGACGCCGAGACTGCCGACATCTACGCCCGCATTGCCGCCCGCCGCGCCCCGCGCCCACTCATCCCCCTCGATCTATCCCTGCTGCACTCCCCGCCCGTTGCTGACGGCTGGAACAGCTTTGTCGGCGCCATCCGCTCAAAGACCACCGTTGACCAGGGTCTTCTCGAGCTCGCTGTCTCTCGGGTGGCCGTGATAACCGGCGCCATCTACGAGTGGAACGCCCATGCCCCGCTTGCGCTGAAGGGCGGAATCCAGCCCGCGGAACTACAGGCCGTGCGCGTGCTGCCGTCTACAGCGCAGGGCGATGTTGCTGCGGCTGTGGAGGAGCTGGCTAAGAGTGCGTTGACGGCGCAGCAGAAGGCGGTTGTTCGATATGCGGATGAGATGACGCAGACCGTCAAGGTGCAGGATGAGACCTTTGCGCAGCTGCAGAAGGAGGGGTTCTCGGACCGTGAAATTGTGGAGTTGACTACGGGGATTGCCTGCTACAACTGTGTGAGTCGGGTGCTGGTTGCGCTGGATGTTGGGGAAAACAATGGGCGTGAAATGAAAAGTGTTGATGAGTTGGTGGAGGGTTTGAAGTGATGTTTGGATTTGATTTTAAATTCCTGTAAATATCCCAATAAATAGAATTCCAAACACTAAACTACAATAACCAAAACGCCACCCTAGATTAGCTCAATGGGCCTAATGCAGCGTGATCGACTTCGCCTTGGGAGCTCCGCCGCATTCATAAGTCGCCAACAGCGTCTTGTCATCCATGGCCATAATCCCAGGCCAGTGGCTCAGATGGGGACAGATGACCTCGGGACGCGACCACTGGATCTTGCCATTGCTGGGCGGGCTCCCATAGACAACCTTGATGGCTGCATTCTTGGTCCACTGCACCTGATGATGGTCTTCATCGTTCATGAAGATGACCGCCAATGAGCCATCGCCAAACGAGGCAACCTGCGGCGACCCAGCATTATGACCACGCCGTGGCACATAGACGCGGTGCCGATTACCCCATGTGTGACCGTCATCGTACGAGATGAGGGCCTCAAGGTCAAAGGGACCGAACGTCGTCGTCTCAAACACCATAACAAGAGCCTCGCGCCCGTTATCCCAGGTCTTTGCAATCCCATTCATACCGTCTCGGAAGGGGTCCTTCTCCCCCTCCAGACACTGCGGCGGACTCCAGGTCGCACCGCCGTCGTTCGAGCGCACCAGCATCGTGCACTGGTTGTTATGCGCAAACTCTTGGGAGTACGTCAACATGACCTCCCCGCGGTGCGACATGCGCATGAACGGCTCCCAAATTCCCAAGGGGGGTCTCTTCTCCGCAGCCTGCGAAAGGAAACGCCAGTGCTTCCCGCCGTCCGTGGACTGGCAGACCGTGATGCGAAAATGCGTGGGGCCGTGGGGACCGAGGTCGTGGTTTCGGAAGGCTGCCAGGACGGTCATGGGGGCAACCTCGAGGAGGTACATGTTGTCGACGTCGCCATCGCCGCGACTCACCTCGGAGAAGTCGTCGAAGCGGTAGCCGCCGTCGGTGCTGCGGGCAATTTGCAGAACCCGGGTCCTGCCTTCGAAGCGCGTGAAGCCAGAGAGGATGCTGCCGTCGGACAGCTTTGCCAGTCGAGGGTACGTCCCACGAGGGTGCGAGCCCAGCAGGCGTTCATCCTCGTTGATCCTGCGCTGGCCCTGGAGGGGCGGGCCTTCAGAGGGAGGGGGCCCAGGGCCGTGGCCGGCGTGGTTACCGAGTTTGTTGAGTATCTTCTGTCCGATGTGATGCATGTTGAAATTTTTAGGTATTGCTGGGAAGAGAGAGGGGAAGAGAGAAGCTGGAGAGAGCTGCTGCCTGTTGTTTCGCTTGTTTCGCTTACGCATTCCGGATGATGTCATCACCTTCACCTCCAGCTTCAACACCGTCAACTACATCAATCGACGTATTCACTAAATACGTCAGTTGAGTTCCTTGCAGATGCGGGTTACGCGGCAATTGCCATTAACTGTGAATATGCTACTGGCAGCTGGGAGTTCACTGTTGTGCTTGAGGCTGCTCACGCGAGCTTCCTACACTGCTGCTATACAACTTCACCTAGCGAACAGTGCAAGTAACAGGAATACAGGATTCCAGCCGGGGATAAATTAAATTCGAGGTTGAATTAATTCGTTCTGGCTGTCTCGCCTCAGTTATCGTGGCCGACGTTGGTCTCTATCTGCTATATATCATATATATCATATAGGCTACCACTCGCGAATCCCCCCATCAGGACCATAGAACTCCTTGCACTGCCATGGCACTGTTTCTGCAGAAATCTTCCTTACCAGGTCCTCGTCAATCTCGATGCCCAGTCCCACCCCCGTTGGTGCCTTGACATACCCCTCTTCAATATTAAAAACACTCTGGTCCTTCAGGTAGGTAAGCAGATCGATATCGCCGGCCTCCGTATTATAATGCATCCCCAAGCTCATCTCAAGGATGGCAAAGTTCGCCGTCGACAGTGCAACATGCAACGACGCCGCAAACGCCACGGGTCCCAACGGGCAATGCGGCGCAATTGCCACATCGTAGGCCTCGGCGATATTCGCGATGCGCTTCGTCTCTGATATCCCACCAGCATGTGCGATATCCGGCTGCAGGATATCCACTGACGCATCCTCCAAGAACCGCTTCACGTCCCAGCGCGTGTACAGCCGCTCCCCAAACGCAATCGGGACGCTGGTCTGGTCTGACAGCTGCTTGATGGCTTCGGGGTGCTCGCACAGCAGCGGTTCCTCGATGAAAAGCGGCTTGTGTGGCTCAAGGGCTTTGGCTAGTTGTTTGGCCATAGGTTTGTGTAGGCGGCCGTGGAAGTCGAGTCCAGCGTCCAGTCCGAGTGCTTTGACTGTTTTGAGTCGCTCCACGGTGGCATCGAGGATCTGGGGGGAGTCGACCCAGTTTACGTCCTCGGTTGCGTTCATCTTGATGCACTTGAGCCCTTGTGCGATGCGCGCTTTACTAGAACGTAGTCAGCGCCTATTTCGTGTATTCGACTGTGGAAACTTACGCAGCCACTTCGATGTCACTCGGTCTGTCTCCTCCAATCCAAGCGTACACTTGGACTTTCTGGCGAACTTGACCCCCGAGGAGCTCGTAGACTGGGACTCCCAACGTGCGGCCTAGCTGTGTCAGTACCTATGACGAGGGTAAATATAATCCTAAACGCACCCTTTAGATCCCATAGCGCAATATCAATTCCAGAAAGAGCCGACATGAAGACAGGCCCGCCGCGGTAAAAGCCATGTCTCCAGAAGAATTGCCAGATGTGTTCAATGTTGCTGGGACCGGTTAACAACTGCGACTAACAATAACAGCTGGATTGTACTGACTTGGCTTCCATCCCCTTCAGTCGAACAATCATCTCGTCTAGTGCACCCTCGACAGCCAAGTCGTGGCCTTCCAAGGTAGCCTCACCCCAGCCATAACCGCCTGCCTCGTCGGTGATCTTGACCATCAGCCATCGCGGCTTGACGCGGAAGTACTCAACGGACTTGATTTTGGCCATGGTGAGAGGATGCTGGATAGACGTTCAATCCAGCCTGGCAGCTACGTATTTGAGTCGAAGCTGAGAGCAGGGATCTGCAGTAGTGTGGGGGTATCGAAATCGAACTTGGCGTGGGATCTGGGGAGTTTACCCCAAATTTGGCTGCTTGAGAATGAGATCAGGCCATGCAACGGCCTGACTCTGGTACAACCAGGCTCTGGATCTGGGGATGTGGAGAGAGCCTCCAGGAAGCCCCCACGCTGCGTGGGATTGAACGTTCTCGATTGATGGCATACATCACTGCTCCATGGCTATACAGATCCATACAAGTTTCACCGGAGATAGTCCGACTGCAGTATCATTCCTCGGTTGAGGCCACTATCACCTCCCCATCCACCCCCCGTCAACCGTCAAAATCTCGCCAGATACATACAAACTGGCCTTGCTAGCTAGGAAGATCGTAGCACCCTTAAAATCCTCCGGGCTACCCCATCTCGCCGCCGGAATCCTGGCCAGAATACTCGCTGCACGCTCCTTGTCCTTCAACAGCGCCTCATTCATATCTGTAGCAACATAACCCGGCGCCATCGCATTCACATTCACACCCTTGGATGCCCACTCGTTGGATAGGGCCTTGGTCAACTGTGCGACTCCGCCTTTAGCCGCTGCGTACGCGGGCACAGTCAGCCCACCCTGGAAAGACACCAGGCTCGCAACGTTGATAATGCTTCCCCTGTGGCCGCTCGCGTCAGGCGTCCGGGTGAGCATGTGCGCGCCGACATCCCGGCAGAGCGTGAAGACCGTAGACAGATTAACCTGCAGCACCTGCTCAGAGTTAGTATGAACCCGTGCAGGGTTTCAGTAATGGCTCACCTCGTCCCAGTCATTCTTGGGGAATACATGGCTCGGATGCCGTCTCTGGATACCAGCACAAGTCACCAGAATGCTAGGATCATGACTGTCCTTGAGGATTCTAGCGGTCAGCCCCGAGACGTCCTGGTCTGATGCTAGATCGCAGGTGTAGATCCAGGCCTTTTTTCCTAGGCCTTCGATTGTCTGCTTCGTAGCGGTGTTGCTTTCATCGCGCTGTATGCGTCAGTATCCACAGATTCAGAGCTGTTGAAGCTGCTTACCTGAATCAGTATAATATCGGCCCCTGCCTCTGCCAGAGCAATCGCCATGTCTGCCCCGATGCCCCGGGTGCCGCCCGTTACCACCGCTGTCCGTCCCTCCAGGGAGAAGTATCTTTCCAGAGCCTTGCTAGCCATCTTGTATCTTGTTCTGGTGCGGCTTCGTTCAGATGTGTGGATGCTATATCAAGTTATGCTGCTGTTAATATAACCCCACCTCAACTCCGCCAACGAGTCAGCCCCTGCAGCGCGGAGAGAAGACCGTCCAGCGATATCACCCCCACGACACACGGGGTGTAAAGCTGACCCCCACGCTCTCCAGGTCTATCAAACATGAGTCTATTTACCCCAGAAAGTATGAGGTATAGACCTCCGCAATCCCCGCAATCTATGGTATCAACCCGCTCTGTTCATGCCCTATATTTTATATCCTGTTCGTCTCTGCTTTAGCCTTGTCAACAGCACGACTGAACAGTAAAATGGCCGACAAAGACCATCCCCGAACATCATTCACCGAAGATGTCGATGAAAGGCAGCTGTCCAAGGGGGTTGCAGGGCCACCCCTAAAACCAGCCTCTCTGGCAGCACTTCCCGAAGACGAATGCGCAAGAATTGGCCGGAGAGCAACGCTGAAGCTGGATGTGATTATCATGCCGTGCATGGTTATTATGTACATTTTCAATTATCTCGACCGACAGAACATTGCCGCTGCCAAACTCGCGGGCATTGAAGAGGACCTCCATATCTCGGACGTGGAATACCAGACCTGCGTCAGTATTCTGTTTGTTGGATACAGTAAGTTTAGATCACCCTGATCTGTCCTCACTGCTAATGCTCTGGAAGTCTTAATGCAGGTTCCCTCGAATATGATCGTGGGCAAGATCCGATGGCCTGGTATATACATCTGCGTTTCAATGGCCATCTGGGGCCTCCTCTCAGCCCTCACCGCAATAACCCATAACGCTGCTGGTCTTATGGCCTCTCGCTTCTTTCTCGGCTTCATAGAGGCAGTCTTCTTCCCTGGAGCCTTGTTTTACCTGTCTCTGTTCTACACGCGAAAGCAGTTTGCCCTGCGAACGGCAGTCCTTTATTCAGGCTCGCAGCTTGGAAATGCATTCGGTGGCCTTTTCGCTATCGGTATCTTGGAGCTGGATGGGAAAAACGGCATTGCAGGCTGGCGATGGGTGAGTACCTTCGTTATCCTCTGAAATGCATCCCTAACAGATTCCCTTTTCTAGCTCTTCCTGATCGAAGGCGTGCTTACTATCGGCTTGGCTATTATAATCGCCTTCATCCTCCCCAACAAACTAACAAAGCTGAAAGGATTCACTGCAGCAGAGCAGGACTGGCTCGTGTGGAACTTCGAGGCAGACCAAGGACAGCAGGACAACGCAGACGAGATCAGCGCGAAGAAGGGTGTGTGGATGGCCGTGGTAGACCCAAAGACGTGGCTTCTCATGGCGACGCTATACTCTGTATGTCTCCAACTTTCCTTCCCAGTTTCTTGCGAAGATAGATACTGACAGTCGCAGATTTACATTGCAGGGGCCGTCAGCAACTTCTTCCCTTCCGTGGTTGCTACGCTGGGATACGGCCGTAACGAGACCTACGCCCTGACTGCGGTATATACTGTCTGCATCTTCTATAATTATCTGCTTGCTAACTTCCACCAGCCGCCGTATGTCCTCTGCGTGATCGTTATGATAATCAACGGATTCCATTCAGACAGAGTACGCACTGAAACACACCATTCCCCTTCTTATCAAATGTTAATAATCATATCTCCAGAAACAAGAACGATACTGGCATATCGTATGTCCAATGTTCATGTGCCTGGCCGCGAATGTCATCGCCGTTGCTACCCTGAACACAGCCGCACGATGTAAGTCGTCGCCAGCAGTCGAGTGCACAACCACACTAACCACTAGTACCTCTATAGACGTCGCAATGATGTTAATGCCAGCTTCCTTCTACGGGGCCGCTATCGTCGTTCTATCCTGGATAACTGCCTCGTTATCCCAGCCCAGCGTCAAGCGGGCGTCTGCAATCGCCTTGATCAATGCAATCACCAACACCCCAAACGGTACGTCCAGGTCTCCTTTCTACTCCCGGGCCAGAACAATAATGCTAATACTCGATTGTAGTATGGTGCTCGTATCTATATGGCGCCCCGCCCCGGTACTTAGCTGCCTTTGTAGTGAATCTGGCTGCATCGGCCATGGCTATTGCTGCGGCCACAGCAACCAGGGTCTATCTTAGGCGGCAAAACCAGAAGCTGGATAGTGGGATTGATATTGGGCGCAATGGACCGACAGCTGCTCAGAGGGCTGCTGGGTTTAGGTATACTTTGTGAGCGGTGGAACTGTTTGGTCTTATGTTAGGTGATTCTTGGTGTAATTATCCTGGTGATATACAAAGGTATACTACGTATACTACGTACGCAGAGCGTATAAAAGTAAACAGAGATGTCTCATCATGTGTAAAAAGGTGTCTTTCGAGATAACATCAGAGGGTCATATGAATCATATGTGTGCCATTCCAAAGTAACTCATCACTGCCCACCCAAGCCCTAACACAACTCCAACTTAAACCAAACAAAAAAGAAAAAGAAGAAATCGGTAGAAATACATACAAAGAAAAGAAACAAACTACATAATAAACCCCTCCGCCAACTCCTTCAACGCCCTAGCCCAATTCCCCTCCTCGCCATCCCTCCCCTTGCCATTCCAAATAACCTCTAACAACCGAATCGCATACAACGTATTCCCAAACCCCGTCGTCTCCCATAACCTCCTCAACTGCATCGTAACAAACTCCCGATCCGCAACCTCCTCGCACTCCGCGCCGGCAATGAAGAACGGCCATATCAGGATATGTCCTCCTGGGGAGGACGCATTGAATGAAGCCGTTGCGGCAAGGAACTGCCGCAAAAGGCGCGCGTTTGCTTCCCTAGGCAGGTTTGCGGCGCGGGCCTGGTAGATCTGTGCGGCGTTGTGGATTATAGAGGCGAGTTTGAGAATGGAGGGGGAGAGTTCGGGGTGGATGTCGAGGTAGGTGAGGAGGAAGTCGAGGTCTGGTTTTGATGAGTTACAGCGGTCAATAGCATTATCTATATCTTCTTTGATGCTGTTGTTTTCGTTGTCTATGTGGGCTTTGGGTCTTGTGCCTCTGGGTATGTTCATTGCAGCAGTGGTGAATGGCCCTGCATACAGGGAAATCTTCCGGATCTGTTGCATAAGAAAGCGGCTTAAAGAGGTGGGTTTAGTTGTCTCTAATGTCTCAGGCCCGCCCTGCATTTCAACAAAGCTGCGGATCATGCGCAGGAGGATAGGAAAGTCAGTGCGGACCGCGATCATCTCCTCTATGAGGAGGATGACCATTGTGGCGAGGCTGGGGTGCGCGGAGGACGGGGTTGTGTGCTGGTTCAGCCCGTGGATGGCGGCCATGCGGTACTTGCATGCTGCTGCTGACCACTCCTTGTGGTGTAGGGAGAGATGTGAGGCGGAGGTGGCCATGATGGCGTTGCGGACGGTTTCGTCTTGTTCTGTCATGGGGAGGATGAGGTCGCGATAGCCGTTGAAGATGAGGTTAAAGGGCCCCATTGCGGGTGCGACTCTTGTTGAGACTGTCTTGTTAGCGCAGACAACAGTTATTGGGTAGATAGACTTACAGTAGTTGAGGAGAAAGCGAGATTGGCTGTCGACATGGTCGAGGGCACTGAGGTGGTGCAGGCCAGTATCTGGTATATTGCTGCCATAGCTGCCATATCCTGGTCTGCCAGAGTCTGGACTAGCCCTATACAGAGATTAGCAACATCCTCAATAGATAGCATGTCGTCGTACGCTATATCGCCTCCTGCATCCTTCACAGGGACTGGCCTCCCCGCCAATCTCCCTCTCGACGCAACGCCGTCGTTGAACCGGTACCGGATTCCTAAACCAGAGCATTGTAATCCCTTTTTTATACACTTCTGGCAAGGCTCGCCCCGGTCGCAGTTAATACGGCGCTGAGAGCAGTTGTAGCAGCCTGTGGATCACTATCAGTAAGGCCAGACCAAGAATCCATTACCCACCCTTTACTCTTCTTGGCTTTTTCTTCGGCGGTGGATTACCACTCATTCTGATTAAAGGATTAACAGGTGACTACAGGGTGATTTACAAAGTGGCAGCAGATGAGATTGATATCAAGATATGCAGCAGTTGGAGACTCGTCCCCGCAGAAGCTCCAGTGGTCCACGCTATTCCAGATCAGTGCAATAAAATGAGCACTGCTGTGTCTACTATATATGATTGGTCAGATAAGCCTTTGCAGACTCGCCCCAGACTGCTGCCCGTTTGTAGAAGTGGAATCCCGGTGCGTTGCCCTGTCGCAGCCCGTCAATCGCCTCTGCCAGCGTCTCTCCCAGTCCTTCGTCTTTGATCTCGTCCAGGCTGTACTGCAGCGTCTTGAAAGAGAATACCAGTGCTTGACTCTGGGGTAGTCGATGCAGATACTGTCTCTCCACTCGCACTCTGGCCTATAACAACTATTAGCCTCTCTCGGTACTCTAGGTTTGCAACATACAATATCCGGATTGACTGTTTCCTGGGGAATCTCCTCGCCTTCATACAGATGGTTTCCGCTGGGCGTGAAGAGCTCGCCTGTAGTTGTTATTGTCCACTAACCAGTTAGTATTATATTCAGCATAACCAGTCAAGGTCTTACATTCGCCCGCATAATAAACTTCCCAACAGGAAGTCGCAAAAAATATCTATCCATGCTCTTCTCAAGCTTCTCCTTGTACTCCGGCACAGGCTTATGGATATCCCTCAGCTTGAGATTCAGCTTCTGCGACGTGTTGAACCCGTTCGGAAAGCAAGTCACCAGTCCATGCAGTGTATAGCTGTCTCCATCATCCGACGGCAGCAGGAAGAGAAGGTCGTCCTCAACCAGCCCTCCCAATGTCCGGAGGGTATCCAGGGGTTTATCACGGCCTGGAGAGACAGGGACTCGCTCGCCGTTGACGAGGTTTTCCAGGAACGCCGGCTTCGTCTTCTCAGTCTCTGGACGTAATTGGAACATGCTCGGATACCGCGTTGGGAGGTACGTCCCGACCAGCCAAGTGTAGAATTCGTCCAGGGCTGGCTTGACACAGTCTGCAGCTGCGAGTACTGTATCTGGGTATTCCGCTATGATCTTCTTGCGGAGGTTGATGCGGTTGAGGTAGTTCTTGTCTATCTCGATCAGCTCGCTGACGGTTCCTTCTTGGATGCCTGGACTCTGTTAATTTGGGTGGTTTCTCTTTGTGATTTCCAGTTTGTACTCATGGTGAGGTTATATTTTGGCTTGAATGGGCGCAGTTTGATCGGTTCTTTTGTCTTCCAGTTGAAATCTGGCAGCGGCTCGATGGGTGGATAGGGACTGGAACTTGCTGTCGCATTAACGTATAGATATTTGGTGTATCGTCGTGTGAATAAGGTAAAGACAGAGAGTAAACAGATGGAAATGACCATGCAGAAGAGCGTAGACCACTCAGGCCAGCGCGCAGAAGTGTCAAACATGGTGGCAGTACGGTATGAGCTGCCTTCACAATCTATAGAGAAGTTCAGTCTACTTATAGCACATCAGCCACCTATGAGTGTATATGGACTTGTTGGAGTCACTCCGCTCCAAGTGCTCATTCCACCTCCCTAATCGGGACATCTCAACCTCGTTATTGTGGGGTAGGGCGTGTTCGTTGAATCTGGATCTTTATACTATATTAGGGATACAGAGTGAGAGGGAATATTGTATCCCTTACCCCTCATAATTAATATGGCTAAACGGAAGAGTAGGTCCCTGGTGCATGACAAGGGATGGCTATGGATAGAGGCTCGGTAGTTAAATAGGGCTTCCCGGTCAGGGTGAGAGGTGTAGCAATCTACAGTACTGGGTCCAATATGAATAGCAAAGCTATTGAGCACCTACTCCCCCTGCCAGTCATGCATAGCTGGGAGAGTTGTTTCTCTGCTTATGTATAACCCATTCTGGCCAGCGATTAATTTCCTTGAAGTGGTTCTCTGTGTAACCTGAGATGGCATTTCGTGCACGGAATCGGCTTGATGGACCTCCTTGCAGACGGCGGGGCATAAGTAACTTCCCCGTTCCCAGCTCTGTTTCGATATCACGAAGCAAGAGACGCAGAATGGCGACTTCTCGTGCTGAAGATGAGTATGCAGCCTTACACCACAATCAACAAGCCGCGCTTTTGAACGAAGCATGTCAGGCCACCCGCCGCGAACATGAACTCACCCTACTTCCATCTCTCAAGCTGTATCCAAAGGCCGTTGCATGGTCCATGTTCTTCTCGTTGGCAATTATCATGGAAGGGTATGACCTAAAGCTCATGGGGTCCCTCTTCGCTCAGCCCGCATTCCGGCAGAGATACGGACAGCAGCTTACAGATACTACATATCAAATTCCTGCATCCTGGCAGGCAGGACTCTCCAACGGTGCTTCAGCCGGATCGATCTTGGGCCTGCTTCTGAATGGTTACGCATCTGAGAGGTTTGGATTCCGCCGCACGATGCAGGCCTCCCTGGCATTCATCACAGCCACTATCTTCATTCCGTTCTTTGCACCAAGTCTCCAGGTCCTACAGATTGGCCAGGTGCTTATGGGCATCCCCTGGGGGGTCTTCCAGACGTTGACCACCTCATATGCTGCTGAAGTGACCCCGACCCATCTCCGCGCCTATCTCACCACCTACGTCAACCTGTGCTGGGTATACCACCAGCAGTCCCTATATTTAAAAGCGCACGCAGCTGACGATATGCATTCTGCCAGGTATTTGGACAACTCCTCGCCTCGGGGGTTCTACGGGCTGTCCTTTCTCGAACTGACGAGTGGTCATATCGCATCCCTTTTGCCCTCCAGTGGCTCTGGCCTGTTCCTCTCATGATCGGGATGGTCTTCGCGCCTGAATCACCCTGGTGGCTCGTGCGAAAGGGCCGATTGGAAGAAGCCAAATCATCCCTTCTACGTCTCACATCTCCCAGCCGAGCAGCATTTGACGCCAACCAGGCCATCGCACTAATGGTAGTGACGACGGAGAATGAGCGACAATCCGGGACAGGAACGAGTTACCAGCACTGCTTCCAAGGGATAGACCGCCGTCGCACATCGATCGCCTGCTGCTGCTGGGGTATCCAGATCCTATCAGGAACAGGCCTCCGCGTCTACTCGACGTACTTCTACGAGCAAGCCGGGCTGCCCACGGAACAGGCCTTCAACATGTCCATAGTCCAATATGCACTTGGCATCATCGGCGTATTCGTGGCCTGGGCTGCTCTCCCGCGGTTTGGCCGACGCACCCTCTACCTCTACGGCCTGGCCATCTTGGGTGTGATCCTGCTATTCATCGGCAGTCTGGGTGTCGCCAGGGCTGCTGTTCTTCCCAGTACCACGGGGGGCAACCACGTATCCGTATCTATATCCTGGGCAATCGGCTCAATGCTGCTAGCACACACATTCATCTACGACGTCACAATCGGCCCGGTATGCTATGCCCTCGTGGCAGAGATCCCTTCGGTGCATCTCCGTTCGAAATCAATCGTGCTTGCCCGGATGACTTATAACATCTTGAACATCGTCAGTAACGGCATTACGCCGTATATGCTGAATCCGTCGGCGTGGAACTGGGGCGCTAGGGCGGGCTATTTCTATGGTGGGACGTGCGTCTTGTCTCTTATATATACCTATTTCTGTGTTCCTGAGCCTGGTGGGCGTACGTATGCTGAGCTGGGTATCTTGTTTCAGAAAAGGACGTCTGCGCGGCGTTTTGCTAGGACTTCTGTTGGGCTTCCGGCTGTGAGGGAGGTGGATGTAGACAACCATAAGGATACGTGAACTGCCGGCAGAAAAGGCTGGAGCAATATATTGATATATCTAGGAGCATTTCAAAGATGAAACCGGCTTTATGTCTACCTAAAGTGAGGAATCAAGAAGAAGTTGCTGTAAAATAGAACTGTGTGTACTCTAATCACCGTATAAGACCCAAAGCTGGCCAACTTTTGCGAATAGTCTAGATTCCAAACAGACTTAGATACCACAATATCAATCGTTGTGAACAACTCCTCCTCCAAAGGTTATGCAAGATATGGATGGTCGCTATATGGTCTGTCTGATGTTGCTGCTCCTGGTAAAAAGAAGTTTAACAGTATCATGTCCACTCATTTATAAGCCTTGTCCCTGTTCACGGCCAGGAAGGATAGAGACCACAGCTGCCTAATATTGGATTCTAGTATAGTCAGCACGAGCATCCAAGAAAGCGAAGACAGTAAAAGCGGAGGATTAATAGGAAAAAATACCAGTTTGACTCCCAACACCCGGAGGAGGCGGTATCACACCCAAAGGCGTAGCATGGAATTCCCCCTCCCTGTAAACCCAAGACCAGACCTCCTGTGAAAGCTGCGCGGTGTTTTTCTCAATCGTATCCCAAAGCGTGTTGTACGCCGTCTTGACATTACCATACACCGAGGCATTGCCACAGAACGCGGGAGCTGGAGCTGTTGACTTAGAGACACCTTCGCATCGTCCTAGCTGCTTTTCTAGACCCTTGGCCATCATGGCGAGCTGCCACCCCCAGACTACGGTTCCGTGGTAGGCGCCTGTTGTGAAGTTCTGCGCGTACACGGGGTTATCGCCAAAGGCCGGGTTCGCGACGACCATGCCGGCAGAGGTCATGAGGCCAGCCGGGAAAGTGCGGCGGATGTTTGTGGCGGAGTTGTTGAGGAAAGGGGTTAGTTGGGCGTCGTTGGTGGTGTTGAGAAGAAAGTGGCGGAAGCAGTCGTCAGTGTTCATGACTTCGACCTTGGTGAGATTGTCGTGGGCGTCGAGAGAAAGGGCGTGGAAGACAACGTCGGCGTCGATTGTATTGGCCTGGTCTGGGCCGGCGAACGAGGAGGCATTCTTGTATGATGCTACCATGGATTTTGCTTGATCCTGGGGAATCGTCACCTCGAAGAAAGATAGGGTCTTGTCTTCCCATGTTTGCGCGTATGTATTTGCCTGCTTGGCCCAATTCTGGTGTTTGGGGAAAAGACCTTGTCTAGACAGGGCTGCAATGGACCGTAAAGCAGCAGGTACAAGAGCCGTGTTCACGTCGTAAGGAATACGTCCTCCCCCGAGGCCTGTTGAGAATTAGTCTGTTTTTCAGGCAGAGACTAAGAGGTGGCTTACCGTATGTGCTATCTCTCCATTCTCCGACAACCTGTCCCTCTTTGAGATGAATCAAATTATCCTTGGTCTGGTTATGATGGAACGGACCAGCCAGACGCATGATCCTCTCTGCATTTGTCAGGGCCAGTTCGCCCCAGGTCAAGCCCTTATTTGCGGCGTTGATAGAGCCGGCAGAGGTGCTAGTTCATCAGTTTACAGTTAGACAGTTAATATTTTAATAATTGCGCTTACTTGAGGAATGCGGCAGTTTGATGTTGTCCAGCGGGATTGTGCAGAAGATATCGCTCCATCAAGATGGGGAGGAAGTAGTCCGAGTCGACCTTGCAGCACGGTCAGTATAGATCATATTTGACCGGCTATTGTTCATACCATATTGTAATCACAAACCATAGCGTTGCTAGTTATGTTGTCCTCCATATTCAGCCAAGTCGCGTAGTCACTGTCAATGTCAGTAGAAAGCCGCAGGCCGTTCTGTGAAGATCCACTCACCCAATAGACTCCTCGTGGCAAACACTACCATCAGTCCTGTTAACTCGTTCCAGAACAGCGCCGATGACGGCCTCCATGGCGGTAGAGCTCAGTACAGGCTCCATCAGCAGCGCCGATATCATCGAGTCCCGCCCAAAATACGTGAGAAATCGCCAAGCACCGGCAAGGAGTTTCTCTGAGTATGACAGGAATGAGAGCGTAGCAGTCTGGTCGGACATTTCAGCAATAAGGCCCGCCGAATCTGAGTTCAGAACATCGTCAGGGGGCAGCTGTGTCAATTGCGGATAGTTCATCTCGGCTGAGACGATGTAGTCGCCTGCGGTGAAATTCACGGTCTGGTCTGAAACCACCACCGTGCTTCCCGAGGAATTTGGGGTGAAGTGAAGGCTGGTAGAGGTGACATTGTCGAGCCACAGCCGCCGAAGCATGGCACTTCCATCTTCGTTGGAGGTGTACGTGATAGCATCCTGTATCTGGGGGTAGAGGGTACCGTCGCCTTCGACAAAATCGCGGATCGTGCGGATACTTCCCAAGATCGAGAGGGTGAGAGTTGCAGAGGAATTCAAGCGCATGAGGGCATGCACTCCGACATTGGGCGGCCCATTCCCGTTTTCTGACGCGCTGTAGGTTGGTCCTAGTGGGTTTCCGGCGGTAGAATTGACCAGCTCAATACCGAGAGTTCCATTGACACCATTCTGCGGCGAGAAGTATGCACAAGCGCCACTGTTGCCAGCGGGCCAGGCGACAATCAATCGAGGACCGATTATTGAAAGGTTGCTATCTGGCAGCGGGCTGGTGACGACCGCTTGGGCGGCCACGTTGCAGTCCGAGTAGAAGTAGTTCTCGTAAGGCGGATCGCTCAAAGACAACGATTGAGATGTATTGGTGCATGATGGTTGCTAGTACTGAATGAGCAAGTGTTAATGGATAATGGTGGAGCATCACTTACATGGACGGCATCACTGCCACCTATCGTGCATGCAAGACTTGCCAATAAATACAGCCTTGATAAGAGTGTCATGATGCGAATGAATGAAACTCTGGAATTCAGAGTGGGAATGTCTGGTTTAACATCGCGAAGCTTGGACTGACCCCACGGGGAGTTGGAGGAGAAGGTTTGTGGTTCCCGATAAATCTCCAGCCTGCCAACAAGAAGAACCACAATTCAATCATCACATTCGCCGATCCCACTTTGTATCGCAATCTCCACTTCTCCTCAGTCAAGCGGGCATTGGATTACTGTCGCATTGGAAGTATCGTAGTACGGTGTATAGCGTATAAGGCTATGGGCTGGATAATGTTGGCTGCTCACTCATAATTCGTAAATTACTAGACTTGCGTATATGTTTTGTACAAAGCATACGACCTCAGTCCAACCGCCGGAACGGTCAGTATATGCATAACGCCGCTCTGCACACCAATCCAAATTCAAACGCCAGGGATAGTTATACAAGAATAGGACGAAGCCAAAGACAATAGAGCTATCATTCACCGCGTCATCCAATTGCCCACCGTCTCACCAAACCAACTGACCAGCTTTTCCCGTCGCTTGTCCTTCCCTTGGTCGTTCGTCCGGAAAACTGACGATAAATCCTCCATGTACGCCTTTTGTTGTTCCAAGTTCGCATAGTGGGCGCGGATCTCCAATTCCCGCTCGTGTGGTGTCAGCCGATCCAGTGATTTCGACGGCTTGAAGCCTTCTGGGATCGGCTCTCCTCCAGGGATCTCTACTTCCGCTGGACCAACGCTCGCTGGCTCCACTGGTTTTGCTTGGGGGTTGAAGAGAGAGGTAAGTGGTGGGGGTTCTCGGCCGGCCTCCTTAGCCTCCTCGACCTGGTTCTCATAGTCAAGCATCTGGTGGTAAAGTTTGTCGGCATGGAGCTGGATCCGTTCCTCCCGCTCGTCATCCCACTGTCTTGAAGCGGCGTATCCCAGTGCCTGCAAGAATTTCTAGTAGAAGTCAGCAACCAACTCGAGGGGCGCGAGCAATATTCTCTACCGGGAAAACTCACGGATTGAGTCGCATAGCAACGAGTGAACGCCTTGTTCTTCTCCTGGCAGGCCGTAAGTCGTTCAGTCATAGTCGGGCTCTGCAAGCACAGGTGGTATGTTTCATTCTCGATCGAGCAGTTCTCCATCACCGCGCGCTTCAACACCGCATGTCGCTGTTTGTTCTGCGCCTTCATCGCTGGCACCCCCGAGGTTTCCGGCCCTTCCTCGCCGGCTGCCGGTGGTTTGTAGGTTTTCCATAAATCGGCATAACGACCGTCGGGAAAGAGGGACTGTGAGGGGACGGCGGGAGCTGTGGACGAGGCATCGGGTTTGGATGATGAGGCTTTAGGCTGTTGGGCTTGCTCTTCGACCGCTGGCGAGCCCGGGACGTATTTCTTTGGAGCTTCGTTCTCGAGGTATTTGCGAAGACCGGGGTCAAGCTTCTTGACCGGGTCCTCGTCGTTCGAGCCCCAGAACCAGCCCATTGGTAATGCTAGGTGTGATAGTAAATTATTGAGATGTTGCCAAAGTAGCGAAATTGATAATTTGTTGGCAGCGGCGTGGAGTGGATTGAAGTTGCTTGAGAGTTGAGAGCAGTGAACTGAGTGATGAAGAAGTGAATTGGCGCCAAACCCAATCGGGCCGCTCCGCGTGTCGAAAGTCCCCAAGTAAACGCCGCTCCTCCTCCTCTACAACATCCCATCCTCCATCCTTGTCCCCTCGTTTTCGCGTCCGATTGACGCGTCGCTGGGCGATGGCTTCCAGTATGTGCTCCATCCTCGCTTACCAGTCCAGTATCAGCGAAGCTAACTGCGGTGCCCACCAGATCGAGAAGAGCGCCTGCAGATGCGGCAGCGCGGAGCAGGGTATGCGCTTCCTTGGTGCTATGTCTGTTTCTGATCAGATAGCTGACTCTATGATTATTGACAGGACGCGCAAGATTAAGGAGGTTGATTTCGGCTTTTCGTTAGGCTTCGGGGCGCCCGCCGAAGAATCATCTCAGTCCGTAGCCCAGCCCGCCAACAGTATACTCGATTCAGCACCAGTGTCCCAAGCCCCCTTACTTAAAGCTCCTCCTCCTCCAGAGTCTACGACGATCGAACCACCGCAGACACAATCAACATCATCTCCCCCTCGAACAAATCCCTCATCCCAGAATCAGCCTGTGCGGCGAACACCGGGGAGCGCCCGCAACAAGCTTCCTCCACGTCCATCCACCTTCGATATACCGGCAGAAGAAGAGCCGGAGCTGGAGCGGACTAGCAAACGAAGAAAAATAGGTTGGCATCTACAATCGGGACTGTAGACCATCAGCTAAATTAGACCAGATCCCCCGACATTCACTTCTCCACCACCGATTGGCGCGCAACCTGAAACTCGGGAACCGAATACTGCACAAAATGGTACCGTCGAACAGACATTACATCCAGCCCAAGATGACAGCATAGCGATACCTATTCGGACGAGTCCTAGGAACCAACCACGGGTGCCAGATCAAGGGCCTCCCCCAGAGGTTCCTTCAATACCTACCAACGAAACGGACGAACCTGTCCCTAACGCCCCAGACGGCGCGCTTGGAAGTCTAGAAACGGAACATGCTGCGCAGCCGGTGCCAGAGCCAACGCGCAAGTCACCGCGCGTAAACGGCACTGCTTCACCACCCTCGGATACAACGAAGAACAGGGGCAAGGGCCGTGGGAAAAGAGGCCGGCCATCACTATCGCGAAGTCCAACTTCGAATCCGGAGTCAGCAGACGCTCAATCCAAAGAGCACCCACTGCCAGAGCCTCCGGTGCCTGTTGAAACACCGCAAGAGCAAAATTCCCCAGAAACCGAGCTTCCTAAACCCCGGGAGAAGCGAACACGCAGTCGCACACCGGCATCAACTCAACCACCCGAGCCACCAGCTGTGGTCGATAAAGCAGCCGCCGAGGATGCTAGTTCAGAGGCTGTGCCGAGCGACGCGACAGGCAAGGGTGTCCGCGGACGAAAGAAGAAGAACGTAGAATCTACGGAACATACCACCACTACTAGCCAGGACTCTAATGAATCAACTGTGAAGCAAGCGAAACGAAACGCCGAATCCAATAACGAACCAGCCCGTGAACCCTCAGGCTCGACTGAAGACCAAGTGAATGGACTAGACAAAGGCAAGAAACGCGCCGGACGGCCGAAGAAACAAGTCGACCAATCTTTGGAGCCTGTTAAGGAATCTGGCGTCAGTGGTAGGAAACGCCAGCGCGAAGAACGTGCCCAACAAGCGCAAGCAAGCCCAGAGCAGGAACAGCCCGAGGCCGATACAACCCATGCCGGTAAAAGAGGAAGGCCGCGTAAAGAGCGTGAGCCTGAGCCAGTCGAGCCAGAACCAGAACCAGAAATCGAACAAGCCCGTGCAGGAAAGAGGAGGAAGCGGGGCGAAGAACGAGAACGTGAACCGACCCCTCGGGATGACCTGCCAGAGCCTGAAACAGAACCACAGGTATCTCGTGCTAGTAGAAAGCAGCGTGACGAACGGGAGCTGGATGCAAGGGCACAGGCAAGTCGCGCTCGTAAAGGGAAACAACGCGCGGTACAAAAACCGACGCCAGAGCCAGAACCAGAAGTCGAACCAGAATCTCAGCGCCCAGCGGTACGGCGTTCAACAACACAAGCCGAGGAGCCTGCGGAAGGAGAAACACCACAAGAGCGACCCCCAGCCACGAAGCGGAAGCCACGACAACCCCGAGGGGAAACCGTACCGATCACTGTCCATCGGCTTGCAAACGCTGCATCTCTCGGCGGCGAGCCTCCTGGATCTAGTGAAGACGAGGCTGACTCGTCGGATGAGATAGCAACCAGCCAAACCAGCAAACTACCCAGCCGCGGCGGCGTCAACGCGGCGGATGTACTAGCCCAGATCTGCCGCGAGACATTAGAGAAGACGTTGGCAACACTGAAGAACGGAATCGCAAATGAGACTAACACAGCAAGACGTGCAGAGTTCACTCTCCGCCGGAAAGCCGTGGAGGCATTTAGCACAGAGCTCGAAGGACGGTTGTTCGACCTGAGCGAGATGTTGGACAGCAACTTCATGCTTGGCACCAAGGTCAAAAGGGCCAAGCGCAAAATGATGGATCTACGCAGCCGACTCGACCACGTCCGGCGGGAGCGCGAGGCCGTTGCGTTACGAATGGATGCAGTGCGATCGGAGCACGCAAGAGAAGAGCAGGCCGGACTGGTTAGTTTCTTCTCTCCTTGTATAAATGCCACTATGAGCCTCCCAAGCTAACAAATCCCAGGCCCGCTCTACGATCAACCACTCCCTGCACAACCTCGAGCTCGCACTGGAGCGCGGCCAAAATCGCCCAGCGACAGAAGACGAACGACTCACAGCCGGACTGGAGTTCCGCCTTCGCAATATGGCACAGACCGTAAGCTCAATAGCACAGGGTGCTCAAGGCGGCCTTCTGAATCAGATACGAAGGTTCAATGCGCAGCTCGAAACCACTGCGCGTCGGTTGGAAGGTTGAGCCCCTGCTGTCAAGAGAATTATCTTGTTGTTACTACAGTGTATATAGATCTGGACAGATGTTAACTTGATGCATGACGGCCGACACTACTATTCACTATTCAGCTATTCAGCTATTCCATTGTAGCAGTGATGATTAATGAGGCCATGTTAAAGCAGCGATGTGCTAGTCTCGATGGACTCTTTTTCTGCCTTAAGGCCGCCACATTCCTCCCCGGAGACTTTTTCTCTCAGTTTTCACTCAATTCATCCGAGGCCGAGGCTCGCCCGTACTCCGTCCTTGGAGTCGGACACCGCCTTAACGCCGGTCCAATGGGGGCGCACCCTAGTCCGCATAGTCAAGACTTGATGCAGTGGAGCCTCAACATGATTAATTGCTTTGTCTTTCAGTTTTCTCTTTGAAATGCTCATGTCTTGGTAAGCATGGCCTTAGTCATGGAAAATATGCGATTGTGCTAGAAATATACCATTGCAATTAAACGTTTGCATCGTGTATACCATACAATATATAAAACTCCAGCAACCCGCCTGTTGAATATTGTAACACAACACTTAATTCTTCTCTACCTTCAATATAATTTACACACTCACACCTACAATTCAACCAGGAACTGAAATGGACTCCTCAAAGCTCTTCTCCCCCCTCAAGGTGGGCAAACTCCAACTCGCCCACCGCCTCGCCCTGGCACCTATGACCCGCTTCCGGGTTGACGACGACCACGTCCCGCAGGACATGGTGTCCGAGTACTACGCACAGCGCGCTGTCACCCCCGGGACACTCCTCATCACAGAAGCAACCCTGATCTCAACCAGACCAGGCGTATACAACAACGTACCGGCGCTCTATGACAGCGCCCAAATCGCACAGTGGCGCAAAGTCACAGACGCCGTGCACGCAAAGGGGTCGTACATCTTCGCGCAGCTATGGGCTCTTGGCCGTGTCGCTGACCCCGTCGCCACGAAGGAGGCGAATGGTCCCGATGCAGAGCTTATCTCGAGCAGCGCCAGTCCGTTTAACCCGGAGGTAGTGCCGAAGGAGATGAGCGAGGAGGAGATCGCGGCAGTGATTGGGGATTTCGCCCAGGCGGCGAAGAACGCTATTGAGGCGGGCTTTGATGGCGTTGAGATCCACGGCGCGAATGGCTATCTGGTTGACCAGTTCATTCAGAAGCCTGTGAACAAGAGGACGGATGCATGGGGTGGGAGTGTTGAGAACCGCGCGCGGTTCCCGCTGGAGGTGATCAAGGCTGTTGTTGACGCTATTGGTGCGGAGCGTACGGCCATTCGATACAGTCCGTGGAGCACGTTCCAGGGCATGGGCGTTGACACAAAGGAGGATACTATTGAGCAGTTTGGGTATCTGGCGCGCAAGACGGCCGAGTTCAAGCTTGCGTATGTGCATATTGTTGAGGCGCGCATTGCGGGCAACACGGAGACGGAAGTTAGCGATGCCAAGGACTTGCAGTTCTTCTTCGATGGGTACCAGCGTGCTGGGCCGATTATGGTAGCTGGCGGGTATGTCGGCGAGACTGCACGCGAGGCTGCAGATGTGCATTATAAGGACCACGAGGTGTTGGTTGCCATCGGACGGCCATGGACCGCGAACCCGGACCTTGCCTTCAGGATTAAGAACAGCATCCCGCTGCGGCCATACGAGAGAGAGCACTTCTATACAGCGCGCAGCCCAAGGGGATACATCGATTATGAGGTCAGCGAGGAGTTCAAGACCGCTGCTGCTGCTGCTTGATTTTGATGGGTTTACTGCATTTGCTTAGCGTATGATAATGTATTTCGGTCTCGTTATATAGATATAAATGCATAACATATATGATTGATTTTCAATGTATTGTTCTGATATGTTCTGCACCTTGGTGCCAAGGGCCGATAGCAAGCAGCGCACGCTCAAACTCATGTTCTAGCCGTGGAGTATGCAGCTTCTGTCGCCTGGGGTGGCATGTTTTCACAAGTAATACAGCCTCTTCACGCCTGTTGAGGATATATTGAACGTCTCGGAGCGTCAGTCGTTCTGCTAGAGGTATACAGTCCATTTGTTCAAACTCTTCCAGAGAGTGCAGTTGGTTGGCTTTATGGGGGTGACAGCACTACAACTAAGTCAGTTATAGCCCTGCAATTCTATAACAACATCCGCGAAGCTATTGAGCATTCTTGCCAGGTAGGCTTCCTCTCAATATAAGGTAAAGTCGGAGCTTCCATCGTGCATACAACGAAGCCAAGAAAGAACGACGGGCTGCATTGGCAGGATTCTAAAGTCACTTGGCGAAAGCCTTATTAGCTTCGCATCAGACAAGAGCTCGTATCGCTTGCTTAGCAGCTGGCCATTGGATTTCCTAAAAACCTAAAATCGCGCAATTCATTCGGCAAGAAAGGCTTAGCTTGACATCGTTGCAAATCCTCACATGGTCCCGCAGTCACAAGTAAGATGCGGTGTCCATCCATAAACTCAATCAATTGTGCGCTCTTTGCTCGCAGCTGATAGCGGTGAGAGAATGCTGGCAATATGTCGACCCCGGATTAAGGATCGCCATGTGAGCTCGCGCGGAGTGGGAGATCAGATGCGAGCATCGTCATGATCGTCGGTAAGCAAAGTCAACTCTCGCCCATCAGATCATATGACATGAGGCCATGGCCGGCGTAGCTTCCCAAAACTACCAAAGTCACCTCAACCAATCCTACCCCGCACAGCAGGGCTGAATATTATTTGACGCCGCGACGCTCTCAACAGGATGAGGGTTGGTCGTTTTGAACTGAGCAATAGCCGGTTTCCTTCGCGTGATGCCTAGATGGAAGTGGGGTCCCAAGGCTCTTGGACGTCAATAGCGCTTCTCACGGCCGACAATAGTATGATTTGGCAGTTTGGATGTCGAATTAATTGGATTATGGCCGGATGCTCTCGGTCAAATTGTATATATTGTTCTTTATTTCATGGTCCAGGACTCAAGATGAAGCGCTTTTGGATTCCGCTCCGCCGACCCGATGGATACCCGAAGTGCTGGGTATGGGAAAGACTCGGCGTATCATATGCTCGGTCAACTTCCCCAGAACCCACATTCCGATAACCAGGTTCAGAAAGGCGGAGAGGTTCCTGAAGACGTAAGGGAAGTTGGAACTTGGAGGTTTATTCGGACTTGGGAGCCGAACTTGCCTCCGCAGTGGGCCCCGTTATTCGACACTGGAGTCCGGATGGATGGATGGCGGAGCGTGCCCATGGATGTACGTTGTCCTGACGTTTTCCCACGGTTGTGCAAGAGAATCCCATTTCCAAGTTCCAACTGAGGTTTGTTATCAACAGAATCGACAGCGACAATCAACAAACAAACTCCGAGCCGGTCTGACGATCCCCCTCATCTCCCTCATGCCCGTGACCTGCAAGGTGTCAAGGCTCGAAACGGGGAATCGCAGAGGATGGAGTAGTAACTGCAGGGACATGCCGCGAGCCATGAATGGTCGCTACCACGTTGAGCGGCGTGCATTTTGTGATTGCTTTGACCGTTGACTTGGCCTTGTCCTTGGCAGTCGGCTCGACTCATTTAACGCACCACAATATATTGTTACCTTCCAAGATAATGACTTCGGCGTTACATATCGCGGCATTGCATATTTTGTGAACCAGATTGACAGTTCCTCAAAGTTTGGGACGGGGACTGGAGCTCACCCCACAGCTAGTGCGTGTTTTCAGCAGTTCCGTTCCGATGACTCGGTCGCGGTACGGAGAAATAATAATTTATAGTTCGGAATGATGTCCTTCATGACTTGTCGATGGTCGAGCTGTTTGTTGGGCCTACCCCACATGGAGGGGGCCCAAGCCGGGGAAAAGGAAGTGCACTCGAAAGTCTGGGCACGGATTACCGATAACCGAACAATACCAATGTGTATGGTGTCGTCGTGTATAGGTCAAAACGATGTTATTAATGGCCAGCACAGGCATGAAAATGCGTAGATCTATCAGATCAGCTCGTGAAAAGCACTGCTGATAGGACACGAGCAAATATGCATCACTGGGGAAAAGAAATGGCGTCACAATCCGCCGATCCCGCGACGAGGGACAAAGGATTCATGCCGAGAAACCCGTTGAAACTTGCAACAGTCCGATCGACGTCGAAACTGGTCAGCTGCTGGCGAATTGATTGGAAAATCGATCTTCAAAAGCGTGTTGAGGAACAGGGAAGGACGGATTCGGCCACCACGGTCACTCTGTAAGATGTACAAAGTAACCCGCCCACCGGATGTCTTTGATCCATGGCACAATCAAGCTCATCGGCGTAAGAGGCATAGTGATTGCACACACTCTCTCTTTGTGATGCTTTGAATCAAGCATCAGCCCAAGTGTTGGTATATTAATAAATAACCCGAAAGATGACGGATGGCTGCAGTGCCAAATTCGAATACAGATAAATCCCACCAATCAAGATGCTCGGACTTTGGGAACGGGACAGAGAACACAGGGCCACATGGAGAGTGAGAGCTGGCGCGAAATGTGATGGCTCACACCAGGGATGAGATCAGCCAAGGGCAACTCGAACCCCTCTTTGATTTGTTGACAGGACCACGGTGACTGGCGAGCGCGTGGAGCGGCTTCCTTCGCTCAATGCGGAGCGGACGCTGTTCAACGAAGACCGTCTTCAAGTGTTGTCAATGCGCTGGATCATGTTTCAGTTAGGGAAGGAGAATTGGCGAAGGGCTGCCTTCCATGGAAGGCCTCTGGCGATACCGAAAATAAGGATAAGTATGCTGCTTCACGGAATTGTCAACTCCAGGGGTCCAAGGGAGGACAAGCAGCAAGGGGTTATAGCCTAGAATAGGTTGTGCAGGGAGGCTCCAGATAGATTGTGCTTAATATTGCTGTTATCATCGCGAAAGCACTTGAGTCTAGATACTATACGCTGTCCTGTCCGGACAGGGACTTCTTGGTGCCAAGTCTTGTCTCAGCTCCATAATAATTGGGATTTGAGACAGATACAGCGAGTTGGACAGGAACAGATGGGACGCTCGAATGTTGAGCCCCTTTGCAGAGTGCAACTGAAATCTTCTTCCGTCGCGAACTCCTATCTGGTGGGACCAAAATGAGACTAATTCTAGTTTCTACACCAAGGGACGTCAAAGTAGCCAGATGAGGACGCGAGGGAATTTGAGTGTTGAGCATCTGGCACGGCCACGCTGACCCGTGGCCAATCCATATCTCGACAGCAGATTTCTGTGGGCCCTCGTTGCGTGTCTTGCGCCTGGACTCGAGGGTGCGGATGAAGCCGCCGTCTCAAGTCTCACTCTCAAGCAGTCGCACGACCGACAAGGTTGAGTTATTTCAAATTGCACTGGCTGATCTCAGGGGAACTGGTGAGTTAATGAACGGCAACCCTGCCGTAGTTTCGGTTGAGACGGGAGACGGTAGTATCCATCTGCCGAGGACGTCAATCGCTGAGAAAAAAAGAAAACAGAAAAAACCTTCATTTTGTTCAAGCTTTGGGTTAGCAGAGACTAGAGAAAGAGAGGCCGAGGCAAGAGGAAATCGAGGACCCACGCAGCTTAGCCATGGACGGTCCATCATCGACCATTTGCAGCTCCATTTCCAGCAAACAGACAGGCTGTTCTCCGTATTTCCTGGGCCATCCCTAATTAGCCGATTCTCCGGCCGTCCGTGCGGACAAAAATTAGGCTGTTCCAGAGCTCCTTGCAGCTTCGAGGGCATCAATAAAGCCGGGCAGGGGGAGCAAGCTTCCCGTGTCGGTTCTCAATTGCACATGAAGTCGAGCCCGAGAAAACTCAAGGAGCTCTCTGGAATGTGGGCTTGAGATCGGCGCTGCGGAGAGAGCTCCCAGGGTTGCAAGTCGCATGTTGCAACTTTGCAGTCAGTCTGCCATTCAGTCTCACTGACGGCCGACGGGTCACGGGAAGCTGACTAAGGCGGAACCCCCGGCTGGCCGCGATCATGAGACTAGTACACAGAGAGCAGCACGGGGAGAATCAGGATACGTAATACAATAAGCCCTACAGTCTGGGCAGAGGATCAAACCCCAGGCACGTTAAGACAAGAATTAAGGGCCAGCGCAGCCCAGGAGCCCAAGACTCCTCAGATGGCTTGAGGCGTGCATAGTTGTATTGGCATTGGTATGGGTGACAGTAGTCGTCATGACGGTGTCTTGGCGGGCTGCCAGGAGCCAACCATAAATCCTGCCAGATTGGATGCATCGCATTTCATTGGGTAATGCTTCAATACCCCCACCAGCGAATTCCCACTTTTCTTTCCGGGGTTCGCGCATTCTGTACTGGACGTAATTTCGGTTCGCCGCTTCGAATCTGTGGTATACCACAGTACCACCCAATGGCCTCGATGGGTCAACAGCCTGAGCTTGTCCGACCTGCCGCTTCCAGTTACGGCCCAGAGTCGCAGAGATGATCGAGCGTTTCCCTTCGCCCTTGGTCCCGGGGCCCCCGAGTTCAAATCTCCGCACTTTGTTGGGGTTGCGTCTCATCTCTGTCCCCTCGCCCACAGTTCCGGGGGTTCCTTCGTCCGCGACGCCTATATAACTACCGCTGCTGCTCTCGTGCTACTCGGCTTCCTCTGCATCAGTGCGCAGTCTATTTCACTAGACCCGAATTCGGCCCCTGTCATCACCAGCAGAGTTTAGCTAAAACTTTTCAACCCGCGTGTCACCGAGTCATCCCTTAAGTGGGTAGAAACAGGCCCATCGCACGCACATCATTCTCAAGCCAGACCCTCGCCTCCACTCCGCGCAGCCACTGGGGAAGAAGTCAATCTCACAGGAATCCGCAATTCCGCGATATTTTTGCACCGGGGGAAATCAAATCAAAACAAAACGGAAGTCCAGCTAGCTGATCAACTAACGGTGCTTCCTCCCTGTTTGGGTAAGTTGCTGCAATCTGCGTTCGTCCGGGCCTGTCCTCCATCCACCCCATACATCCTTAATTACTTATTGCCTCTCCTCCCTCACCTTTGTTTCTCTCCTCATCTCCCTTGTCATTTTTCCCCCTCCCCCAGGTCATCAGCTTGACAAGTCCTCTTGCTTGACCCACTCAGCTGTGCTGTGCGCAACTATTTTTTTTTTCTCCTACCTTAATTTTATTTGAGCCGAGCCTCTATTCCCTTCCCCGTCTCCAGCTAGCTGGATTTACCAACAAAAACGAAAGAAAAAAAAAAAAATACTGACCTCTGAAGTTTCATCGCCTCAACTTCATCATGTCTACTGAACAAAACCACGGTCTCGAGAAGGACGTTGGGCCTGCTGCCCCTGGTCCTGCGGCCCCTGCTGCTCCCGGTGCTCCCGTTGCTCCCACTGCCTCAGTTGGTACCAATGGAGCTCCCATTTCCGCCGAAGAGCACGCGTCGCGCTTCGGATATGGTCCTCTGTCGCACGTTGACCCCAAGCAGGCTGTTCTCCGCCCCTTCGGTGGTGAGTTCCAGCCCGGTCTATACAAGTCGGTCGAGGCTCGCAAGTTCGCCAACCCTGCTCCCCTGGGCCTGTGCGCTTTCGCCCTCACCACTTTCGTCCTGAGTGCCATCAACATGCAGGCGCGTGACATCACTCACCCTAACATTGTTGTTGCCCTCGCTTTTGGTTATGGTGGTCTGGTTCAGTTGCTTGCTGGCATGTGGTAAGTTCTTTTGTTTTGTCGCAATTGCGCTCTCAAGAGCCAGCCGGAAATTGGCTAACCATGACTCGTACAGGGAAATGGCTGTCGGAAACACCTTTGGTGCCACTGCTCTGTCTTCTTATGGTGGTTTCTGGTTAGCCTTCGCCATTGTCCTCACTCCTGGTGGTTTCGAAATCCAAGAAAGCCTTACCGCCGCGGACGGCGACGAGACCATGTTCTACAACTCGTTCGGACTGTTCTTGATGGTAAGTTTGTCGCGCGAAGTCGTTGTGTGCTCCAGAGCTGTTGGCGCTAATGATTAACTTCAGGGCTGGTTCATTTTCACCACAATCCTGCTCTTCTGCACCCTGAGATCCACCGTGGCCTTCTTCCTGTTGTTCCTCTTCCTGGACTTGGCTTTCTTGCTCCTCGGTGTTGGTTACCTCCAGCGCGACAGTGCTGGCGCACCTAACCCTCCCGTGATCAAGGCCGGTGGCTTCTTCGGTCTGCTGGCTGCCTTTGCTGCTTGGTACAACGCCCTTGCTGGTATTGCCGACAGCAGCAACAGCTTCTTCGTCCTCCCGGTCGCCCACTTCCCGTGGTCCCCTACCGGCCGTGCTCGTCGCGAGAAGACCGAGCGCGAGACTGTTTAAAATGCCTTCGCTATTTCCGTAGCGGATGGGCCGCATCGTCGACGCACCTCGGGTGTGTCGGGCGGTCAGTCGCGAACCATAATGCAGAAACCTAGAACTCGGTTCTGCAGTAATATCCTCAGATACCCAGTTGTGTAAGATCATCGTTGCGTTTTGGAAAGCCTTCGTCGTCTTGGTTACTGTACCTCTGGTTATTGTACTGGGACGAAGGATTGCGGCGATATATATATGGTCTTGCGGTATATGTAACGTTTTTTCTTTGTGGTTTCCTATGCGATTCCTATTAATGCTTGGTTAGTCTAGATCAATAATAATATGTTGTCATGATTCAAACCTTTCCAACTTCGAGTAGTCCCTGGGACTCCCGGATCATTCTGAAGTCGCATAATGTCGTGATAAAGTACTGATTCTAGCTAGTCTCAGGGGTCAGTCAGTAGATAGCAGCTTGACATCAATCAAACTGAAGTAGCGAAGGCATGCCATATGTTGTACGAAAGTCTCATGGATATGGTAGTTGACTGCTGCAGAGGCCCTACCAGTATACATTAGTAGCAACACCTGGAAATATATAGTTAGTTGAGCTCCATAAAGCAAACATTTTTCGTAGTTGGTATATAATATATATCAACCAAAACAAAGCATCGAAGAAGATAAAAACAACAACAAAAAAGAACGGAAGGAGCCAGCCGTCATTTATATAAGATCCCCCCTGCCCTGCCATGCAATAATTATTAAATAGATCCCGTCCGCCGAGTCCCGTCCGGCCCGGCAGGAGAGAATGCCCTGAGAGTGGGGATACATCGGCGAACACTCGGTGCTTCATTTCAGCCAGTAATGGCAAGCGTTCGCCGGGTTCAGCGTCCACTCGAGCGGGAGAAACTCGGTCGGTGCTAACTCGGAGGTCCAAGTTCGGCGAGTGGGACTGGTTGGCACCTGTCACTCACTGCTCCTATTATTAGTTGTGTTCCTCCTTACCTAGACGCATACTTTAGCTTAGTTGTGTCAGACTGCAGATAGTTGGCATCAGTGGTTTGTTCTGAAGGGAGACTACTATTGCCTAGTCTGGTAGTTTGAGTGAATTTGAGTCCCATGTGGATGCCTGTACCAGGCCCAGATGGGAATTGGTACATATTGGAACTGGAATGACACGTAACAAGTCAAAAGTTCCAACTTCCCAGTCTGTCTTGGGGTCGGGCGTCGTGCATGTTACTGTTATTGCGGGTCTTGATTTAACCCTGGAGTCTGGAGTCTGGGCCTAGAAGACTGTTCAGGAACCCGAGTCATGAGTCCAGTCTTCCGCTCTCTATTAGCTCCTGGGGAAATGAGCTGAAACGTGGAAGCTGGGATAGGTTAATCCTCGGGGTGTGGTCTGATGTACTAACTTTTGGAGGAAATAGGACAGACGGAATCAGAATGCGATGTGCAAGTATAGTATTGACTATTATTTTGTATGGCTATTTGAATTTTGGATGGTGTAGAGTAACAAATAGGGTATGTATTTCAATTCAGTCATCACGACATGGCTCATCTCGTATGTACCATATCTCGTCTCATTAGTTAGGTACAAAAATGTATATATAAGTCATCATCAATTACTGTTTATACATTGCTGTGGAGCTGGCACCGCCTGGAGCTCGTCCCACAATGTTCGTAACGGTCCCAAATAGACCCGGTCAACGTAGAAGTAGCCGAATAAAATCGCGCGGAGCTCCTGCCATGACTGCAGCCCCTGCAGGCGCACCGCGGAAGCGAGCTCGGTCACAAAGAAGGACCGCTGGTTCGGAATGTGCGTGCTGCATGCGCCGACGAAAAGCAGCCAGATCAGCAGGTCTCGGCACAGGTGGTAGCACCCTGCGCGAATGGTGGATTCGAGCGCCAAGTGCAGCGCCATTATAGGCCTCGGGAACACGGGCGCGATGTGTGGGTAGAAGTCCCAGATAGCGGTGTTGTGGAAGAGTAGACAGGCTAGGCGAACACAGCCCTCAATTGTTGCATCCCCTTTGACCTCGCCTGATGACGTGTATCGGTCACTGTGGAGGGCATATTCAACGTAAAGCACCTCAGTGTTGTAGTAGCACTCGGTCTCTTCGTCAAAGTCTTGTTCTTCCGGGCCGCCTTTAATCCATTCCGCGTACCAGATGAGCTCGACCAGGTCATAAATTACTTTGGACATGACATCACCAAAGATGCCGGGTATCTGAATTAAGGACGCCAAGCTGGATGCTGTTGACTCCAGCTCTTTAGTCGGAGGAATAATGGTGTAATTTGTCGGGCGGGAATAGCGAACAAAAGGAAATATTGGTTTCGTCAAAGACATGCAAGCGACACGAATGTCGGTCCTGTTTTTGTCAGTATACAGTTACCAAGAGAAATCCAGATAGACTGACCATGAAATCTGGAACCGAACATCATCGGCAACATCGGCGAAGCTAATTCTCATCCCGACCATCTGTCTAAGGCCTGCAAGATGGATCTTGAGGTAGTCTGGGTCTCCCGTTGCAATCTGCGCGGATTAGTATAGACAAGAGCAGTCCATCGAGGGAAAATACATACCTCTACTGTCAATAAAACTGACACCGCCGCAATAAGCTCGTCGCTAGCGGCCTTGATAGGATCCGAAAGGCCCTCATTGACAAGGCGGATGGTCTCTCCACGGTGGTGGAACGTGTCAAGAAGCAGCACGCTAGAACTCTTTCTCTCATCTGTCAATGGGAATTCACCAGATTCGAGTGCGGAGTTCGTTGCCGCAACACAAATGCAAGCGTGGAGCGACGCAGGGTCATGGGATACAAGGGAGGCCCAATGGGCCTCTAGCTTAGCACCGTATCGACGTTGAAGCGGATATGCGAGTCGTGTCAATTTACACAAGACTGGACAAATATTAGCACAAGCACAATTTCCCGCCGTTAGGTAGATTCCAGGGACTTACAGTGCTGCAGATGCCGGTACATGCGCTCTGAAAGCGGAGTGTGGGTTGTATTGAAAGGATCACTCGTCCCCTGGCCGATATAGGTATACGGTGTGGGATCCTGGAGGACAGCAAGGGCTTTACTATCGGCGTCGACCCCATAGCTATCCACAGTATCCCCAGAGGTCATGGGATACTCCTCATCCGCCGTGTCCTGTTCTTCTTTTTTTATGTGCTCATCGGGAGAGGGGGATTTTGAGGACGAAGAAGAGGAAGTATTTTCAGCCGGGCGTGCCGTCTTTTGTGATTTCCTGCGCGAAGCCTGGCGAGATGACGACACAGCAGCCGAAGGCGCCGCCGTAGCAGAAGAGCCCGCAGTCGCAGAGTTGGAAGCGGTCGTTTCAACAGGTTGAAAAGCGAGGTGCTTCCAGGCCTTGCTCTTGGACCGCTTGTTCGTGTCAAGTCTCTTCTTGCGGTTGTGCTCGGACATGACATGGGACCGGATGAGTTTCAGTGTCTCCTCTCGAGTCCCTTCAGCGACGGACTGCGGGTCGTTATGGACCCAGAAGAGGGTTGAGCGGCCCTGGGAGGCATTGCCCTGTTTGCGAGGCTTGCGGACCTTTGTTACGGCGTTCTTTCCAGTATTTTGACGAGCCGAATCCGTGACGACTGAGTGTTGCACGGCATTGGTCTCGTCGTGGGGCTCGGAGACCATGGGCGAGGAAGGGGGAGCATGGGGGGGCACTGGCTGCGACGGTGTGGAGGAAGGCGGGGAGAGAATCGGAGGGAGTTGCGACGGTTGAGGCGGATGAGGGTGGGAGTAAGAGTGAGAGGGAGGGTGAGGGTGGTAGGACTGGTGTTGATTAATAGCTGGGTCGGTATTGCTGTGAGCCCATGGTGCTGGCCGAGACACAATGGGCAGGATTGGGAGGGTGTGCTGGTGCTGGTGCTGGTGCTGGAGGTGGTGGTCGGCGACCGGAGGATGAGCCGTGGAGTGAGGATGGGGGTGCTTGGCGTCCATCGCACAAGCGCAGGCGCAGGACTCGCAATTCACAGATCTCGGGGGCGATCTTCATGGGCACTCATCACTGATTATTTTCCTGGATGGGCAAGATGGCAAGGCGACGGCCAGCGGAGAATGGATGGAGGAGGAGAGAATGCAGGGGACGAAAAGCTGAATGGTCAGCGCACTGCCCCTATCAGGAAAAGCCCATGACTTGCGAAACAGAGGAGTCGTGCTAGTGGGCACTGGCAGAGGCGCTGGACTGACTGTGAGTGGGCTGAGGGGAAGCAGAGTGATGAGAAGAGAAGAGGGCGAGAGACCAGTCTCTTGGGGCAGAGCTAAGCATCCGAGGGGTGCTGCAGAAGAGTCTTCACAAGAACGACGCAGCGACTCAGCAGCTCTGAATCTGGCTTTTCCTGCTTTTTGTCCTTTTTGTCCCTCTTCTCCTCTTCTTCAGGTCGCGGACTCGCAGCCAATCGCGGCGCCTGCTCTGGATCTCGGATGCTGCGGCTGCCGGCGTCCGGGTGGAGCCTCGATTCCATGGGTTAACGATAAACACAGATCGCCCCGGGTATATTTTCCTCCCATATGGCCTCCTTGCCTTTTCGCGCGGCCTGTCAGCTACAACTTCCTTGTTCAGTTGTTGCTCCCAATGGAGGCCTTGCCGCTATACTACAACGGGGAGCCGCGCTGCGAGCCCGTATGCAAGTTGTATGCAAGTTGCGTGCGGGCTCTGTCGCAGAATGGCAAAGCTAGCAATGGCACGAGATAACAGGAGTCAATTAGAGATAACAACGCATTAAAGATAACAAGGATCGCCGTCAAAAGCACGCTCTAATTTCCAAGTTTCACTAAAACCCCTGCCGTGGGAACACTGAAATTGTATCCAACTGCTCTAATCCACCCATAGTGCCCTGTTGGCCATTGGTCGTCTGCCACCCTGGACCCGTCTGTTGAACAAGCGTGCTCTGTCGGAACGGATTCGTACTTCCTGTAGGCGTTGGCCGGAGAGGTGCTGCAGGGGGCTGCAGTCCCTGCGACTGCTGCGGTGGCACAGACGAACTCCGAGCAAAGGGATTCGTTCCCGTCCGCTGCGGTTGGAGAGCTGCCGGCTGTTGGGGCTGTTGCAAAGCCTGCGGGAATGGCTCAGGAGTGCTGGGAGTAAACGACGCATTAGCTGTCGATAACCGCTTCGCAAAAGGATTTGTGTTTTGACGGTTCAGTGGCGATGCGGGCATTCCTGATCCCGTGGGCGTGCTCATCAGCATCGATTGCCTAAAGGGATTAGTAGTGCCAGTGGCCTGCGGTTGGAGTGTGTTTTGGGATGGCTGCTGCTGCTGCTGCTGGAATCCAGCCATATTGTTCTGCGGGATTGGAGGAAGCTGATTCTGGAATCCCTGGGCCTGGGGTTGTGGTGTGTAACCGCCAAACCCGGCACCGGTAGGAGTCGGCTGAAGAGGCTGTGGCGCTTGCTGCTGGCCAAATTGATTGGTATTCTGCGGTGCAAATGGGCCCCCAAACGGCTGTGTCGGCTGTCCAAACCCGGTGGGTTGTTGGGGTTGGGCAAATCCGGTGGGCTGAGGTTGTTGTTGAAATCCTGTTTGTTGCGGGTAGAATGCGGGCTGTTGTCCGGCGAAGCCAGTTTGCTGGAATTGCATGGCTTGCTGTTGTGGCTGCGGCTGGGCTTGAGCATGCGTGCTCGGATCAATGCTGTCGAAGAAGTCTATAAGATTCGACGGAGGTGCCTTCGATTGTGAGCTGGGTTCCGTCTTCGGTCGAGAAGGCGTAGGGTTTGTATTGACGGCAGGTTTATTACCCCCTGTCGTCGAGGAGGTTGCGAATGCACTACTATTTACGTCTTTACCTTGTCGAGCAAGGTATTCTCTCCGGCGCTGGTTGAAATCCGGATCGTTCAAGTCATCTTCCAGAAGGCGCGTCAGATCCGTTGAAGCGTGTTTTAGTTTGGGTATTTCAAGCCTCGTTGCCGACTGGAAATGTCGAGCGACTCCCAGGAATTTGACTACCTCCTCGGTTTGGGCGGCAAAGGTCTTGTAAATTTCCAGCGCACGCTCGCTATCCGGGCGCGACATTTCGAAATAATGTTCTAATTGCGGTTAGTGATCCTTTATATGAAAAGCATATTGATCCCAGCTCACCTAAGACGTTGATTGTGCCTTCGTTCATAACCGAGTATAGAGTCAAAAGGTCCAAAGTAAGGAGACGGAAGGCCGTCAGCGTAATTTCATTTTCCACTTCGTCCGTTAAGAGCTGATTCTCGTCAGTCACAGTTCAATCGCAGGAGTATCGTAACCCACATCACATCGCAGCAACTCTTTGATCTGCCGCTGAACAACTTCTGTTTCTCGTAATAAACCCTTTTCGACGGTCAACCGTTTCATCCGCCCTTGTCCGCTTCGTACATAATCCGTTTTGGTCTGTTCGAATGCCTTCGCGCGGGCAAGGAGATACTGGGAGTATCGTCGGATATTACGGCCCTGCGGTTGGACTGTGCATCGAATCATTAGCGTTGTAACACACATTGTATCCCACGGGTGGCTCACCTTCTGATAGTCCGTGCACAGCAATTTTTCTCGGGTTCTCCGCCATATATTGCAGTGTGGCGTCCAGCTGGCCCTCCCTGATCATGAAGTGAATCACGATGAGAGCCTTAAATGCTATAGTCCATGTCGTATCGCGAACCCGAAGGTGTAGTGTCCGGAATATTTCTGCTACTCCGGCCTCGCCTGTATGCGTCGCCACGAGAATATGTTCGATGTATTTGGATTTGGGGGCCGCAAGCTACCAGGGGAGAAACGGGCCATCAGCATCTCGCAGAGCAAAACCCAGAATCGCAAAGCAAAAACCATTACTCACCTTGACCTTTGTGGCCCCTTTTACCGATTTCTCAAAGTTTCCTCCTGCCATTGTCCAGGCAGTCTAGGCCCACCGGAATGCGGATACTTGCGACGAGGTCAGGAGTGGCGTCGTTTGCACAACTGAGCGTGTCCCCCAGCACTCGAGTGAAACCAATTGTAGTAATAAAGCAATCGACAGTAGCTACCGTAGATTGTGTTTTGATTCGTCCACGCCAGCGCTGATTAGAGTCATGGTGGTTTAGGCCATCGCGAGAGACGGGGGTCAGGAGAACAGAGAAACGACGGGAGCGGTACGAGATATATCGGGCCAGCCGGGAAAGCTGGTGTGATAAATGTGAATTGTCGGGAGACGCGATCGGGGACCAGGACGGGGGAATTGGGCGAGGTTGGCGGGCGACGGCCGTGGGGGAAGAAGGTGACGACTGACCAGAAGCATCACAACGGTCCGGAGTCCAACGCCGCCTTCACTTGGCTGCCTAAGCTACTTTGGTCACCCACCGCGTCATAAGTGCTCGCTCTCATGCTACAAAACATGTACAGCAAATTCACCACTACTTGAAAAAGTAATTCGATTGTTGAGATTCCGGTCATTCCTTGCATTCTGCTAATATGGTTTACTCCTTTGAGGAGAGCTTACTTTGGTTTCGAGTTTGGAAAAGTGCTGTGGTGACCAATGTATATATTTGAAGTGAAACAGCTTGTCTCAGCCTCCTTTACTACCCCTTCACACCGTCACTTCTCCCTCTATATTTAGTTTGGATACAATTATACGGATGTATATCAAATTTTAGCTACTTCAATTTTGATGCCATTTCTCCCTAGATACCCATATCAGAGGCCATTGAAAACAAGATGAGGCACGGAGACGGAGGACACCACTCGTTTTCTACTGGGGAGAAGTCAGACCGAGCCGGATGTAAAGGTGCTCAATTACACCTGGATATGCCTCTCAATCTGGAATGACGACACTCAGCGGGATTAAAGCCGCAACACAAGGCCCAAGTGTGTTGGCTGTTGGCCTCAGTCGCTTGCAATGATTTCTCTTGCTTCATCTCCAGCATACACTTTTCCATTATCGTCTCCACCACCCTATCGACATTTTCTTGACTTACTCGATTGGTATCCATTCTTCCGCTGCCATAAATTGACAACACAATTTTCCCTGATACGTGGCAATGGCGCTCGTATCTCTCGATCTTATGAAGCAGCGGGCAAGAATAAGGTGGTCCTCTGAAATGAGGATATTTCTTTGTTGCATGATTAAATACTTTGAAGAAGATCACAGTGCTTTCCAGGATATATTCAATTCTCAGTTTGAAAGCGAGCTCGAGGAATATGGATTTACTAATGGTGAAATTGCACGGTGGACGAGACTTGAATCACGGTGGGTTAGTATGAGAAAGGATGGAGACCCGATATGGGGTGATGTGCATACTTCTAGCTTCGACCCTGAGCCGTGGTTACCCGTTGTTGAAATGATCGAAGAAACAGCGGCCTCCCTGAATATATCGATTACTCGAAAACACGAAGATACTGTGGATTGTTCTCAATTTACATACCAGGACTCACCTGCACCTCTCCAGGGACTGCTTACGACTTCTATACAGCAGCCTGATGCCTGCGACTCTTCGGACCCTGAATCATCCCTCTGCACTGCTGGCGGGAAGGTTTGTTTCTGGTGTCAAGCTGAAAGTCCTGATAAAGTGAGTGTAGTATTCAAATCAAATACCTTGAAAGTACTGTTACTGACGACAGCAGGAGGTAGCTTATAGTTCCGGTCCTCCACTTCTTTACCGGTGGTGGAATGCCAGGTCTCAAGGTGTTAACGCTGAGAGCAAGTTTGTCGCCGGTCTATTTTCAGATATATTCCAGGAATACTTTGCTCCTGAAAGCATTAATGAAGACAAGTTTCGGTATTTCTTCGAGAACCATGTTAGCATACAGCATACACCTTCACCTTTTATCTCAACTTTCAAATCTGCCCTTGCTCCAATCCACAGAGCGCTGCGCGAAGAGGAAGGAGCGTCGATATCAATTATTGATAGTAAACGCTTGAATACAAGAGCTTATTCTGCACTTGACCATATGCAAAAATGGAAATATAAGGTCGAAAACTCGAACTATAATGGTGCGGGTGAGTATCTGGTATGGGGCCAGATTGACGACGATGCGATTATATGCACATTCAAGATTACTACTCTTCGGCAGATATCGCAAGAGAACCCTAGTATAAATCAGTTCCTACAGCTAGGAAGGGTTGCTGGTTCAAGAAGAAATAGGAGAGGTTTGCATCAAGCACTAGCAAAGGATGCTGTATACCTGGATAAGAAAGCAGGAATAACAGTTGGAAAGCTTCTCTCGCTCCTGGCAGTCCCCCATGAGTATATTGGAACCGTTAGTGAAGGAATGGCATACTCTTGGAGAGTTAAGACAAGACGCATCCCATGGAGAGATTTTTTTGAAGGTGTTGAACTCGGGTATAGAGGTGAACCCGACTTGTTACCAGAGCTTTCACCTTTTCCTGATGCTGATACTCCCGAACCCCATGCCACCGATGGAGATATTGGCTCTGATGTATATTCACTTAGCGAGGACTTATCGGACGACAATGACGACCTTGAAGCCAGCGATAGCCCCGACTCCCTTAACGAAAACATCCACTTGAACGAGGCGGGCCCATACGACATACCAGAAGACCAAACGGAAAGTGAGAGAAGCGCCTCTATCGTCGAATTTGAGGAAACACTCGTAACCCAGCGCATGAATGCTAGTTTTATGATTGATATGGCCGATAGCTCTGAGGAACACCTGGATGATGAGGAACTCGATCTATTTGACGGGGTGATACTGGAACGAGAGCAGATGACCAGTGACCTGTTTGCTAGTGAAAGAGCATGGGTTAGGTCTTCGCTTGAGTAGCCAATTTTGGATGAGTGCAATGACCGTGGACGGTCTCTGGATTTGTTGTGGTGGCTTCACGCGCAGCAAAAACGAAAAAGAGGTGGTGTATTTTACTTGTCAACTTGTAGCTTATTACTTTGTGACGATTTTGAGTTGTCTCGTCTCGAGCTGCATCTTGTCGCGTGGGGCATAATCGACGGGTTGCAGTTTTTTTAACACTCGGAAGGACCTCTACAATCCAAATTCAATATGCAGACGCACACCCTATTCGTAAAAGTCCCATTCCCAAATGATGAAGCACGTAAATCCCGTTTCCCTAGTATGCTTATGCTATACGGCATAGTTCTAATTGTAAAAGAAGAACAGATCAAATTTTTTTTCATTGGATATATCCTTCACAAGGGTACTGGGACATGAAATCGTGAAACAATCCCAACACCCCATCAAACTGTTCCGCTCGAATCCATTCGCGCCGCGCCGTTTCCCTGGATTGAATTTTCTCTCGAGAACACCGCTTCCTCGTCGACACGCTTAGAACTTGCTGAAAGCCTTGACGGCCTTGCCAGTGCGGGGCAGAACACGGAGGGTGTTGAAACGGACCTGTAGGCCGGAAAAAAATGTTAGAGAAAAAATTTGTACATAAAATCAGATTCGAAGATGGGAGATTCAGGTGCGATGGTTTCAAGGGAGTGGCCACGTACAGTCTTGCTGATGGGACGGCACTGGCCAACGGTGACCCAGTCACCTTCCTCAACACGGAAAGCGGGAGAGACGTGGGCAGCGAGGTTCTTGTGTCTCTTCTCGTAACGGTTGTACTTGGGGACGTAGTGGAGGTATTCACGGCGGATGACGATGGTACGGTGCATCTTGGTGGAGACGACACGGCCGGTAAGGATACGACCACGGATGGAAACGAGACCAGTGAAGGGGCACTTCTTGTCTGTAGTATTGAGGTCAGTAATCCGATACTCAGTTTCATCGATCAAGAGCGTAGCAAGAGCGTGTCTGAGTATTCTTCCCCGGAGCCTGAGAACTGAGATTTCGAGATTGAGAAGCGGTAGAACCGTGCTGCTACCCCGGAAATTCCAAGTCTAGATGAAAATTATCTCAATCACCCGGGCGCCCTCATATCGAACAAATGTACGTTGACATTTCCTCCTTACTGTCCGCGCGTATTCTCATCTCCAGGCTCCGAGAAAGAAAACCACTGTCCACCCACTATATCGCAATCTTGAACCGATAAAAAAACTCATAGTAGGTCGTGCATACCGATGTAGCTGCCCTCAATGGCGGCCTTGGGGGTACGGAACCCAAGACCAACGTCCTTGTACCATCGTCGAGCCTGGCCGACCTTCTTGCTCTTCGCCTTGGTCTTGGGGTTGAGGAAGATGTGAGGCTGCTTCTGGAACGCACGCTCCGACTGGACGGTCAACTCGGTCGCCATTTTTGCGATAATTCAGTCCGACGAGGAAACAAGGTCGAGCTGGGTGGGAGAGTCGTCGCGGAGGGGGTTGTCGGATTGATTCGGTTGTCGACGTCGATTTTGAGGAAGACAAATTTAGCGATGGTGGATATTCAGTGTGAAAGTTGTGCGGTGGCGGCGCTAGTCCTGTTACGGAAGCCCCTGCGGATCGGCTAGGGCTGTTATGTAAGCCTGTATTTGTTTACTTTTCGACATCACATGACTACCCGCCGGGGTGACGCGCGCCTTGTACGGGGATGATCGCGGCTTCATTGCAATACATTCTAGATTAACGGAAATCCCCTGTCCTGCTGGGCTCGTCCATGAGCGGTATCTTACTCAATGGCGTCCAGAGGTGACACCGCGGGTTCAGCCCGTCCCCGATCTCGTCGCTCTATCGCTCATGTACCCCGGTCGAGGTTGACATCTGGAGGGGATAAGGAGAATGCGACAACGGATATCGACGCTGGACGGCCACTGCCTGGTCAACAAGCGACAGCGGGAAAGGACAAGAAGTCCCGTAGCAAAAGTTTGGGACCTGGGGGTTTGGATGCACTTCAAGCCTCGAATGGAAACCGACGCAAGGTGATTATCTCACTCAACCCCGCAATACCATGCTGCCTCTGTGAAGCTAATGTCACTCATCTCTGTATAGTCTGCTGCAGTAGTACCTTTAAAGTCAATCCTCAAACCAACAGCCCCCGTTTCGCCAGTCCGAAACATTCCTACCTTTGAAGAAACGCGCAGAAAAACACCGTCCCGTGAAGCAAGCGAAAAAGACAACACCAACAGCTCAACCCAAAAGGGACTTCTGATCGATTTTGATACCCCAGCCCAGAAATCATCTGCTAATCCTAAGTATCAAACGAATCCGTTTGATACTTTTAACGCTTCTACTATCCGTGATGAAATGGCCGCTGCAAGGGAACAGGAGGAGAAGGAGAGACGCGCACGTGAGAGAAAAGCGGCATTGGAGCACAGGGAAGCTCGGCGGAAGTCAATGGGTGCGTTACCAGTTTGTTTCTGAGACCTCACTGCGGCTTACTAACTGATCTCAAGCCAACCGTCGTGTATCCTTTGCACCAGAGGCGACATTGCATACATGGAACGTCGTGGAAATACCTGACGACTCGACTTCTTCGTCTACTTCGAACTCTACTCGACGCGCATCTTCATTAGCAAATGCGCAGAACCAGCAGCCTGCACCGACGCCTAAACAAAGTGACCCATCAAGCTCGCCTGAAATTGACGCAGAGTCCGATATCGCTTTCTCGCCGGTGCAATACCCAGACCTAGAACATCTAAGGAATCGACCTTTGGGAGGTGGCTATGATGGGATAGGATCCTCCCAGGAGTTTTCAAGCCCCTTCAGTGGAAGTGAAAATAGTGATGACACTGGTCTGCATTCCATTGCTAGGGATGATGACGATGAGGACGATGATGATAGTTTATCAGGCTCCGGCTTTGATGGGGAAAGCACTGCGATGAGTATGGAGGATATGTCCGGCCATTCTGGGGTGACTACCCAAACAGATGGATCCGAGTCAGCGACCGGGACGGATCGTCTGAACGAAGCCTTGCGACAAGCTGCTCGAGAGGCAGGAACTAGGAGCATCGACAACGAGAACGACGAGGAAGTCTCTATGGAGATTGCTGACCAAGAAATTACTGGCGCGTTCCAGCCTTGGATTAAGAAGGGACAGAGGCAAAGCTTCGATTGGGATGACCTCAGTGCCCGGCACGACCAGGAGAATGTCGACCCTTCAAAGCCTTTAGACGGTAGATTCACAGAAACGGCAAGTGATGATGGCGATGAGGATATGAGTATGGACGTAACGAATGCCATTGGCGGCATCGTTCCCAACAACCGTCGCTCCATAGGCCAGCGTCAGTCAATTGGCGGGCGGACGAACTACGAGGAACAAACTATGGAGCTCACCAACGTTGTGGGAGGTATCGCTCAGCCTGTTTCTCCTGCGAAGTCTATAGGCGCTGATAGCGTGGCGGAAAATGACGAGGAGATGACAATGGAATTTACCTCTGTTGTCGGCGGGGTTCTAAATAAAGGAACTGGCGTTCAAAATGTTGATGAAAACAATGCCACTCTGAACCAGAGACAACCAGACTCTGAATGGGATGCTGCGGAAGACGAAATGGAAGACGACGATATGGAGATGACGGGGGCGGTAGGGGGTATACTTCCGCCTATCCAGGAGCAAACTGAATCTGTTGACGGAGACCAGACGGCAGGCATGGATTTCACTGCGGCCATGGGGAAAATATTGACACCGGATGCCGCGAGCCCAGACAAGGTAGACTCGCAGCAAGGAAGCTCTCCTTTCCAGGAAACGGTTCGAGCATCCCCGAATAAATCGCCCTCCAAGTCACCATCTAAATCGCCATCTAAGTCTCCAGCAAAGTCGCCTGCGGCTTTCCACGTAGCTGCTGTCGCCTCAGAAAGTGGTAGCCCTAGCCTGGCTAGCGTCAGGTCGAGACGTACAAGGCAGAGCACAGGCCGTACGACGCCAACGACACCAAAATCAATGACACCACAAGAGTCACCAAGCAAAAATGCTTCAGCTCCCACAGCTCAGTTGACAGTGGAAGGCCAGCCCTCCACTCCCGGAGAGACCCCGCAAACGCGGAGTGCGGGTCCTCGCAGCGCATCGCCCAAGAAGCTTTTCCAGCCTGAACTTCAGGTTTCCGACAGCCAAAGGAAATCCCCTGGCCGTAAAAGCCTTTTTGGTAATAATGCGTCAGGTGAATCTGCTCCTTTATTTGTCCTTCGACCCCCAGGCTCGAGGCGTTCGTCTGGCCTTGGGATTGACAAAGAAGGGCTCGGGTCTCCAAAAGTCGCAGCCATGCTTGACAAACGACGATCGATTGGTGAAGAGGCCGGGGATTTTGTTCCGCAGGACAAAGTACCGCAGGGGGTTCGCTTTGAAGATCCTATCAAACTCCAAGAGGAGGTTGACCGAGAACGGGAGGAAGAAGAGATCCGAGAGGACGGTCATATTCAGCCTCCCAATAATCAGGATCCCACTGCAAGCCTAAGAGATATGATTTCAGGCCTCACACCGAAGAAGAATAAGGTTCGTGGCCGCAAGAGTCTTCATGTTGGAGCTGCACGAGGACTTCTCGGCAAGCGCCCGGCAGAGTTGGACTTGGAAGATGAAGACGAGGCGGAGAACACCCCGAAGCGGCTGAGACGTCGCGAGGATATGAGCCCTGTTAAAAGCGTGAAGCTTCCGCCTCCGCCAACTAAAGAAGAGACAGTCGGCCGCGCAGCTCGTTCACCGGCCCGTAAGGCGCTGGAAGTATCACCCACCAAGGCCAGCACGACACCCAATCATGAGCCAAGGGGTGTGTCTATTCTGGATCCTCACCAGCCGAGCTCCTCGCCTCAAGCTGATAATGTTGGGACTGAGGAAGGTTTAGCTGAGAGTATGGAACCAGAGTTCGAGTCAATTCAGCTGCAGGACTTCTTGAATATGACGAACATCCATTTCATGGAGCTTACGACCACTAAGAGACGGCACACCACCGCACCGGATAGCATTAGCAAAAGGACGGCTAGATTGTCTCTTGAGGGCAATGGGAAGTCTAGTGCTTCTAACTTCGACGAATGTGTGGCTGCTGGCTTTTGTACCGTGCCAATGTTGGAGTTGTATCAGCATGTAAGTGGCCATATTGTATCAAGGAGTCCCTTACTAACGATCCTTAGTCTTGCCGCGAGTTGAAATCTTATATTTCCGAAGGCAGACAGATAATTCGATCTATCGAGGACGAGACATATGCCGACAACCCGCCTCTATTCCGAGAGTATATGACTGCAGCGCCTGATATCCGGTCGTTGATGGATAACCAATTCCGGAACGTAAAAACTCATACCAGGCTGTTGAGCAAAGCTACTTGGTACGAGTGGCGCATGAAGCTTCTTGAAGGTCTGAAGGAGGGCCTGGATCGGCACTTGGAGGAAATGAAAGGGGACGACAAGCTCCTGTCCAAACATGAAGCGCTTCTCAGTGATTCAGTTCCTGCGCTGTCCGCCAAACATTCATCGCTTGGGCAAGAAGCTACGCACCTTCAGCAGTTGGCCGATGAACTAGAGAATTGCGACCAAGATGAACTCTGGGCTGCACGGGGCAAGCTCACGGACGTAGAGGAGGAGATTGAGTCCAAGAAGAAGCTACTTCAAGAACTACAAACCGAAGTCCAAGACAAGACAGCTACCATTGAAACAGGTGCAGAGCTGAAGGCGGAGTTTAGCGCCCAAATCCAAGAAGCGGAGAGGGTAAAGGAGGAATGCCGTGGATGGAGCGCCAAGGAGATTCGTGAACTGAAAGGTATGTTCTACCAAATATCTACCTTGTTTGTGTTGTTGATTGTAATGCTAACCTGGATAATAGACTCCGTTCACCGCATTGAGCAACAGACCGGATGGTCTATCAGTTCCGCATCTTCTACGGAATCGGAGGCAGGTCCGGTGGTGACCATGTCTTACCAAGATCAACTCCAATTGAAGTTTTACCCGGGGTTGTTACATATTGACAGCAACAAGGATTCTTTGCCCAATCCGAAATCCGATACACCGATTGAACTGAGTTACTGCCCTGGTAACGGGATGAAGTCGAACGCACGGGCACACCGGATCTCTCCCATCTCATTACTCATTCTCAAATCCCTCCAGGCTCACGTCGCCCGGGTCAACCAGTCAAAAATTACACCAAAGCAACTTTTGCGCTTCATATCAGAGGCTTGGGATCTGGCATCAAACGTGGAGGAGGAAGCCCGTATGCTCGGGTTTCACGGCGTGACTAACCTCCAACTTGCTGACAACAAGGAAAACTCCTCCCTCAGGGCAAGATGTACTTTGCTTGGAACCGTTATTTCCTCTGACTCTGCCACCGCCAAGTCGCACCCGAACATAAACAAGAGCAGAATCGATGTCGACTTTGCTGTGACGACGCGTATTCCGGAGAGCGAAGATGAGAGCGATATTGGCACCCTGGACATCCAGACCGAGGTGCTCGCCAGCAAGATCTACGGCTTTGGAACAGATAACAGCACTGGCTTGTCTGAGAAGGAGATGCGCAGTATCCTTAGCAAGGAACTGAGAGGACATAACAAATCTGGCGCCAAACTCGGCAACGGCGTATGGAGCAAGGCGGTTCAAATGCTTTCCGGCAAGGTGTTTTAATCTGGTTATGCTTGTTCCTTTGATTATCTTTTTATTGTTGTCTATTTTTTCACCTCGCGATTATTGAGCGGGAGTTCCAGGTTGTGTTGCTAAGCGGTTACGACTATGCTATGGTTTGCTCTTTATTTTCTGAATCCAGATACCAAATCACATGAAATTGCAACTTCTCCCATTATACTAAGGTTTGGACGAGCGTAAATGGCCTGCTAATTTTGGGAACATCCAGGTAAGAAGTGACGGCGGCGCTGTCTCCGTACCAAGTAGGCCTGATTGCGGTCTGTTGGATCAGTATTATCTCGCTGTGCAGGGTCTGCAGCATCCCGGAACAACCGAGAAAGATCCCCCGAGCCTTTCGTTTCCCAACCACATCCCGAGATATCACAAGTTATCTTTTGTTGCCACTTCGGATCGTTGATGTCCAAGCCAGCACCCATATCCAGCCACTTTGTGATTACAACCGCCGTTCCATCTGTTCCACAATCCCGGATTTTAATTTGGGACTCATTTCTACATCTTGGACAGCATAAATACTCAGGTTCATAAGCATGCCAGCTTGGAATGGTCGAACAAACGTCGCAAACTTCGCTGACATTCAAGCTTCCCATTTCTTTATGGCGACAAATGAACACCCAGCCCAACCTTTTGAATATATCTTGGATCCCAGGTGTATCATGGAACAGTACCCACTGCTGTGTTTGGAGGACTAGTGTCGAACAATTTTGCTCTAGCGAGCAGACCCGCCCTTCCACAGATAATAGTGTAGTAATTGCTCGGTCTAGCACTGAATTCTCGACTGCCATATATGACAACCACTTAACCGTAAGGCCCTGCGGTGTATGACGATACCCATGATAGTGATTCTTCATCACGGCCGCTAAATGACAGTGTCGGAAAGCATATAGCATTGGTGAAAACCGGCCGCCTAAGAACGTCCAGAGATTCTCAGGTATATACAGCCCGCGTGAGAATGGTAACCCCATATCCGGACAGGGGCGACGGATCTTTTTTGAACGCAATGTTGGATGTGGGATGTCTTTAATCCGATGTAGCTTCGTGCAGTAGGGGCAGTAAAATAGATGTGGCAGATCACGGTCTACTCTCATTAGGATTGCTGGTTTTAGTTGATTGTCCCCATCAGTCAGGGACAGGCATCGTTTGCCAATAACATCAAGTAGATGGTGGCTGCACAAGCTTAAGCAAACAATATCAGGCTTCTCCAGACAGTCTTTAATGCACAGCAGAAGTTCTGGCGGCAGTATTTCCAACCGGGAGGGTTGTCGGGGGGAAGCAGGTGGGCTTTTCAGACCCCAAAGCCGAGGGAATTTTAATGAAGAGACAGGCCAGCCCATAGTGCAGCGGATGGATGATGAAGGGAAATGGCTTGAGCGAGTATCGACGTAATATCAATAGAGAGGAAGCTTTACACGTGATACCTGGCCGAGGGAATGTGCCTGACCATGGAACAGAGAATCATGGTGAGAAGTTTAAGTCTGTCAGGCTTGCAACAATGTTCCTTGGTTTTGGGGAGCTAGCCGTTGCAAGACGCAGCTGTGGACATAGAGGGAAGGAAAAAGAGATTAAGGTTCCGGAATGTGAATTGTGTTCGTAAGTATTTATTATATTTGATAGAGTAGCATATTCATCAAACCATGAAGCCATCTGTTAGTATGTGTTACCACCAAAATTTCTATCCATCCACATTGTCGGCGGGTGAGTATTGGACGCTCCTTCGTGACCAACATTACCGTTCCCATTCCCATATTCATACCTCACCGCCTCTGTGCCATCCATCATGGGAACCGGAGGCACAGGCACAGTAGCAGCAGCAGTAGTAGGGGCTGGGCCGGTAACATTTCCGTCACCATCGCCCTGGAAAAGATAATTCTGTCCCTGGGTAACACCGATGCTACCACTGGAACTGATATTCCCGGGATGGCCGAACATATTGCTCAAAAAATGACCTCCAAATCCAAACTCCCAGTCTGCCGTGAGCGGAATCTGCCATAGCTCTGGCTGCGAGAAGTTGAACGTTGTTTCTTCCAAGGCCGGAAGCGGAAAAGCCATGTCAATATTTGTATTCATGTTCATATTCATGGTCGACACTGGAAAGGGGGTTAGTTGCGGTTGGTAGTGGTTTATGTTTCGATTTGAGGGGTGTTGCGGATCTTCTCTGGGTATTCGGATAGGATTGGAGGGAGGATTGTCGGATAATGACTTGTTCATATTCGTAGGCCCAGGGCGCGGGCTACTGGGTGTGGGGCTTTCGCGGACAACGTAGCCGCTTGAATTTATTGGAGGCAAACCCTCGAGGTTAGGTATGTTGACGGCGGTTGTTGATGTGGGGAGGGTGTTGGGTGCGGAGGTAGAGGATTGTTGTGAAGCTGGATGCGGGCCCGCGCCGGGTTTGGGGAGTTTGCTCTTTGAATCTGGACCAGGTTTGACTGTTTTTTGCTCTCGTTCCAAAACAACCCGGGCAATGCGCTCAAATGTCGTGCTCATGCGAGTCATAAACCTCGCATAGTTACAGGGTCCATCGGCGGGAACGAGTGTAGCGAAAAACGTCGCGGCCATGTTTAGAGACTGAAGATCGTCTTTGGCAGTTGGTTGCTGACTATTCCGAAGGATGTTGGCGAATATAGTCATCACAGCTAAAAAGACGTAGTATAATAGAGACCTAAAACATGGGGTTAGCAAAATGTCCATTTCGATTTTTGGATGTGCAGGCATCTCACCATATCCATGCGATATCCCCCCACGGCAAGTTATTCACCAGTTTCAGAGTGTCTCGCGCCGCTTGGACGCAAACCGCAGCCGAGGAGGACGACTGGTTCATTATCATCCTGATTTCAAGATCTGGTATGGTGCCCGCGCGTGACTGGTAGACAAAATTGATCAACAGCGGTAATCGATGGATCATAATCAAGGAGTTGTAATAAAGTAAGAAAAGCCCCGCAGAAGCAAAGCCAGCCAGAAAGTCCTCTCCAGCACCTCTTTGTTTGAACAAGGAGTCAAACTTGCTGTTGTTTTTCCAATCTTGGAGATCACTATGTAGCTTGTGGATAGTTTCGCAGATATAGGCTGTAGATTTATTCTCCAGAGCCCTTGCCGAATAGCATTGGCTGTATATTTGACTTCTGAGGACGGCAATGCGGCATATTTGGGGGAAAAATGCCTTATCGTCCGCCATCTTGAGCCCGCCAACGATTTCGTCGGATGGAAATTCAACATCAAAATCATCAAAGTGCTGTGTCGGCGCGTTGCCTAACCGGATAGATATGCTGTACCGAGGAAACGATTAACCAGAGAATGGCAAGCAACGGAAGTATCTTACCTTTGATCAAGGATGTAAGCAATCCAGAACACATTCCTTCTCTGCTGCTGTTCACATCGCGATAGGTGAGGCCTCGAAATCTCACGATGAAGCCCCATCCGGTGTGAAGATCGTATAGCTGCAGTGACAATGGGTACTGTGGACTGAGAGCCAGAGTTTCCTCGAAGAAACAGTGCCATGCCCAGGAGGGCCTGCACGCTCAGCAAGTCTGTTCGTCGTAGTACCAGCTCGGGGAATACGGAGAGAGCGTTCTTGTAATAAAGCCATGCTTTCTCCCTATCCTTTTCTGACTTCTGGCTATTTGAGAAACGGTATTCGTAGGCTAGGGCGAGGATGATGTTGATGCTAGCCCACCGAGCGGCATCATCGCATGTCTGCTGGGTGTACTGCCACTCGACGAGTTGCATGAAAGTGTCCTCATGGTATAAAGGGAAGATAAGGTTAACGGTTTCAAAATAGTCTCGTAGGAGAGAAAACACTTCCGCCCGCGGTGGTAATGGTTTGAAAACCTTTGAAGAGAAGACGTCGTAGAATACATCGGGCCGCCAGTGGGCCCATGGACTGTCGAACTTGGAGTTTGAGAGTAATGAATTGAGGGAATTGGCTTCGCCAGATCTGCTTTTAATCCACTCAACTCCTTCCCGAGTCAAGATTGAAAGGGGTGTGGACCGTCCTGCATGCAGGGTCAACAACAAACTTTCAAGCAATAAATTAGTCGGTAGCAGGCATACCATAATACAGCGAGTTTCCCCTGTCGGCTTTGTAGACTGGCGGCCCACTTTTCTCCCCTGTCGGGCGCCTGCGCTCGTAGATTTTGGGTGATATATCGGAATCGAATGATGTGGGTAAATCTTTCACAGCAGACGCATTGTGGGGTTGTGGTACAGCCCCCGATTCCATATCGTGCCTGCCAAAATCCTGATGAAGTCTTGGGGTATCATTTTCATCCTCCATAGCACTATCAGAGTCAGCGTCGGACTGTGAAGCGTCACCGAGATCGCCGAAATCTGCTGTATCAATCAATATCCCGGCAGCCCTGAGCAAAGACTCGGTCCTTTTCAGGCGCTCTTCTAGAGTCTTCACATAGCGAGATCTACTCTAGCTTTAGTACCCAGCAGAACAGTATAGAAAAAACTTCAGTCCGGGGCAAATACCTTTTATTGCTATCTCTCTTCCCTTTCCCCGGGAGAGCCTTGCAGTTCAAATTACGGCGTATACATTGAGTACAAGTTTGGCTGGAATCATCGAATTCGCACTTGATCTTCCTTTTGTAACACATTTCACAGGCCTAATGAAAAATGTTTACTATAGTGCCTTGCAAAACAGACAAGGAGGTCTGCTTACCAGTGGTTTACGTCGTCGGAATCTAGAATCATGGCTATTGCCGTATCTTGCAGTCTCGAGCACAACAGGTTTATGATCCTGCATTCTGCGGAGAGGCGTTACACTATCATCCAGTAATGATTGTTGCATAACTCCACATCTAAAATAGAGACGAGGTAGATGGTATCATAAGCCAACTTGCGCAGTGCCTGAGGGCGCCGTGTGTGGTCGTTTTGGGAGAGGGAAGCCGCAGAATTGAATTAACCAATGGTGTCTGTTCAAATTTCAACGGCCTCCGATTCCAAGCTCTCAACCCGGCCCGAAATTGGCGCCTCCAGGATTCGGATGAGGAGAGGCTCCTGTTCGGTGAGGCGGACAAGATCGCAGTCGAAACAGGTGGACCACTGCGCCACACGGCTCTGATGGGTCCTTCTGCGCAGTTCTGCACGCGAAAAAGCCGCTACTCGCAAGTCACGATGAAGGAATGGCGTGACAAGAAAGAGATTTTGAAATCAGTCAAGCGAACAAGCGGTTGGAGATGCGAATTGTGGCGGAGGACGCCGATTAGTAATTGTGCCTCCGCAGAATTCGGATGTCGGCATCCAACGCGCCGCCAGTCATTGGTCTTCCAGCTGTCAGTGCGGACTGTCAGCAAGATCTGTCGAGAAACTATCTGGAGATTGAGTTTATCTCCGAGAAGAAAAACGGCCTGCACCGAATCAGAATGTCTTCTTGATCTGATATTGCAGTGAGCTTCTTGCTCTGCTTCGACCACAGTCCGACTCCGAGAGCTCCACGCCGAGAGAAAATCCACCCCGAACCAACCGCCCATCACTTCAGGACCAGGTTCTGAGTCCAGACTCGGTCCTTGTTGTCCGTGCCAGTCGCGCCGGAACGCTTGGCTGCTTGGGTCTTGACCGCTTGTTTTACCCCAGGTTCGACAAGCTTGTGCCGTACCCATGCTTCGTGGGGAACCATTATGACAACGAGGATGATGAAATCTCAACAGCGTTCGGAGAATTCTATCAGACTGGCTATTTCTTTCGGTAACAACGGGTTATAAACCTCAACTGAAGCTACCAAACGAGTTTCCGAGCGCATTGGACACCTAGGCCAAGTCTTGGTGCCAGGACGAAAGATGTGCTGAGGGATAGGTATAGATCTACCGAAGAAGCTCGTGGGGGATGGATGCTCATGATGCCCCTTGCTTCGGCTACCCACATTACTTGTGGGATCCGATCATCTTGCGAGCCACGTTGCTTCGTGCTCTCTCTTCTCTCGCCGCAGCACTGACGCACGGATGATTTATATGTAATCGATCTTTTGGCTTACAAGAAATAATAAGACACTCTAGGTGAACAGTTCGCGTGATTTTAAATTCTGTCAAGACAATCACTAGTGCGAGTCTCATCTCCGCACTTCTTTTCATTCTGCTCCTCTTGAATGAAAGCGTCTTATTCCCACGTCATGCCAGTCATGGTAAAGGAACTGGTGAGCCACGATGGAAGGAAGCCAGTCTCAGCCAGTACGCGAAACCAAGGTAGGGCAATGATCTCGTTTTCCGAGTACGTAACTCGACATTCCACTTTGAGTCTTGAGCAGTTTTAGTTTCCGTCTTTGAGCTAATGACGACACCGGCAGTGAGCGGAGGATCCAGGAGCATTGGCCGTTGAGCAATCTAAGTCCGTCGTAGGATGGACTATCTTGCATGGAGTAGCCAGTCAAGCACGCGGAGAATGTCGTAGTTGTCCTGAATTGACATCACGGAACGGGATGAAGAGTGTGGGTGGGTACAAACTACGGACGAATTCGCCAAAGACACGGACTGAGACAACAGTAGTATTATTTCTCCGAGAGTTTGGAGGGCGGGATAATCCGAAGATCCAAGGGCTCAGCGCCTATTAATAATGATAGTCTCCTTATGCACGATGCACGCGTCGAATCTGGGGATGGGGTTTGCGGGAGCCTTGTTTCCTGAATCCTGACTCCTGAATGGACTCGGCCGGGACGAGCCATGATTCAGTTTCTGGGCCCGAACCAGCGCCAGACAAAGACATGTGCCTGTTGCACCTTACAAGGCTATTCACTATTCAGACCTTGTCCGGCATGCTAGGCTTGGGATCCGGTATGGCGAGGGCAGCATCGTCAAAAGTACTCCGTACTATTTTTGATTATACTTCCGCACCGAGGCAACTTGGCAAGCCACCGAGTCGGGCGGGGAAGCGAAGCTTCGAAAAGGAAAGCATGCCGTCCGACTGAATTCCACAGTGGGCTCGTCCAGAGTGGCAGCTTAACGCGCGTTTTAAGTGCTGTGATTTGCGCAGAAAATGAAACGAAGGGACCGTTGCCAAAAGGACGGGGTCACAGGGTATTGAGTTGTATATGTGACTTCGTATTCACGGGTCACCGTACTTTTACACAAATGATACCAATTTACCCCTACTGATGTTTGTTACAACAGGCCAAGTATCTGTATGATGCTGGTACTGTATCAAAGGGCGGGTGGTAACGCGATTTCAGTACGGTCTTTCGCCGTCCCTGTCGCAGGTCTCCTTTTCCTCCCCTGATGTAGTGTTTATCAAGCATCGAGATCCACGAGATCCTCGCACTCCAGATATCAATATTAATACAGCAACAAGCCAGTCTTGTTCCCTGCACGTCTCTTTCTCCCCCAAGCCTCCCGCTGACCGCCTGCCACAGCACACTGCCAACGTCCAACCTGGAGTGGGAACCGACGAATGAGAGCGGGCGATCACGACATTTCTCCATTATATCAGATCATCAACTAGCAGGAAGGCGTGAGACGATCGGCTGCGGTGCTGTGCCTCCCAACTGCGTGCCCTCCCGTCTTGGGTCAACTCTCCTCGCAAATACACGGTCTTTTTGCTGGAAATATCTTTCTGTAACCAGCGACTCCCTCCTAAGTTGGCCACGCTGGTCCAGGCTTTGGTTCGCATCCGCTTCTCGTGCTCGTGCGTACGTGGCTGCTCATTCCGCGCTATGCGAATGGGATGCTCTCCAGCAGTTTCTGAACAGATATCTTTGAGCCAACTCGTCCAATTCCATTCTGCCCTGGCAAGGTTTGAGTTTCTGGTCAATCCCAGGTTCACTCTGTGCCCCTGCCCCAGCTGATCGGCTGGCGACATTTGCGTGGTTCTGTCACCATCGATTCCCCATTCCTCCTCGCCCCAAGACAAGCCACCCAAGCATTTTGGGTGCACAGCTGGTAAATCAATCCTTCTTTGCCAAATCCTCTATTCCAATCAAATCAAATCTCCGGGTCCCGCGATTAAAAAAAAAAAAAGCGGAGGTCGAACAGAGCCCGGGAGAAGCAGGCGCCTTATTAAAAAACCACCTGCAGGCAATATGTCAGATGAACAAATCGCTCGTCAGACGGCCTCAAGCCTGGAGAAACTTGAAAATTTCAACTTCCTCCTCTCTCGCCACGACCCGGCCGTTGCTAAGAGTCGACACTATTCTCTGGACACGGACGCTGCTGGCTTATCTCATATCCCAAACCTAAACATGACCTACGATCCAACCGAGGGAATGGGCGGCTTGTCCGTCAGTTCGTATGAGAGCCTCGAGGACGACCATAGCCCGATCGATGTGCGAGGATATCCGTATCATGGTAAGTCTGAGCTCGAATGACGCCGCATATTGCATTCTTTGCGCCATTTTTATGCTGCCTGGTTCGTTTCCCTTGCATTCTTTGCTCATCCAACGTCCGATGGTGCAAGAGCTACTGCCGCCGCGATTTCTCGGGTTACATCCCAGGAGCTGTGCGTCCCTTTTCTGGGGAACAAGCCCCTGGGTGTTTGCTGTGTGCTTGGCTGCTTGCTATTTCGACCCTGTTCCAGTTTCCCCTCGGGCCTGCCCTGGCCCGGGCGTTGTGAACTCTCCGTGTTTTTGAGTGTCACTTGGTTGGAAACGTGGTTTAATTCCCCCCAATTTCCCTGCAAGAACCAACCATTACCGTTTATTTTGGTTTATTTTATTTTCTTTTTATTACCGTCTGATTGTTCCCTTTTTTTGTTCTTTTTCCAATATCCCACTTTGGTAAAGGCGATGCAAGCACGCAATCGATCACATTTATGACATCGTCGGCGGCCTGTCATTGCCGGACCCTCACCAAGCTTCCATATCCTGGCTCATGCTCCATTGCTCATCCCCAGGTCCCTCTGGGGTTGCAATGTTCCTTTTTTATAATCCTGCCCTTTTTATGATAACGATAATTCCCTTCCTTCTTGTCTTACTCTCCTCATTCTGCTTGCCTTTCGAGTCGTTCTTGTTTTTCATCGATATTGCTTACTTACACACTCCTCAACAGCCGGCGATAAGACCATCAACTATTCTGTACCCGACCACATGCTTTCACACTCGGCCTATCCTCTCTACCCTCCAATCTCATATGGGCCTGATGAGATAGGACATGCGCCGGGTGCCATGACACCTTCGGACGTGTCATCCTCGATTTCACCTCCAAATGGCCAAATCGGCAACAGCAAGTACAGTACTCAGATCTCAGGAGACCATATCGCTTCTGCTCTCGGAAATGAAGAGCATTCTCGTCGGGCTGCCGAGGAGGACCGACGACGCCGTAACACTGCTGCAAGCGCCCGATTTCGCATGAAGAAGAAGCAGCGCGAACAAGTGCTCGAGCGCACTGTCAGAGAGACAACCGAGAAAAACGCCTCACTTGAGGCGCGAGTTGCCCAGCTTGAAATGGAGAACCGATGGCTCAAGAACCTCTTGACTGAGAAACACGAAGCAACATCTACTCGCATGCCGCCTCCATCAGAGTCAATGGGCCACCAAAGTACCACCGTGGCCGGAAGCGGGCAAAAACATATTCAGCCAAAAAAGAAGGGCGTCGGCACAGATAACTAGGCATTAAAATGAAGTTTAGTGCTTTATTTGTGTCGTTAGCTTGTTTTGGTTGTGGCCGTTTCCTGTTCTGTTTACTTCATACCTGGGATTGCGATTTTTGTTTTCTTGGAATCATTCGGAACTCCTTCAGTTCACATTCGGCTCCACGAGCCATCTATATGGAGGTGGAGCGATCTGACGATGTAATGACCTTTCTGTTTTGTGCTATCTTCTACAGTTGTGCTGTGTTATGCTCGATTCGTTCACTTGTTAAACATCTACTGGGATCTGTTGCAGGGTGTCGTTGCTGTGTTGCCATGTTGATAGGGGTTAGAGGCTAAGGGAAATGGGGATACGATCCGTTATGGCCAGGAGCCGGCCCTCATCTCTTTCATTTGTGTCGTATATAAGCTGCTTTCGGAGTTTTTGGCTGGGCTACGTTTTTGGGTTGATAAAGCAGCAATCTACAGAACAATTCCCGACTTGATTGATTCGTTGATAATGCACAGTATTCCTCACATGTACACCGTAGACACAGCTTGACCCAGAAGACTGTATCGCATCATCAAGGGGTATTATTTCGAGAGTTCAAGAGTCATGCATGCATTGAGCTAGGCATACAGGAGACTCAGCAGCACATTGCATAGCTTGCCAAGACTGGGTCATCCATTGCGCCATCGGGGCTAACAATGAGAGATATCGATGGAAAAGCACGCTTGGCTGCCAGTTGAGGACAATGACGGAATCGACGGCGTAGATGAAGCAATGGAGATCAGCCGCCGTGATCGTGGTTGATCAAAATGATCAATGATCCTGGTTGATGCTTATGGGAGGCCGAATCCGGCAATCGCGTGGAAGTCCCGAGTCTGTCTCTTCCACAACAACGCCAACTCTTTTCAGCTGACTCGCTCGCTCTCCGACGCTACGCACGTCTCTTTCCATCGACTGTACCTTTCCGGCGGCTGCAATTGAGCCGACCAGATCTCGCCAGCCTCCATTGGTTCTCCTGTCCTCGAAGCCCAGAAGCACCCGACATGCTTTCCTCGCTGACTGACGTGCTATGCTGTCAGGATTCCTCTCCCTACGATTGACGCTCTGACGCCAGGATGCCCAATGTATCTGTTTCTCTGAGTCAACGATATTCATCTCTCTTCCATTGGTGTCCTGCTTAGATCCCTCCATAATCATATCGGTATGTCCCGTTTCGTCTTGACTTTAGTCAACATGTGTGAATTCTGTGATTATCTCTCATTTTTTCATCCTGTCCACCTCTGAATACAACACATGTTGACATTGGCGATTCTTATGCACTAACCTAAGAATATTTATTCTAGGCTTCGACTCTACTCTTCCACGTACGTACCTGATATCGATGTCGTCCGCTTAGAGGTTGCCTGATTTGACCTCTCAATTTATCAGGCCTCCCTCAGCTGATTGACGTTTCATGATAAGAAATGATAGCTCCCGGTTTAGTTGCCAAGGGTGGTTCGGTTATTTGTCTTCCGTTGGGCAATTTCCTTGCACTTTTGAAGGAAAAATATGCTAAATTGACACACTCCAACAACATTAGGGATGTATCAACTTGATTGATCTAGGTACATATGTCTCCCGATACCTATAAGTAACTCGTGTTAGGGATACTGCCCAGGATTTTGAGGCTTAATATACCCGAAGTCGTGGTGGAAGTTCTTATCAACCTACTGTGGATGCGGACCTTAGCCAGCACCCTGGAACTTACAAAAGTGGATAATACATGTGAAAGGCGAATTATCCAGCGATTTAATAGGAAGTACCAGATTAACTTGCTGTGTGCCCATGGATTATCGTTACTAATCAGATGTGAAGCACATAATAGGGATAAGTCAACCGCGGATAAGTCGAGATACTGTGTTTCCAACAATAATAAGGCTGCCCATTTGATCAAGCTGACTTTGTTTCTAATACCTGCAGACCGCCTCTCCAGCCGACCAAGGCCGTTTAATAGCGGTTACTCCTTCCGCAGGAGGAGGACCGTATTCTGGTACATATTTGTTGCGAATATCTGTACCGTGGAACCCGCCTCCACCACCACATACCGTTATTCCCCGAGATATTCATACCTCACAATTTCGCGAACCCCAAAACATGCGTATCCACCGCAAGTTACCAGACAATATTGAGAAGGACAATATGGCTGTACTTCATACGCTACTACGCCCCAACTGCGTGCTGATCTTCTCAAGAACTGGGCAATGTTATGACAAGAGGCGCTAGACCGCTACACACAAAAACCCCTGCAAGGCTGGTGGCTAGCCAGCTATCCTCAACATGTTATGCAATCTATCGATTATGTTAACAAGCGAAGGCTATTCATGACACAGCTAGTTATAAACAGCAGCATCAACTAAAGCAATACGAATACCGTGCCTTATGATTCCGGCTGTTCGTCCTAGCTAATGTTCTGTCTAGTCTGTGCGCAAGGGACTACGGCAGTAGTAGTAAGCAGCCCGCACAAGCTGACTCACGGCAGAAACGTCAGAAGCCCAATTAAAATGCAGCGCGATTAACTCTAAACCTTAAACTGACGAAGGGAGAAAGACTGCTTGCACGCCATGTATCTTGTGCCAACCATCGGCTGACATTTTGAGCCAACGGTAGGTGACTGAAGCTTATGCGGTTTGGCCACCACCGGACCATATCGGTTAGGCCTCAATAGTACCTATCTAGACAACGGGACCTCTTTATTTACTGTGCCTGTAGAGCTTGTAAAGTGGGAGTTGGCTCAACAGCAGCGTGCTGAAATTGCAGCGGCACTCGCCTCGAACAGCCTACTACGCTACTACAGGCACTCCAGTTGTGAGAAGGGGATACAAAGTGAAAAAGGGCAATAACAATTATTTTACATCTACAACGCAGGTGTGGGATATTAAGTGAAGTGGCTCATCAAGAGCTAGATTGATACACACTACTCGATTGACTAAATCCATAATCTCAAATAATATTACATTCATTAGGTTTCACTAAGTAATAATTAAATAAATCAGAACCCTTGACAATGCTTCTCATCCCATGATATCCCACCGCGCTGCACCGCTAACCTGCCCAGCTCAGGCACACACAAACCAACCAGCTGGGTCCGAAATCACAGTCAAATTACTGATACCACTTCGTCTCGGTTCGTGCATTTGCCAGAGGAATAAATAAGTCAAAGTATTATAGAAACTTATGGGGTAAGTAGAACGAGTAATCAAAATAAGGATAAAAACACCAGCACCAACGTCGGGTCCGAAATCCTAAGATATCGAACAAGGAAAGGAGCAAAAGGTCATTTCGTACAGTAGCATTAGGGGAATCCAAGAGCGCAAAGGGTTTTTAACCAAGGTATCGTTTGCTGGTCTCTTTTGACGCTCCAAATTGTTTCAAATTACTCCGTTTAGACGGAAACGGGCTCTTCTTCGCGGCCACGGATATCTCCGATATCGCTACCGACGTCCTCGCCGTCCTCTACACCGTTGTGGTAGCTGTGGTGCTGCTCAGCGGCAACCCATGAGTCCCGGTCACCCCTCAAGGGCTGGTCCTGAGTCGATAGGTCAACACCGTTTTCACGACCCTTGGCGACGTTCTCCCGGTGGCGCTGAGACAGTGTACGCGAACGTTGAGACAAGCTTGACTTGACTGTAGCCTTGGAGGTGACCCAGTTTGCAAGGGCATCCTCGCAGTCCTGAATGATGGCCTTGCTGGCATCATAGCCGTCGTATGCCTGGCGGGTCTCACCGGGGGTGACTGGGGTGTCATCGATGAGATCGAGAAGGTGTTTGCCGTAGCCGGCAATCATGGCAACCTTCTCACAGTGCTCGCGCAGAGCATCGAACTGGTACTGGAACGCTGCCTTAAGCTTCTCACGAGTAATGTTGGAGAGTTGAGCCTCGGCGACGAGGGACTCGGCTTCGGCGCGGACAAGTTCCTGTTCTAGGACGACAATACGAGGGGAGTTAGGATCCTTGTACTTCAGCTTCGCGATTTCGTCGGTAATCTTTTGCTTGCCTGAGGAGAATGTTAGTCTCATGACGAAAGGCTATTGGGGATAGACATACGGTCACGGCTGGGCTGCACGGATGCCTCAATGTTGCGGATGCTCTTTATGGTAACTCGGTATTGGTCGTAGCGGTCGACATACATATCTTCGAGTTCTCCAACTTCGTAGAGCAAGACTCCGAGCTTATCCGTGATGTCCGAAACATCTTCATCGCAGTTCTCACCCCAGATGGAGAGTTGTTGCTAGAAAAACTACGTGTTAGCATTGATTGAGGTTACCCTCCTAAGTAAATGGAAATGCATACCGCTGTTTCCATGCGCTCCTTGGAGACCAACTCCATGCTGCGCATGACGTTCTTTTCCATCTTGACGAGCTGGGAGAGCTTGCGCGCTAGGTCGGGCCCGAAAGCGCCGGCAGCATTTTTGCGGAAGGCGTGGCCTAGAGAATGAGTACGGTTAGTCCAATGGTGATATTTACATAAACGCCTTGACGTTGGGGTGGGTGTAAAAAGCATAACGTACCAAAACCACCTTTGCCCATCCATCTGTTCGTCTTCGTTGAGGAGAGTGGTGGTGGGGGAGTTTCGATCTGCGAGGCGGTCGGCAGACGCGACTGGCGCATAGAGTATGTACGATGCATTGTGAGGTAGTCCGAATTGAAACTCGACTGCAAAGGATGACTGGTGAAGGATGAAATAAAGGCGGACTATGAAAGAGAGAAGGAGGGGGTTGTGTGAGTGATTGGAGGAATAGAGTTCCTTCAAGCCTCTTTGCGCAGAAGTGACGTGTTATCAGGAGGCTTCACCGGGACTCGGCGGAAGGACAAACTGCAACCGGAGATGCAAGTAAAAGAATTGAAAAAGATGAAGCGATTGAATTGATGACGCCTGGTAAATCCTTTCCCTTGAGGGAATCAAATTCAGGGAGAAAGACCGGGAGTGGATGGAGGAGGAGAGTCAGTGACGTCGAGACTCGACTGGGAGCTAAACCCGATCTGGAAGTCACGAGGCTGGGGAAATAGGAGGCCTGCAGAAGTCTGCAAGGGCTGGAAGAGCAGAGAAAATGTTGACGGACAAGAGATCTGGAGCAATTGGAGCCGCTGATAATCAGAAACACGTCGTGACTGGTGGATTAGATGATTTACTTCCGTTCAAGAGGATCCCGAGCGATCTGACAAGGGGAACAGCTGGACGACAGCTTTTAAGCACTGGGAATGTGGAACTGCAAGGAAGCAATTTCCGCGACGTCATCGGGTCCGCTCTGATGTCATGGAGCTGGCTGGACGCAACTTTAAGGGGTTGAGCTGTGAAAACCAGGTGAGATCATTTGTTCACGAGGGAATCATGGAATCAGGACACGCTCGTTTAGTAGCTCTTCTTTTTATTATCTACAAAGCATGAATTGGGCTTGATGAGGCCTTGTTTGGGTTAGATGTCGAGTCGTATTATCCGAACGGGAACGTGGGACGGAAGAATGCTGCACATTCCTCAATA